AATTAAGACCCAATCAAGCACCCATTGAAACACGGTCAATTCCCGCGAGACGCTTCCGCGTGCGCGAGCGCAGAGCGCTACGGTGGCGGCGCCTGATGCGAGATCATTGCCAGATGCCGCTGATAGATCGCGACGGGGTCAACAGCCACTGCCCTTGTTTTGCGCACTAAACGATTTACTCAAGTATAGGTACCTAAAACAAATAGATACTTATCGTAAATGTAGGCTCTTGGGTACATTATTAAATGATAGATTTGTTTTCGTTACACCGCCAAGGCCAAGAATAAAGCAATATGTGTTTACATAAAAGGTTAAACGAATAACAACCATTAATTGCTATTTTCGCAAAAACTTATATTGTACTTTTCTCCAATTTGCAAGGAAACAAATTAATTGAGGAAAGAAAAATTCAATTCATATTTAAAGTTATATTGCCAATTTTTACAGTTAGATAACAACAATTGCCAATTTGCAATGTTTTAGTCAGGTTAAATCTAAATAGATCTTATGATGAACTTATAATGAGCAATGTCCATCATCCTAAAATCATCCTTATAATTATTTTTTATGTATTTGAGCTATTTACTTGAAACTGTATTGTAAAACATTCGCACCCACGCACGACATCTGCTTACCTAATTTTTATTTGCACTAATTTGACTACATATGGATTTTGTGAAAAAACATAATACACACTTTATGATGGCAACCCAAGTTTTCATCATTTTTTTTTTATTTTTTTTATACAACTTAGAATGGCAAACAAGCCGACGGCCCACCTGATGGAAAGTGGTAACCGTCGCCTATAGACATGAGCAGTACCATGGACATAACAGAGTATACTGTTTCGCCCATGATACCCCCCATGCGTTGCCATTCCTGAGGACTCAAATATTATTCCTCTGTACCCAGTAAATTCACACCATATCCTACCCTTCAAACCGAAACACAGCTATGCAAACACAACTGCTTCACGGTTGAAACACGAATGGGACAGAGGTACCCAAGCAATTGACTTTTGTACAAAGTCTCCCTCTGATATTCATCTATCTATCTAACTATCTGGTATCTCATCATTAACTTAAATTAATATAGATATTAAAAAAGATCTGTCCGTTATATTTTTATTTGTATAGCAATTTAACACCGTAATCATCGGGAATAGATAACACTTAAAGGGAATAAGCGTCATAGTATCATTATTTTGTGAGGCCTGTGGTACTGTTTTTATTTATGGGAGATGCCCTTCACTCAGGTGGACCTTGATGGTCCACGTGAAGTCTTTGTCCGCCACGTCTGCCGTTTCAAGTTGCTTTCTTTTACTTATGCACTTCGATTACAAATTTCCATGATAGGTACTGGTTGATTAAATAATGCAATAATATGCTCGTAAACTCTCAGACGTATTAGTGTTTAATAAAAACCTGGCAAAATACCAGCAATATACCAACGCAGTACTATATCCAACCTTTAGTATATACCTACATTTACAAGTCTTTTATTTTTATTTCGTTTTTTAATGGTAGTATTCCTTTTTAAATGAAATGTTAAAAAATTTGTTAGAAAATAAGTAAAAATAAAAAACAATTTAATAACTTCCTTGTTTTGCAACATACTAACGATATTTTATTAACTACAACAAGATCTAATTAAATCCAGATATTATTAGTACCTATGTATTCTATGTCATGTAGCCTGCCTTTGTCTCTGAGGTACAACATGTTACCTAATGCCAATTGAATTGCCTTGGACTTGACATGTTGACTTTATATACTGAAAATCATTATTAATCAATAATACAAGGTACGTAATTGCTTCAAGTAACCCCGCTAAATTAATCCCTCACAGTTAGTGATGCCCTGTCAGCATAAACTAATAACGTAGGTGAAGTCAGCATTCCATTATCATGAATTTGAAAAATTACAATTTTTTTCGTTAATTACCATTCTATTCAGATAGCCAATAAAGTGTAGGTGCAGTTGATTACTGCTCTCATCATAAAAAAAAAATAGTGTGGATCAACTAAGTGTATATAAAATTATTCCAAATTTAAACTGCTGTGATAAAGCTGTACTATAAGGATTCCTTTGCAGCATTCTGCTATGTAACATTAAAATCATGTTTGTATAGAAAAAAAAACATTCTGTGTAACATGGAATATGATAATAATATTAAAAGCATGATGATTAAATCGAAGGTGATTAACGAAATCACAATTATGTCATATCTTGCCTAAAAGTATTAACAAAAAAGATTTTTTTTGCCGACTTAAATAAATCGATAAAATTTACTTCAATATAGAAATTAAACAGTGCCTTTATTTAAACCTGTTTTTCTTATCATTATATTATTAAGTACAATTCCCTCATATTATAATGTATATATAAATCGTTATTCATTATACACACCTCCATGTTCGTGGACGTCCACATTGACGGTGAAAGGAACTCCGAGCCTTGATAAATATATAATAATAAATGGGTAGATACATACACACATACATGTAAACGGTGACAGCTTAGTCGATGGAGTGGTTAACTGCAATCTCAAGATCCCCAGATCGAATCTGATTTACCTCAAAATCTCTTCAATTTGTTTGGTAAATTACTGACATTTTTAGAAGTCATGTCACATTAACAGAATTATTAGTACCTAGTACTGAGTACACAGTATATAATAGTCTACTTATGCAACAGACTCATAGCCCAGATATCGTAGGTTACCGCGGTGATAAATAAACCCAACCCTATCACCGACTCCTTACTAAATAGCAAATTAATTCAGACAAGTAATTACAGTACATTCGGTGCCGGGTTTCAAAGCCCAACCCACTACAATCTCTATCACAGACATGCGACAAGAACCTAACGCACATAAGGAGGGGAGAAAGGGATTGTTATTAATGAAGTCTAACAGCCCCATTGCTAACAGTTTACAATATCAGATCGACCTCCACGCGACTCTCACTGGAAACCATCATGGCTATTCTTATGCAATTCGTCACAATGGGTTAACTGACCTGTTTTCATTCTCACTAGAGATACTCAAGCGTATGCCGATAGCGCAAACGAAGTTACCATTCCAGTCTCACCCATTAAAAAAAACACATTTAAAGACCAACTGGTAACTCAATGCCTTTCTTCGGGTATATCCCGAATTGAAAAATTATATGACAACTCGGAACGCATTATTCAGTTTAGAAATCTAGATATTTCTTGGACAACTTGTAGGAGAGCGTATTGTACGAGTATTGTAATACTAAAATACCGACTACGAGTATAAGAAAGGTGTTCAACTGAGATCTCACTAGTGACATAATAAAGCGTAATTTATGACACAGCGGGCAGTATACACTACCACTAATAGACTAATACTACCTCTAAAACAAGATACGCCCTCTTAAATCTGTAATGGCCATGATGTTCATGTTAATATGCAACGATTACCTAGTGTTGCTGGTTGTTTAATTAGAACCATTCTACTCAAGTTCTCCACCATCAGTGTATGTGCGACTGCCAACACTCGAAGATTGACCACCACTATTACTTCGTCCATGCTATTACTACCAGAAGTTCCACAACCTTCTATATTAGCTATCAATCTCCGACTGCCATTTTGTTCACACACGTTTAGCGATACGTGCTTCCCCTCTAAACGAGACGCCTAGTATTAACTGTTCGGTACCCAAACTGCAATAACCAGCGATTGTTGACATCCGCAGGATAACTGTAAAATGATTACCTAGTACTTTCCATCATATAAACTGACAACTTGTTTGCCATTCCAAGTATTATAAAAGGCATATTAACTTGTATCAACAATTGATAACATCTATAGATACTAGTTACAAACAATTTAGACATTACTTCACCACCAAGCTATAATTTGCATACCTGCATATTTTTTACTCAGTCACTCACTACGTCGCGTACTTATAAATGGAAATTGACGACACAGTATTTGTTTAGAAATTTTTAACAACACTAGAACATAAAAGTATTTGTTTGTGAAAAAAGAAACAAAAGTGCGCATGACATTATCATCATCAGTCGTGTATGTAATTTTGTCTTTCGCTTTCACAAATTTACTTACGAACTTTTATACTCCACTAACTTAATAAGGATTTATTAACATTCCAAACGCATTGTCAATAGGTACATCAGCATCTCGTTCCACTATATCCAATAGAAAAGAGATACAAGCTATGTCATTCAAAAATTTTGACATCCATTATGGACGTTTCAATAATGGGATCGGAATTTGTTCTTAGCTTTGTAGGTACTTATAATTTAATGCACTTTAAAAGTGAAGGCAAATCTCTGATTACTTACTCCATTATTATCGGACTTTCACTTTCTTTAATGATAAAGGGCCTCAAGGTCGAACGTTTCTGGTATTTGGACCATTGCTTTATTATCTTTGAGCTCTTTAATAATTAATCTCTCAAAGTTTATGTCAATTAGACTTTTATACGCATTCATTCTTACATCGATTATTTCGGACAAAAAAAAATTAATTAAAAAATTCTAACATCTATTTAAATAATAAATATCAGGGCGTATCATCAATCAAATAGGATGGTCATCGTTTGTAGTAGGTATTTAGGTGCTCATTGAATACGCAGACCGTCAGTATTCGCGAGCTATTGAACTATGCATAAGGCCGAACCTTGATCTAGTTGACATCACAGCAATATAGTGCATAATCTATCTCCTATCTTATTGAATTAAATCCAAATATGCTGAAGCTTCTTTGTTTTTTTTTTTTTCATGTTCACTTACATTTCCTTACAGATGTTCATTAAATAAAAATACTACAACCAATTTACTTAAGAGTTATGAATAATAAAGGATTTATCAATAATTATGCGAATTGACAAACCTTCAAGATTATGTATGCCTTTCAAGCTTTACCTTAAACATACTACTTAAGTAATTAAAACATTTTACAAGTGTTTGTGTAAAGAAATAATTCTTATGATGGCAATCATATATTTCCAGGTGTTTGCGATGTGGTACACGTGGACGTTATTGCTGGTGTCGTGTGCACTGGTGAAAGCGGACGTCGCGACGGGAGTGGAGACGTCCGAACCGGTGACCACCATCGGTTCCACAACCCTTCAGCCCGCCGAAACCGAATCAACAACTGTCTCAATAATAGAGGAATCCTATGGCACTACAATAGAAAACTTTGATCAAGAAGCAGCAGCGGCGAAACCTGTAACTACTACCCGCCCGCCACCTCTTACCCTCGACCGGCAAGCAGGAGAACTCGCTTGGCGATCTTGGCTTCAAAGTCCTGAGAGCGGAAACCAGAATGCACCGCCAAGGAGAATCATAACCAAATCCTTATTTATCACGCCTCTTGTATGCCCCAAAGGACAACGGCTCGATCGCAATGGTTGTGTTCAGGTAAAGAGTCTTTGACATAATTACAAGAAACTAACGCTGATTACACACTGATTTATTTTACAATAAATCCAATAATTTTTTTTTCTATCCCGGCAGGGAGTTCCTAGACGAAAGTTAAGTCATAGCTGAACTCTTCCGACAATTTGTCGCATGAATTAGGATAAAAGTATCCTGTACATCAGCGATAACAGTATCCTGTCAATCAGTCTAGACTATAATCTAATTGTGTAGCAAATTTTATTCAAATTTATGTAGCAATTTATGCATAAATGTGTACTATAAATGTGTAAATACTTATGAAATGGCAAAAAACTCGCCTACTGATAGAAAGCTGTAACCGTCACCTACCGACATGACTAGGACCTAGCAAGAAATTTTCGAATAGTAATAAACAAAGTAAACATATTGAAAATAAATAATTGGCATATAAAATGGTAACTAATTAGCAACAATCTATTTACATAAATATAATTATTTTCAGGTCATGACCGTAAACAAAGACGAACATGAACGGATTCTTCTCGAACAACTGAACGCACTATTCCCATCAGTTTCTAACGGAGACGTATTATACGACTACGATGATGACGAGCCCGGACCACTGCAACTCTCTATACCCATCGGTTTAGATCCTCAAGCAGCGCCACTACAAAGTCAAGAGCCATCTGCGCAGGTAATTCAACCAAGACGTAATACTCGTATAACAAATTCATGTACTGAATTTCAATATTCAACTTTCATAATATTCCATTGTATACAGTTTCTACTTTGTCTACAATAAAGTAATGGTAGCATTTATAAAAATACACATAATAAAGAGATTACAGACAAGTATAAGAGACCTCGCAAAATTTTATTACTCATATTAGAACTTGTAACGTAATCTTAATACACATACAGCAAATAACACAGTTCTTTAGAAATATTCGAATTGCAAAAATGTCATAATACTTCGTTCTATATGGATTAGAAAACCTTTATAGATTGTTTTATTTAAATTACTTGCATAATAATAATCTTTTTTTTTTCCCAGGCTCAAGATCTTCAACCAAGCTATGTACAAATTGATAAAAAGGATAATACTACCTCCAACGGTGAAGTCAGTATAGAAGCTGAATTAGAACTTTTAAAACTTCAAAATTCTAACAACTCTGCTACAGATGGCACCGACGTATTGAACCATAATGTTATGAATAATTTACTGGCTCTCGCGGATAAACCAAAACGAGACAGTCCCGTTAACAAGTCAACTGTTCCAGCACCCAATGCCACAGACGAAGGACAAAAAGAATTAGTTTACGGACATGTCAATGTAGATCCTGTTCTTTATGGCGCAGAAAATGCAAATCAACACACTATGAATAATGGACAATTGGTAGTATACAATAAAACATCAATAAATATCGACAACATCAACACAAATTCATCAAGCCAAGAGCTCAAGACAGATTTGGAAGGAACTACTAAACTTAACCCAGAGAATGATTACTCGGACATTGGAGAAGCAATTAAACTTATAAGCCGTTATGCTGAAGTAACCACAGATGACAACTTCTCGAAAAATCAAAAAAAATACGCTATAAAAGATGACGGCATACTGGGCACCCGTACAAAACTACAACATCGGCGTAACAGACCGAAACCAGACACCGTGCAAGCACGTGTGCCGCCTGAATTAATTTCCAAAGATAAAATACCTCTTCATGTTGGTTTACCTAAAACTGAATCGTATTACCGTTATCCATGGATAGGCCAACATTCGCCAACTCCACCTCCAGACTATCCATTCCGGCACTTGCAAGATTACTGGCCCGGCCGAACCCAGGTCGGAGGAGTGTATAATATTCACGAGAATCCAAGACGCCATCATCATTCATATCCGCACTACTTTAAACCTCGTGGATACTATGTGGGCAACGGCGCAATCTATAATGGACAAGACAATCGTTCTGGTCCCCTTCAGTTTTATCCCCACATGGTAACCCAACGTCATGCAATTCCAATGCAACCCCGCGTCAATAACCAGGACCTCTACAGCCTCCTCGGTTTGAGGCATTGGTTCAGCAGTGAAGGCACATCAAAAAGATAGCTGTTTTTTTCACAACTAGACAATTCGATGTTACCCGACGACGTATAATGGAAGCTATGGGAAATAATGAATATAGCATGTAAAAGCTTTACAGCTAATTTAGCTTTCAACTAATAGCAATTAGGTTTAGTTTCAAAAATGTATAAGAGCTCTTTGTACTTATTTTTTTATCTAGGTACCTACCTTTCATTTCTGTCCATAGCTTTCAATATATTAGCCTATTTATTTCAAAGCCAAATACTAGAGTCATAATTAAGTTAAACGTTTGTTAACTGTTTTAAGTTCTTGTAAATAATTCTTGTTAATTTTATTTTTCTATATATAGTATTATCGTTGTTTTGTATTATGTTAAATGTAAATTGTTGTATTAAATATCACTAATTTATGTTTATTCGGTGTATATTTTAATATTTTCGTTGTGAATCTGGATGTTGTATGTATTTGATGTTCATTAGCATTTTTAAAATGTATAATTTTCTAATTGTCGTACAAAAATTGGCACTGGCTTGCCGAATTGTATTGTAGAATCATTTTTTTATAATGATTTGTCTTACATTTATTAACACGTAAGATTATATTCAAATGTGTGTAGATATAGTTTATAGGCGATTGTTTGCTTTAGTTCAAAATAACCAAATGTAATTTCGGACACATAAAACCCACCTAAACCTTATTTAAATCGAATGAGTTACTCAATATTATGTACAAAAAAAAATTCTAATTCTCGCATTTGGTTAGACATTATATGCATGTCGCATGAATTTGACTGTAACGGACATGGGGGTACGCAAGGTAAACGTATTTTTTGGCAGAATTGAACAAAAATATATAAATCCAGAACTGCAATTAGTTTGAGTAAAACCAAAAAAGGCTGACGCTGGTGGTGCACAGTAGTTTATCGACAAACACTCTGTGTCCAAAGACAAAAAATCCATATCTGTAGCTAGAACAGTTCTGTAGTTGGTATCCGCAATTATCCCCTTGTATTAAAAATATATATATGTATCATTATTATTTATGATGACAGTGACAATTTATTATCATATTAGTAAATAGAAATATAAACGACATAAATACGTCATGAACAAGATTTGACGACATGAAATGGGTAAATTTTTATAGGTATAAACTTAGCATGCATACTCTGCTACAAATTTACTACCGGGATGTATACCTGTGTCAAAATAAAAATTATAATTTGTTTATTAACTTAGAATATGACTTACTTAGAAACTAATAAAAAGATACGAGAAAAGAACATCAATAATTCGAGATAATTATCACGCAAGTTATAAAATGTCATTAACATCTCATTAGTATATACTTTAGGTATTTATATGTACCTTGAATACTACCGAACTATTTATTACACATAAATAACGATCCCACCAAAGCTTAGCATAAGTATTTAGTTTTTATCACATTATACAATACTATGAATGGTTTTAGTGTATTTAGATGCAGTAAATGTATTTTTATAATACTAGCTATCACTGTGTAGGCTATCTCTTTCTAATAAACTAAAATAACAAATGTTTATCACCATGTAAAATTTCTTACTTATTGCACATTACAAACAACTGCTTACAGAGGTTAATAAGTAATGAGATAATTTACATAAGTTTTCTAGATGAATTTCAAAATACTACGAATTATTGTAATCCTGATATACCATTATTGAGTATTAAATAAATTGAGTAATAAATAAATTTATCAAAGTGCTATTAGTTTTAAACCAGTGCTTGATGTATTGTATATGCCATAAATAGCAGTTGATTTATTTTATATGTTTAAATAATACTTAATACTTATCAGTAAATCGACTGAATTGTGATGTTTTCTAGAGATTCCTTGTTATAACACATAATTTGTCTTAGTTTTGAACACATTTTAGAACTCTATACAGAATACTTGCTGTTATATTACAAAATATTAAACTATTTGTACAAATATTATAAGAATTTGATATAAATTGTATAAATAAAATCAAACTTATCTAAAATTGCAATTATATTGAATATTAATATTTTAAAACTTCTCTTATTTACGAAAAATTAATAAACAATATTATTAAATGATAAATGCCAGTATTTTATTGTAAATATAAATGTTATATTAAATCTACATCAAATTAATACTATATTGTATCATTTCCTAATGAGCCCTACAATTAAAATAATAGACAAATGTACTGTAAGACATTTTATTGAAAAAAAATATTCAATTTCATAAATAACACTGTTTGAATTAATAATTCCTAAAAGTTTATCGTCACATATGACAAGTTTAAATAATCAGAGGTCACTGTACTTGCACATACTTTGTTCAATTCGCACATTGTAGGGTAACTTTAAAATTAAATTCACAATAAATGGTGCGCAAATTATTATAGAAACAAAAACTAACCTTATTATACACAAGTAATTTGTACATAATATCACAATAATAAGAATCCTTAATAGTATAATTGAGAAACTTAATACATAATGTACTCAAGCCAATAACATCCAAACACAAGCACATAAATATTACAGAGTATTTCGTTTCCCTAAAATATACATTATCTACAAGTCAACTAGGTATAAACTAAAGTATATGCAAGGACAGATTGCCAAGATGTCTTTCGTACACAGAAATTACACAATATTAATTATAACTGGATCATTTTGTTCTGAGTGAAATCTGTATAAATTATTAGTCCTGACATCTTTTGCTTACATTACAGAAAGAAACTTAACATTCATAATCATTTTGTCTTTTGACTGTAGACGTAATGAACAAGTAAGTACTAGCGGACACATATACCAATTCAAATGTCAATGTTTCCACACAGGTATTTCATCTGAACTCATAGATTTGGATGCTGTGTTCCGGGACATGGCTTAAAGTCAAAGATTGATACCTGAAAATCAATATAAAAAATAATTTCTCGATATCAGATTGACTAAAGATCAAAGAGATAGAAGCTCAAATACAAAAATTATGTCATTTCGTGTTTATCATAATATGATTAAAGCATCTTGATAAGTTTTTTGGAAATAAATACATATGGAAACGGCAGATACTTTTCGACTCTGATGAAGCCGCAAAATGCTAAATACTTGAATAGGTATATTTAAACATTTTTTAAATTGACAGTGTGTGAATCAATTAAAATATTATTAATATTTAAATCTATTAAAAATTACAACTCCTAATAAAAAATACTTAATATATTTTTTTTTATAAATAAATACATATTATACGTAAAAAATACTCAGACCAATACAGACATACTCATGATTATAATAGTTTGTATTGTACGGGGATCGAACCCGCGATCATCGAGAGGTAAGCAGCTATATATGGTCTTGAACATCGAATTTAATATCTAATAATACCTAATGTTTTATTACGTACTTCCAAAATCAAATATCAGTATATTATAAAACTTGCTTACCACTCCGAACTCCGGTGATAGTAATATCCTTCTATAGTAGCTGCAGATTTGTGGAAGCATATATAATAGAAACCGGCAAACGAAGCACCATTTATATCCTTTATCGTGTGGTCAGGAACTAAAAAATGTTCTTTCCACCTCATAAATACATAATCAGCCTTGGCAAGAGACTCATAGTCAAATGAATCCGAGTTGAATGTCTTCAAGTAGGGCACAAACAAGTCGAACTTGCTCTGAAATTACAATTTATTAATATTACGAAAACGAAACGGCAATTAATTCCAATAATACTTGCAATGTTTGCGATTTACAGGGTGAAATCTAACTCCCTTATTCATAAAAACGTTAATCCTCTCAAAAACCTATTTTAACTATTGAAGTGTTTTGCCCTTTTCTTTTGCACTAATTTCTCAATATGAAAGACAGTGACACTTTAATAGTTAAAATAGGTTTGTAAACTGTTTCAGTTTTGATGAATATGTGTTAGTCCTTAGCCTCGAAAACGACACACAAAAAATGTTGAACCTCCTATACGTTCAGTATAGAAAACTAATTGATCGTCATTTATCGAACTATATTCCTATAGAAAGAACATTCAGTTTCACTGAAAGAACACTCTCTCAAAAGACAGAAAGATTTCAATTTCACCCTCTGTAGATATTAAGAAATCTTTATTTTTGTACAACGATAGTATTATAAACTATTTGTCAATGACCCTTAGATTATTTTATCTTGTTTATTTTATAGATAAAAATTCCATCTTCATCTATCTACTTGTATCTATAAAAATAATAACGCTCACGCTACGACGTAGGATATCATATCAGAGGCAGTATCAACTATAGGTACCTATTGTATTTGACGTAGTTATCTAGCACGGATAGATACGTATTGAAAAAAGAAATAAGTACCTATTGAATAAAATCAGGTAATATATTCAGTCTGATAGTTGTCGTCAGTTATAATATGTTCCTTATATTATAAAGAATATTTGTTCAAAATAGAACAGAGCACAGTGGGTTTAAATAAGAAAAGAGAATTTATAGTTCAGCTACGTGACCACAGTATACCTTAGGATATATTGTGGTTACGATAAGGTTGCCAACCATCCTGTTTTCTCAAAATATGTTCTGGTTTTTAGAGTTTCCTAGGGCGTCCTGGATAATTTGTAATTAGCGTCCTAAATTTTTTAAGCATTTTTAAGTTATTTTATAATTATTTAATATTGTTAATTGAATTACATTCAACCTATATTCAATACATATTATTTAATTATAGCGATTAAATTTTGGCATCCAGTTTTTAAACTAAATTGGGTTTATTTATTAAATCCTGGGTTTTCTAACTTTAAATCCTTATTTTTGAAATTTAATATTGGTAATCCTAGAATCTAACTATTAACTGAGTTAAATATGTATATACGATTATAAAACCATATATACCTAACCCAGTTATACTTTTTATCAGTAAAATATATAACATTATGCCAAATGCGCGCCTAAATCGATTGAACTCTCAAATGTAACTAAAGACTATGACTTGTAGACTGTATAAAAGCCAATTGTCACAGAATTTGGTTGTTATCTGTTTCAGTTAAATTAATATTAAAAATCAATACTTATTGACAAGAATATGAAATCCCTGTTCACACAATATGTACAAAAGCTGCTATCGTCGACACAAATAATTCACCAAAACAATAGGTATAACTGCCCTTAAAGGACCCGACCTCATCGATCACGATCGATAGATAGCCCGACCTCCTTTGTTACTGCCATACATATTTGACATTTGCCCGTGAATAGGACTATCATTGTCTGACGAAACGATCAATAACTCTCGCAACAGCTCTCAAGCAAATGCATTGAAAAATTATTTCCAAATTCTCCTTTTAAATATCTTAAAAAGCCTCAAAATTGTCTGCATACAAGGATGATGCAGGACAGTTTTGAGACGGCCTTCTGGGTGCCTTATCCTCGCTTCCATAAACGGTTACTCCTTGCGTCTCAATTTCTATTTGAATTCAAAATTGAAAACATAAGGATTCCTGAATAAGGTCGATCTATAGAATATCGATTGTTCATATATATAAGTCTATCTTAGGTGTCACTAATCAGACAACTGATCCAATACCCACAAATTAGGAAGTTGCCTCACTCGGTAAACCTATATTCGGTACACTTGCGCAATATTTACCGCGCAATTCAGGAAGCGCTCATTGAATTCTAGGCTTAATAATTGGTACTTTATCGTTACAAACCTCACCAAATAAAACGACACCATAACATATCAGAAAGTAGCGTAACGAATTCATTGCTTATGAATATATTGCCAGTGACCGTGAATATTGTCAATCATGACTAAAGAAACAGGCAAGTCTAAGTTGCTCAGCAATCTATAGAAATATCATCATCAACATCATATGAACCGTCTACTGTTGAACATTGGTCTCGGCCAAAAGGGAGGTATTGCCAGTAGTTGCCACACTTGGCAGGCGGATTGAAAACCGCTATTAGGTTTTGATAATGTTTTAAAAGAGGTGCTGCTGCCCTTCTCACAACCATGAAATTCCATTAGTCGTCTCTTACGACACTAATAGGAAAGGAAGGGCTGGCCTATTCTATGCCAGTAGCACATGGAAAATTACTGTATAATAGAATCTAAAATTAATATGTCTATAGAACCAAAATAACCGAAATAGCCTAAAAAATAAGCAAGCTGAAATAGTAATGGTTTGACTATATAATATGAAGAAACTACAATGAATTGCAAAGTAGTAATCTCGAGTGGTAACCATGTAGAGTATAAAAATCAAAGGATACAAGCTCCTTAGAATGGATATACACATCTAAACTTTGATATGCTACATGATACAGAATAAGTATGTATGCTCTGTATTCAGAGAATTTGAACTCTGATCCATATCCATTACAAGTCTCATGGGGTAAAAAAAGGGAATTTACTTGAGGCATTTTATTTAGTATACCCAGGGAGTTTAAAAGGCATCTCACATTAAAATCAAACTATTAATAGAATTACTAGGAAAGTATCATCAGTTAATAATATGAAGTCAATCAAATTGAATCTACTTGAAGGGATTTTTTAAGCCCTTGTTAAATTTTCACAGCTTATGTGATCATGAGTTGTAAAAATTGTGTATAGATATCACTAATTGAAAACAGATCATTAAAAGATCATACTTTAACCAGGGGCTTAAAAAAGACCTTTAATACATATCAATATATTCATATAGCATGGATAGTATAATTAATTATTAAAAAAGAAGTATTTGAAAACTGTGTCATGATTAGGTTGATTTATGAGTTTTATTTTTTAAATATGTATTTAGACATAGAAATATTACATGTATAAATTTGTATTATTACTAATTTCCAAAACCAATATCCTGAAGTATTTATTTACATCAACTCGAGCATTTTATTTACATAATTCCAACTAATACATACAAACCCTCTGAGCATTATAATATGTGTATGTAAACCCAGAACCACTGAAAGTAAGGCAGTGTCTTAAACCACTACACCACAAAGGTATTATGATGACCTTTACGTTGATTTTTATTTTCTATTTTCTTTCTTTTATTTTCTATACCATTCATTTATTAAGTATTTGATTGGTTTAATTTGAGATACTTTACATTGTGGAATTAAACAACTTGGAATTGAAGTTCAAACATCTCAACAATTTAAAATTTACTTTAATATGGGTTATGACAGCTTGCTCATATTCCCACAGTATATTTTCCCTTATGATTCCTTGGCAAAATCTAACTCTGAGTGAATTCTAGATAGAAAAGTAAAATATGTAATTAAAAATGAAAAAATATGAAATAAAAAGTAAAAGCAACAAAAATGTTTATATTACCCAGGATCATAATCTTTATTAATATTGTGGAGTCTTCATACCATTTACAAATTTAAAATAGGTATATTTTCAATTTGTAAATAGTAAGCCAAGCCAGCCAAGACCAAGACTACTTATAAAAAGCTACACAAATATACATATTACAATTCATTTTGTATAACCCACATAGTTGAATAGATATCTTGCATTGTTTAATCTTAATAGATCTGATTAAGATGGACAAAATGCCTTTGCACATCCCATACTGACTGGATACAGGTGGACACATTAATGTAGTATTTATTTAATTTACACTAAATAATGAAAGACAACAAGCAATAAGAATTGGGGAGTATCTGCTTAGTATTGGAATACCACAGACTAGAAACTGCACATGCAAATAAGCATAAAAATATATCAGAAACCCTACCACATTTCTAAATTAAAAATGCTGAGGAAAGTGAAATTACATAATTATTACATTATTAGGTTTATTATAAGGTTTATTAGGTTTAATTAGTGTAGATTAGGCTACAAAAGTACGACTTTTTACTATTCTATTACTTACAAGTTCTAATAAGTCCTGATTCATGAAAATTTTAGTAGACATATAGACAATAGTGTCACGCCAGTAAAAGTTATTAATTTATAAATTATTTTTATTAGTCTAATACATTTCATGAAATAAGATCCAAAATAGACCTTAATAATATTAGTAGAAATATCACACAACACATATATAATTTAAAAATGCATTAACACTTAATTTTTCAATTTGAACATATCTTATTTTGTATTAGTATACAATTAAGTATATATACATTTTTCTTACTAGAAAACCGTTTATTTATTATTATTTTTTTTTTATAATAATCCTTTTGGAACTTTTTAAATGCAATTTAATCTTAATAGATAAACAAAGCAGAATACTTTTACACCAGCATCAAAACATGAGAACTTGTTCCTTATTACTCTACTAGGCATAATATAAATATCTCACCCAGTGTTTTCTGTCGACATCTTCATCAGCGTCCCATTTTCTTGTTAGAAAGGGATATTTGGCTGATATAATTTCTCCATCAAAAAATGTAGTAAGTGTTGGAAACTCCTCGGTTAATCCTTTTATCTTTAAATACCCGCATAAATATGAATTTTCCTCATCTACATGCTGTAAACCAAAAAGACGCATTTATGCAATGAAGTCACGTAACTTTACAGAACATCCTAGCACATAATTAAAGTTTGTATTTGACGTTTTTAGTTCATGAAAACAAACACAAATTCTGTGTTCCCCTAACACACAATATCTTGATTAATTAATAAATTAAATCATAATTTTAATAATGTAATTTTATCAATATTGCGTATTTTGATTTCGACTAACCTGCAAAACCACTTCAACTTCATACGAATTGCCTTTGCTTTTTTGGTGCCCTTGAAATTTTGAACCGTTGTAAAGCAAAGACTTTGTAACCCCCGGCTGTTTAGAATTAGCTGGCGGTGGAGGAGTAATATCAACTTTAACTGGCATTATTTTTCCATTAAAATAGTGACCCAGCTTTTGTATTGCAAAATGTTACCTATTGCGTGAATGAATGACAGGTGGTCGTTCGTGAAGTCAAAAAGATTTCTCTTTTACTGGCCTGACAAGCAACTGGCATAAAAACTAAACTGGCGTTGGTTGACTACTTGACAATGGAAGTTTCTTTTCAATTAGTACTTGGTTTAATAAAATCTAATAATAACAATGAAGTTCTGTTTTAAACATAATTGTATTATATAAGTGCATAAATAATACTATATTCTATATTTTTAATTAACTTTTTATATTAAAATATTATTAATTAATATATTAAAACAGTCTCTTTCTAGCGCTTGTAAATAAGGTTAATTTAGTTGATTGAAGCATCCATCCATTTAGTCGATGACTAGTATCTACCTGAGTTGATTGAGTGACTACTATTTCTCTATGGTACATTTTAATGGTAGGATTTTGTCGTTCGTTGGTTTCGTTGATCGACCAACTTGTATAGATTGTTTTGTTTTGTGATTTAATTTTAATATCTGTGTTTTAATTTTACATGTAACATAATGTTATCATATACTATATCAAATAGTGAACGTAGTATTAAATGCCTTACATCTTACATTTTGTGATTTTTAAGCAATAGTAGTGATATTTTCCCACATAATTATGGTTAACTGACGTACGGGTTGTGCATCCTCAATTATGGCAGACCCAGGTTATTACCACAGTGATTATATTCGTTACCCAGTTCTACATGAACTGGGTGTCAAGTATGGAATAAAGACGGAATGTATTCCAGAAATAGCATTGCCGTCTAAGTTGGAGGAGCTCAAGGATGTTATACGTCGAGAGATACGTAAAGAACTCAAAATAAAGGAAGGTGCTGAGAAACTGCGTGAAGTCGCTACTGATCGAAGATCTCTCTCAGATGTAGCTAATATTGTAAAGAAAGCTAACATAAAACTTAATGAATTAAAGTCAGATCTACAAGAGCTAGAATCCCAACTATTACTGTCACGCGGACAATCTACTCCTACTTCGCCGGAAGATTTGTCCTACGATGAGGAAATTATCTTGGCTTCGGAAGCAGCGCAACAACAACGGCAACTTGGTGAGGGCACAACTGATCGTAAATTGGCTTCTCTTGAAAAGCAGCTAAATATTGAACTAAAGGTAAAACAAGGTGCTGAAAACATGATTCAAAGCATTAGCAGTAGCAACCAATCTCGGGATAAAAAACTTCTTGCAGAAGCTCATCAAATGCTTGCTGACTCAAAGGACAAAATAGAGTATTTGAAGTTACGTATATCTAAACTTAGTAAACAGCAGAAAGGTGACAATGCTGGTGCAAATGGTGATGGTAGGAGTTCAGATATAAGTGGTGTTGATGCACTGCTTGATGAAAGGATTGCAGAATTAAGGAATAGACTCAGAATTGAGGCAGCTGTTGTAGAAGGGTCAAAAAATGCCATAAGACTCTTACAAAGTGATAAAAAAGTTACTGACAAGAAAGCCTTGCAAGAAGCGCAAATGAGCCTTTTGGAGTCTTCCCAGAAACTGGAGTTGTTACGTATTTCCTTAGACATGCGTAGACAGGAGTTACCATCAGAGAGTCCAGCATTTATTGAATTAGGACATGAGTTACGTAGTACAGGATCAAGCACTGGATATGTCAGCTTATCAGGAAGTAATGTGTCTAGAGCTCAGTTTCTATCACCAGCTCCGATGATCAGCCCATGTGTACAAGTGACAGGTACATTGGAAGTACGACTTATGGGCTGCCAAGACTTGTTGGAGGATGTACCTGGCCGCAGTCGACGTGATCCTCTAGCTAGCCCATCAGATTTGAAGTCATTTGTTAAAGGTGTAACAATTCGTAACTCTATGAAATACACATATAGCATCAAAGAAGATACAAGCAATGAAATCATGGCAGTTTTAAAGTTAGACAATCACACAGTTGCTCAAACTAGCTGGAGACCCTGTTCCCAGCAAGCTTGGGACCAAAGGTTAGTATTCCATACTATTTACGAAATAAATAGTGTTTAATGTATTATAATAACAGTAAAAATTCAAAAGTGTAGAGAAATAAAGTAACTGCAGTCTTTTGATTTACTTAATAATCATACTTAAAAACTTAAATTATATAACTAACATTATTAAAATTTTAATTGCCATTATCACTCTTATCTCTACTTCTTGATGATAAGATCTAGATTATATTTTTCATATTGCTCATAATTTCTTATCTTGTGACAACATGAATTCATATTTTTACTGTGACTAAGCTATTTTATTTTTAAACAATGTCTTATTTGAGGAAATACTTGAATTTTGTTAATTTATAGTAAAAGACTAATGTTAAATTTACTATAGTTGTTTTTGACAAAACCATTTTACAATGATTTTTGACAGGAATAAAGATATTATTTTTTACTCTAGTTTTTGAGTTTGAATATACTAACAATAAATAATTAAGCAACCTGAGAATATAATTAAAATCTAATTTAAATATATCTCACAAATGTACACTCTCGACAACCATAAAATATGTAATACGAAAATATTAAGATGTGAAAGTAAAAACTGAATCTCAGTAATAATGACAAAACTAAAAAATTCCACAAAAAAAAAACACCAACTTTGACCATTGTAAAATGAGTTATATTGATTTAAAAATGAAACTATTGAATTCATCAAATTTTTTTTTCTGAAATTAATCTAAAAGTAATATACTTTCAGATAAAAAGAATTAAATTGGTTTATGACAGAGTTGTGAGATAACAAACATAAAAAAATACATTGAATTTAAAATTTTCTCCTCTTTTTTTTAGCATCCATTTAAGGTTTCATGGCCAAAACATTTCTTGCTGCTATCAAATTTTAAATCCTATTCTGACAATATAATTTAATACATATTAGTTTACCTATTTATACATACTTAATTACATCCCATATCTATTTCATTTACAGGTTTACAATCAAGTTAGACAAGTCAAGAGAACTTGAAATTGGTATACATTGGAAAGATTGGAGAGGGCTATGTGCTATAAAATTTTTAAGATTGGAGGAATTTATTGATGATATACGACACGGCATGGCTCTTGAGCTTGAACCACGGGGTGTCTTATTTGCTGAGATTAAATTTTTGAATCCTATTATATCCAGAAAACCCAAACTTCAAAGACAGAAAAAGATATTTAAACAACAAGGAAAAAATATACCAAGAACGTCATATGGTGAAATGCATATTCCAGCTGTGGTGCTTGGTAGACTACTCAAACGATCTTCACCATCCATTCAAAACATTCAAACTGCTCATATTACTCAACAGCAGTCCAGTTTTGAGTCTACTTCTCTTGATCACAGAGAAATGGACAATCCAAATACTACTGTTGGTGGCATGGCTGGTGTCAGGCCCCTTGGTCTACCTTCCACTCCCACTACACCACAACTAACAGCTACATCAGCACCAAAACCAACTCTACCATTGCAACCACCTCCCAATGTATCAACCCTTCGTATGGAAAAAGAACTCCAAGAAGCATTTGCATTTTTAGAAGATTCCTACACAAGGGAAAATTATGTCACAAAAGAACCACAAACTCCATCATGTGATACACCTTTGGTAGAGTACCCACCTTCTCCATCACCTAAGTTAGTTCTTGAATTTCCAAGTAATGAAGATCAGATTGTTGAGGTCACTAGTAACATGAGGATATCATCATCCCGTTCATCTTCAGTAATAGAAACTATGAGCAAGGAACAGGATTCTAGGCGACAGTCAGGTGAAATGTCTATGGGCAGCTTTAGATTGTTAAGTGTACTTGGCAGAGGGCATTTCGGTAAAGTTATTTTAGCTCAGTACAAACCTACTAATGAATATTTTGCAATAAAAGCTTTAAAAAAAGGTGATATAATAGCACGAGATGAAGTAGATTCATTGTTATCAGAAAAGCGGATTTTTGAAGTAGCTAATGCAATCAGACATCCATTCTTAGTAAATCTTTTTGCATGTTTCCAAACAGACCAACATGTATGTTTTGTTATGGAGTATGCAGCAGGGGGTGATCTTATGATGCACATACATGCCGATGTGTTCACAGAACCAAGGGCAGTATTTTATGCAGCTTGTGTAGTATTAGGCCTACAGTATTTACATGAGAACAATATTATTTATAGAGATTTAAAATTAGATAACTTACTTTTAGATACAGAGGGTTATGTTAAAATTGCTGACTTTGGTCTTTGCAAAGAAGGTATGGGATGGGGAGACCGTACTGGTACATTTTGTGGGACACCAGAATTTCTTGCTCCTGAAGTTCTAACTGAAACTTCATATACGCGAGCTGTGGATTGGTGGGGTCTTGGTGTTCTAATATTTGAGATGTTAGTTGGTGAATCACCATTCCCTGGAGAAGATGAAGGTGAGGTATTTGACTCTATTGTGAATGACGAGGTCCGTTATCCAAGGACTTTATCTCTTGAGGCAATCGCTTTAATGAGGCGACTGTTAAGGAAAAACCCTGAACGACGCCTAGGCTCTTCAGAAAGAGATGCTGAAGATGTAAAAAAGCAAGCATTTTTCCGTAATGTAAATTGGGAGCAGTTATTACTTCGTAAAGTGAAACCACCCTTTGTGCCAACAATAAATAATCTAGAAGATGTGAGCAACTTTGATAGTGAATTCACCTCTGAGGCAGCAGTGCTTACGCCGCCTAAAGAGCCGCGCCCGCTCACTGCCACTGACCACAAAATGTTCGAAGATTTCACATATATGGCAGATTGGTGCTGAATGGGAAATATGTCAAAGCATTACACATCAAAAGAATTAGGTTGTAACTTCATTAATATAAACAAACAATAAACCCCCATTGCCTTACAAGTGTGTGAAAATTCTGTATTTTGATAATAACAATATTCTCTCTACAGTAGAGTATCTAACAATGGATCCTCTTGTTAACTTGTATTTAATGCAGTCAAATGCAATATTTTATAATAAATTGTGTAATTTAATAAGTTTTAAATAGTGCTAATGTTTATTTTTTTAAAATATCGTGTTATAGATTTATATATATGTAGTTATGAATTTAACTTAGAAAGTATGTAACAACTAATAATACCTAAGTGAGGACGTGTCAAATCATTATTACGTTTTCAGTCAATTGTTTACTTATTCAGTGAAATAAAGGTCCCTATGTAAAACATTGTTATTTTCATTGTAAAACTGCACCTACCTGTTTAATATTTTTATGAGAACTCTTAAAAATCTCGCAAAGAAAATTAAGACCAGATACATATATTTTATTAATTAACATGTGTGGTGAGGAAGAAGAATAACCCTCGATTGGCAATCACTTATAAATTAATGCAGTCTAAAGCCATCTAGATAAGACATGACGTCAATATGTGTTGTAGGGAATGAATGGACGCAGGTGACTCAGGCAGTACATGTACAGCAGTTAACAATAGTTCGAAATTAATTCGATATATCACGACAAATTCAGCCATTCTGAATCACCATTGTTTCCAGAGCTACTAAGTGGAGGCCAATCAATAAGATATTTTTGCAATGAGACTACTAGACCCCAATATTAGAAATCATTCTTCCAACAAACTATTAAATATTTATATCGTCTTGTGTTAATCCATTTTCGCACTCTGAATGCATACTAATAAACAGCAGTCATAGCAAAATAACCCAACCAGGACTAAGTACAAAAGGGAGACTGTACAAAAGTCGATTGCTTGGATACCTCTGTCCCATTCGTATTTCAACCGTGAAGCAGTTGTGTTTGCATGGCTGTGTTTCAGTTTGAAGGGTGGGATATGGCGTGAAATTACAGGGTACAGAGGAATAACCTCTGAGTCCTCAGGAATGGCAACACATGGGGGTATCATGAGCGAAACAGTATACTCTGTTATGTCCATGGTACTGCTCATGTCTGTAGGCGACGGTTACCACTATTCATCAGGTGGGGTCTAAGCTTGTTTGCCATTCTAAATTGTATAAAAAAAAGTCATTACATTTTCACCACGCGGGTTTAGCGCGAGTAGTAAATTTTTCAAAGCCACTCCAACCCGAAACCAAAAAAGACCGCTTTAGCGGTAGTATGAGGGAGAATCTAATGACATTTATATCGTCATAGTCGTAGAATACTGACGGATCTATATATGTAATATTTGTCAGATCCATCAGTATTCTACGACTATGACGATACGTATCTATTATTATCATGGTTTTCTTTAGGAACTGCAGTCATCTTTTGGTATTAATGACATTACAATAAAAGCCCAAAAAAGACATTGCTAAACATACTACTGGCTACTAATGCCGACTGCGGGGAGAAAAGGGATTGTTAGTAATAGAGACTAAGAATCCCATTGCTAGCGATATACCCAGGTAAACGTCTTAAAGATATAAAATGTTGACATAGGTATATATCACGCACTAATACGACTAGGTGCCTTTCTAACAGTATTTTTTAAGTAGGTTTAACTGCAATTCAGCGTGTTTTTAATAAAGTTTTTTAATAATTCAATAATCGCTAGATGGCGCTACTATAACATTAGAATGCACAGGGCTCTTAGAGTTATTATATTTTACTACATATATATTAAATATATAATCAAAACAACACAAACACAATTTTTGAAAAATGAATTTAATGAGTCACAACAGGGCTAGGAAATCGCAAATTAGTGCAACTCCCTTCAATAACCCCAAATTTCTATATAGTGGTTGTTGTGGTACATTTGAAACTAAAACTAGTTTTATAATAAATGCTGCTATAATAAAATACCTCAGTACTTATTGTTACACATATATTTATATATCAGGGCTTTGAATAACATCAATTTCAAAAACTTTAACAAAGGAGCCAAGACTATCTCTAATAATGTTACTTTCATAGACATAGTAATTTGTTAATAGTACTAATTATTTATATAAAGTTTAATAATATTACTTACCATCCTAATATTGATCTCAATACTACTGAAACAAAATATATATATATCACTGGTCAATAACATTATTATTTGTATCCCAACTGGATTTTCTTAATCATTATTGCTATTACTATTTCTCTAAAAGTAACATTACATAATAATATACATATTTTAATATTTACAAGCCCTGCTATATACTGTTCTTTCAAAATTCACTTTTTTCATTAATAATTAGTTTGACTAGGACTGGGCCCATATTCAGATTATATTGTATAAAGGACATTTTTTTTGTTTATTTTATAAGTACACAATGTCCATTCAAAACAAAAAAAAACTTACTTTGTTTTCATGCAAATAATATATAATTAAAAAATAAATGTATTGAAGCTCTGATCAATGAACTAGTGAACAACTGTCTTTTATATGAGCTACATGATAATACAATATCCAATAAAATAAATATGCAAAACTAATATAATTATTACTGTCCTATGCTCATTTTCTATAACTGTATTAATTGGATTGTTTATTATATTCCAGTCTTCATGCTCACATATAGTAACAACCTCATAATGAATAAGTTCTATATTACTCATCCATTTCATAAATCATGTAAACATTTCAAATATTTGGTATACTAAAAAACTATAGGGTTCAAACTGATAACATTTAATATTAGAGGATGGTAAACCTGTAAATATGATGCCATAACCGATTTTATATAAAATTAATTTTTAATAATGGTTTAACTTACAGAACATGTAGTAAAACTGTTGTTTTAATTTATCTATACAAGGTAGAAGACATCATTATAATAATATTACAATTTCCTATATAAGTATTCAAAATTAAATTTAAACTAGTTCTGTCTAACTTTATATCAAACTGAGTATTTATCTATTTCCTTCTATACATTCAGTTATGGAGAACTACATTAATATACCACTCAATTGACTAATTCCAACATTATTTTTCACAAGCCAACTTAGTCATATGGAACTAAGAAGAAAAAGGAGCAGGCTTTTTATATTCTACAATTATTTATATACACATTTCACACTGAGCTGAGTCTCAAAAAGTATAGAACAAATTTCAGTTTTAGAAAGCTCACATTCTTGAGCCCTTTTGCTGGAGCACCTTAGCACGATCTGTAGGTTCTATGTCATTGCTATTCAAGGAACTGCCACATTCTCGACTAACAACACAAAGGAATTCAGCATGCTCATCATTTCCATAATTATACTGTGAGCCAATGTTGATCAACTGCTCAAACTTCCAACCATCTGACATTGTAGACACCATTTGTGTCAACTCTTCTTCATGAAACTGCAAAACTCTATACACATGCTTCTTTGAATCTTTCAAGGGCCTTCTTTCTCTTAAACATATTCTTTCTTTTACTAATCGTATGAGCTCAGTAATATTATAAAACTCCGCCTCTTCCAAAACTCCCTCCTCAGCAATATCATTGTTGATAACCAGTTTACCGTGACGAAGATAATTAAGCACAGGTGAAAAATAAGTAGGATCTCTATCTATTAAATAAGCGCCAGTTTCGTCCTGTAACAGAAATTAAAATTTGTGTCAGTGTTTGACAATAGGTAATAACATAAGGATAACCTTATTATCATACAAAAGACGGAAAACATTACGAACCCTGTCTGAAATCAAGTCACTGTCCTCTTGAACTAATCGATATAAAAATGAATTAGGATCCCTAGACAAAGTAGTTTTAGTAGTTAGAAAATATGTTCCACCGACATTAAGTTTTACCCACTGTTTACTACTCCGCCTTTCATTGTTAAATTTTTGTATATTTTCTTTCGAAAAATCACCGTCACCTATTAAGTCCGCCATAGCGTACCATGGACAAACAAAATTACCATTGACTAGAAGCTACGGTTACAGAATAAATAATATAATAATAGAACATGATCTAATCTAATATCTTTGGAAACAATTTATATTAAATAAATATATTTTAAATTTCTTAGCAAATCGTTAATCTTTTAGTTAAAAATGTATTTAAATTATATAGTAGGTATTATGTAGATATCTAAAATAGGTAGTGTCTTCTACATATTGATAGATGATAACGTTCGCTTGCTCTGTAGACGATTAACTGTTGTCCTTAACTGAAATTTTGAGTGCTTAAGCAAGAATTAAAGGATTTAATTTTCCTTATGAGCAGTAAAAGATCAACCGCTTTAATTAAACTCTAAACGAAAGAGCTTTATCACTATCTTATAAGCAACAATATAACGAAAACACATGAGTACCAATAAGATTTAGTATTTATTAAGCCATGAGAGATCATAACACACCATTTTAATCAGTCACATCTGTATAGAAAATTATAAGCTTTGGCAATAACAAATCACAAGAAGAAGATTAAGGTAAACCTTAATGTAGTAACCTACAGTATTCACTATCTACGGTTACAGATATTTATATATAAAAGATAGGTACGCTACTGAACTGGCCCGCATGACTACGATAAAAAAACCTCTGTATATATTTTAAGCAACCAGTTCGTTAAATTTCGAAATTTTACACTATAAATTACATAAGTATTTTATAAATCTATCAATGTTTTAAACAGAAGTACATAATAAATAGCTATAAAATATTTTGAATATTATATTTATTATTACTTATTTTATATTAATGTTATTTTCCGTTGGTTCCTATTGTGATTTGGGTAAATCACAAACATATTTTATAGAGAGGTATAATAGCAGTCTAGTTCATAATTATATGTTGATGCGTATTCAGTCTTTTGTTTAACATTGGCGACACAGATGAATCTTAAAGTTAAACAATGAAAAATTTCGCAGTCGATATTTACATTAATGAACACGGTGAGTCTAGAAATAAGTAACTTTGATATTATAAATGGAAACTGGAATTTTTATTATAACTGTATCGAAAGGTACTTTTTTGTAAACGAAACAAATAACGACTTAAAAGTACCAATGTTATTTTCTATGATTAGAGAAACGACTTATAAAGTGGTTTGGTGATATTAACTATATGTTTACCAAAAAACCATTGTAGCACGCATATGAAAACATTGAAAAGATAATACAGGTACATTTATCTTCTAAACCCTCCATATTGGCGAAATAATTTCGCTTTAGATAGTGATAGCAGCAGAAAGAAAAGAGTGTAGCAGATTACGTAACAGAACTAAAGAAGATGGCGAGATTCTGTGATTTTAGAACTACTTTAAACGAAAATATAAGAGATCAATTTGCGTACAGAAAATACAAGAAAAATATGCGCCAGCTCCTAATATTAAAATATAACATTGATTTTGAAAGAGCGGAATAAGACACGCAATGTGCCCCGGGCGGAGGCCACAGGTTCATCAGATATGCACTGCGGGAGTGTAACTTCGATGGCTGTCCCTGCCGCCGGTCGGTTGGGCGACGGCGTCAAATACATCGGAGTATATATATACATATATAGTGCGAATCTACGATACAATTATTACATTAACATTACGATACATTAACGAAGTCTAAACCGGTTAGTTTAATAATTAATAATAAAAATATATGTATGTAAGTAAATACGGACTTTTTATATACAACCAACTTGTTTGTGGGCTTGTTTCGAGATTTGGGATTTGTAAAAGATTATGTGTGATTTTCTTGATAATATATCTATATATATGTATATTTTATGGCAGATTTATTAAGAATTTGAGAAAATACTTAGTACCGTTAAATGAACTATCAAAAAATAGAGAATGGTGTTGGGATAAACAACAATAAGAAGTGTATCAGCGAGTTAAATATTTACTGGTGGAATTAGAAGTGCTAGCCCACTACGATAAAACCCGGCCAACGATAATGACCTACGATGTGAACTCGCGCGGCTTCAGCGTGATGCTGGTGCAGCGCGGTGCTGTTACAGTGCGGCGATAGTGGCTAGATTCTATCCGCCGTGTATGCTTTACGAGCGTTCATTGTTACCGAAACTATGGCCCTAAGGAAGCACTGGCTATTGTATTTGTAGTGAAAACCTTTCATTACTCTTTGTCTCAACATGCATCTACGGGAGATAGTCCAACACAATTGCTGCAGGGTTACGCTTTACATACGCGCCTATATTGTATGAGAAGTTGGCACACGCGATCGTTATTCCCCATTAATATAGTGAATGTAATCCTTATCCAGTAGAGGGGACAATCTCGAGTGAACACGACACGATGGCAATCAAGTCGAAGCTGTCGCGTAGCACGAGCGACCAGGAGTTTTTTTTTAATAGGTGATAATGAAATGGTAACCCCGTCTGCGCTATCGGTATACGCTGGCGAGGCACCAGTGAGAGATGATAGGTGTTGATGAAAGCAGTCAGTCAGTTAGCCCATCATGACTAATTCCGCTAGAATTAATCACCATAGTTTTCAGGGGGAACCGCGTAAATGTAGACCTGATAGGGTATTGCTGGTAATGCGGGAAATAAATTCTATTATTAACAATCCCTTTCCCTCCAAGCGACCAGGGGTAAGTCAAGGAGTATCTCGCCCTTTGGTAGGTCCCTTCGTTAATGGGAAATAGGTTTAGCTCGACTAGTAAACGTCGTTATGCACTGCACGAATAAATACCTGCTAAGCGTTTTGGAATAGAAATAGATTAAGCTGTAGTTACATTACAATGTCTTGAATAGTTTTTATATCCTAGTAATAAATATGTCATATATGTTTGTCTATGCCATAATCTGAGTACCAAATACAGATTACGCGGAATTACAAGAAATTGTATTGTATACAATTATTGAAAAAATTATAGTTAAATATATAAGATAACTTTAGTTTTATTAATTTTTTTCATTGACGATGAAGGTGTTGGGTTGTGGATAAATTCACAATCATATTGTAACAAGGTAGTATAGTAACAGTCTAGTTCATAACTATAAATTGTTGCACACGCAGTCTTATATTTAGTAGTTGCATAAACTCATTTTCCAATTTCATCAATGTAAGGATAGTGTCCAATTCTTTTTCATATAGAATTTCTTACTATGTAGTGACAGAGTGACTGTCAGATTACAGTGACGTTGTTGGTTGTTCTAGTTACTCTGTTCAATCAAGAATGCGATTGTTGTGCATTATTTCTTTTTGCTTGCATCTTTTTCAAATTTGTATTTCTATTGAATTCTACTGAAATTCAGACATTTTTTTCTTAAATTTGAAGTATATGGGATTTCTAATGTAAAAAATGTTATTCAGTTAAAAGAAAATATAATAACAAAATGAGTAATAACTTAGAAAATGATAGAACAGTCACAACGGGCAAAATGTATCCCATTGATTTGGCCCCGCAAAAAATAACTATTGTGAAAAGTGTATCCAATACCGAAGTCAAAATGGCTCATGTGATACCTTGCCAGCCGAAGACAACAAACACTAATCAAATAATTACGCACGCTGGGCAAGTAGGCTTGATGCGTCCAACCGCTCAGATCATTTCTCCAAGCGTCGCTTCTCAGGTAAATTTACTCAATTGACTTATAGTACATTTTAGTTTAGCAACTAATTTCACAGTTTCACTCATGCGATATTGGCATCTGTTACTGTAGGAATTTCGGTAAAATCCTAAAACTATTCAATAATAATCCCTTCTTAGTTTTTTCTTTTTTGTGTAAGAAATCGCTATACAAAATTAAACAGATGTGCATGATTAGTCAAATGTTAGTTTCTCCTTTTGTATATGTAAATTTCATAATAAAAGTAGTCAAAACCAATCTATAATTGGTGTGGATGTAATAATTGACTTGTCTACATTTCACTAAAGGTTGTAACATTTGACTCTATCTAAATTTGTTTCTTTTTTTACTCAGTAGAAGTATGAGTTGACATAAGTTAAATACAATAATTTTCAATTAAGTTTAAAACCATCTTATCTCATTAATATTATACCTAAATGTAAAATGTTTTATAACATTTATTTGTTATTCTATCATACTTACAATTGAATGGAATTTGTTATACAAATAAACCATATTTTTAACATACTATATTATAAAAATACTTGTTATTTAATTTATACAAAGTCATGGGTACTAGTATTTGATGGTATTACAATAATAATTTTTAATTTATATAATTTCACTAGTCAAATATTACTTCTATTATTGCATCACCATTTTTATGATTCTGTAGAATTTGTGTAATATATTAGAAAATCCCACATTAATAGACTATTCTCATTATCAGATGCTAAAAAAGGTTCAAATTTTTTAACTATTCTAATTTATGACTTAAATTTACGACCCTAACAACTAAATTCACAAAATATAATTTATTATGTTCCTTTTGTTTGTTGGTCTGAATTATTTTATTGACTTTACTTTTTAGAATAATAAAATTTTTAATATATTTTTTGTATTTTGAATATATTTTTGGATTCTCACCTAACTAAGCTATAAATACACAGTTCACTGATTAGAACAAGGCTAGACAATAGAATTTTACCTGTCTAGAAAGGTAGGCAAAATTTTTAAGGTCTGAGGTAGTGCTGGGCTACTACTTTTAAGGGTGCCTATCTACTAAATTTTTTTTTAGGTTTCTCTAATACTTATTTATCAATATTTGGACTTTGGTTGTGCTGTTTGTATCCTGTAAACCTGGGGTTAGCTAGCCTTGGATTAGAACATTTATAGCAGAATTTCATATCCTCACCTTATTATTAATATTTTTCACTTTCTTACTATTGTTATAAATTTAAAAATGAGGTTTTTTTGCTTGGTTAGCACTATAACTGCAAAATTACTGTTTAAATGAAATTTTTAATGTAGATGCAATTTTAAAGCCAATGAATCTATTTTCTTACTTCCAGGTAGTCTTTGATTAGTTTTAGGCAATATTTAGGCATGATAGCAACTCTATTAATTTTTATGAAATCTTACTGTTTATCCCATTTATTTATTATTGAGTACCAGCTTTTTCAGGCAGAAAAACTCTATTACTTCTGTGATTTATTATGCTCATTCTTTTTAAAATTTGTTGCTAATTTCAGTTAGAGATAGGAATTTTAAGATGTTCTTAGTAGCAATGTTTTTCATATATTTTGTTTGTGCATGAGTTGACTGCAGCCACTTTTGCTGTACTCAATTATGTGCAGCATTTATTCCTCATCATAACAGAATTTACTAACAATTTTTGGCCATCTTATCTTATTTTTTGCATATGGGGTCAGCTAAGCTGATGCACGTCGACCCATACCAATCTTTTGTGCTTCTCCCTGGCTTATACCATCATTTCATAGATATGTGTTACCCTAATGATATCCCGTGGTTTAAGATATCTGTAGTCCTCTGGTTCTGGATAAGCCATTCCCAGTAGACTCATATGCATACTTGCCAATGAATCGCAGATGCACACCAAGTGTTCCATGGATTCCAATTTCTCCCCACACAGTCTGCACAGTGTGTCCAAAGATTGACCCATCTTATGTAGTATATGCCTTATTGGCATATGTCCAGTTAGGGCACCCATAATGAGTCTTGCCTGTTGTTTGCCACTGCTGTAGATGAGTTTATCCCATCCCTTAACATTGTCATTTAAAAACTTTTTAGGATATCTAAGACCCTTCAAAGTTCTCCATTTCTTTTGCTGTTTTTTCCTCACATACTTCTCAAGGACAGATATAACAACACTTGATGCAAGTGCAACGTATGGTTCAGGACCTACCATTTTTGATTCTGATCCCTTTCTCGCCAACTCATCTGCCTTTTCATTACCTTTAATCCCTTTATGTCCAGGAACCCATACCAAGCTAACCCTATTATGCCTACCCAAATTTGGCCATAAGCCTCTGTTTATTCTAGTTAATCAATGTTTCAATTATACATATAAAGTCTTCTGTACCCATCTACTTAATATGTCTAATTTCAGCAACAAATGATTGTAAGTGGGTCCCCTATATTACAAAGTACACAGATAATGTCTCAAGGACAAAGCAATCAGATTATATCTCAGTCACAATTGATCAGTTCTGGACAGATATTGAGTCCAGCAACCCAGATAATTAGTCAAGGGAGCCAGTTATCAGCACAGCCAGCAAGCAACACTAATGTGCAAACTTCTGGTGCACCACCAGTAAGTGCAGCACAAGTATTAAATGTGGGAGGGCAGCTGATGAGTGGGCAAGGTAACCTGGTTGTCAGTCCATCTGTGCGTACACTACCACCTGTAAGAGTATTGCCACCGTTGCCTCATCACAATACTAGACCAGGTAAAATATTATTTCTTTATAAAAACACAATTAGTTATAAGAAATACGCAGCATAAATTATTACAGTCTTACTATAGAAATAAATGAAAACACTACCTACCTAAAGAGTGTTTATCAAATCTCTGTCTAAGTAATTAAACATTATTTAGTCAGTGTTATAATATTTATTTGTATTTTTTTTATTGCCTTGTTATCATATAAGTATAAATAAATATTTTCATGTTTATATAAACTTTATAAGAATTTATCATAAGTCCCAAACTATATTTATTAAAAAAAAAAATATGTATGAAGAAAAATAATAATTTTAAATGTAAAATTATTGTCTATACTTTACAATTTTAATATAAAATGTTTCTATAATAACAATGAAAACTTTAAAATATTAATTATGTTATTTAAATTGGTATTTATATTTTACAGCTGTGTTGTCAAATGTGAATGTAAGTACTACAGGTGGTGGTGGTGTACTAGTTAGTAAAGGAGTGGGTGTGACAAGCCATGTGCCCCATGTCCCACGAGGCCTGGCTGCTGGTGCTTCGCTTGCTATCAGACAAGTTGCACCAACCCCCGCTCCTCAGCCATTGGCTACAGGTAATTTGTTTTCATTTTGATTATTTTCAACACATTTTAAATTGATTTATTATAGTAATTGTTAGTCATCCAGTCAGTCATAGTATTCATAGATTTGGTTTTGACACTAAGTTTCATATGTCAGTATTTTTTTTATATTTACAATCTACCTGTCAATTTCATGTGTAAAACTCACTATTGGTAGAGTTTCTTTAGTAGTACAGAAAGGAGGTGTTTGCTATCCCCTAGTAGTATTCCCCCGCCTTTTATCGTATCTCCTTCATAGGGCATGATGTGGATAGATGTTATGACACATTTATTTAGTCAAATATATTTTAATATCATTGTTCTTTATCAAGTATTAAGACAACAATGAATTCATACAGGTAATAGTTGGTCAGGAGGTAATCGTGGGCCACGGGGAGTACTATACGGAGCGCGTGCACCTCCACCTCGCGTAAGCACGCCGCGCTCGTCCGCTCCCGTTTCCGCCCCCGCCTCCGCTCTCGCCCCAGCCTCTGCGTCTGCACCAGCACCTTTACCTGGGCCACCAACAAACTTTGCAGGCGCACCTACGATACCATTGTCCTCTGCTGCCCTGTCCACCACACAGCCATCGCATTCTGCTATCGTAACATTGGCGACTACATCTGTGCTTACATGTTAGTAGCACTTATAATTTTTTATATTACTATAATACCACACAAATAGAAAGCTGCCAGTTGTAAAACAGAAGTCATTAGCTGGATCATATATCGTAAAACGTAGTTTCATGTAACAGCCAAAAAATACAGCAGAAAAATTCGATAATACCTTCTTTGTGCTTACTATGCTATATAATATACTAATTTTATATGAATGAAATTGATATATACAGTATATTAATTAACGTGACTCATTTCTTAAAACTGGTATTAGTATTCATTAATATTCTTAGGTTTATAAAATTTTATTTTTCCTTAGAAAAAGTTTTTATATTACTAAAAAAACAAAAAGCAAAACTATTTTCGAAAAAAAAAACAACCTATATCTGTACCGACGACACTACACAGTGCAAAGTATGTACATACCTATTATTATGTAGTGTCGATGATACAAATCGTTTTTTATATAAATCGTAATATAAAATTATATATGTAAAGTATATAATTGTTTTCTAGGATTTTTTTTTTGAAACCTTTTAATGAATACTATCACTAGTTTTAAGGAATGGCTTAAGTTACGTTAACGTACTGTATATAACCCTAAAAATAACTCAAATTAACATTTAAAAAGAAAAATTCACTTTGTGATTGTAAATGAATCAATCTTTTCAACGCTTCTATTCTTTAATTTTTATTAGGTAACTAACTGATTCGGCAGTTTTCCCAATTACCACCATCTATCGGATCTCTTTTCGTATCAAAGTTAAAGCTATCCTATTTCTTAAATTGAAATAAACAATATATGTTTACTAACATCTATATTTAGTTCGCTGGTCCAGCCGTTACGGAGTTGTTAGCTAAACAATGGATTTAGCAATTAATTTTTATTTATTTAGATAGATTAAGTATCATTGATAATTTCAGCCAGCGGAGTGATAGCAGGCACCATCCGCGGCGCGGCGCCGCGGGCCGCCACGCCTGCGCCGGCTGCCAGTGCTGTGGCCCCGACCACCGCCTCCGCTGCAAATGTTGCTGTTACCCCACGACCTTTGCCACTGCTACAAAGGAACTACCAGTCGAAGGTAACATTACTCCCTAATTAATATTAATATTGTAGTTATGTGTAAAATTGCCATCTCGAATGAAATACCTAGGTAATTTTACTTATTTCAGGCAGCCGGTTTTAAATATTGTGGCCATTTTATGCATAAATATTTAAAATTAAAATAATTTAAAAATAATTCCGTAACAAGTGTATTTAGAGTTTATTCATTCAATTGACCCCTGTCAATGCAAGTACATTGTTTTCTTACAATTACAGGATCTATTTTTTAATTTCCATAACTTCTAACAATTTTCGGTCTCATCCCTACAAATATTGATATAAAAAAAATATCTATTAGTGTAATGTTCTACCACCACTCCACAAAGAACTATATAGGAGAATACAAAAACTCACTCATGCTTTCACAACAGCATATCTTCGATGTCCGCCCAAAAACCACCTCAAAGTCAGTACAGGTAACATTATATGTATATTTTGAAATGTTTAACATAACTGATTTCTGCAGACTATATTTTGAGACATGAGTGGTGATACGCAGGTGGTGGGTGTGGCCAGTGTAGGCGTACGTGGTGTGGTGGGCAACAGTGCGCCGGCGCAGCTGTACTACGAGGTGCCGCGCCCGCTGCCGCAGCGCCCTCTCACGCCTTTCCCGCTCCACCAAACGCACCAATCCCACCAGACGCATCAGCCGCATCAATTACACCAATCGCACGCGCCTACTCCAGGTAACTTCCACGTCTATTTTCGTAGTATATGATTCAATGAATCATATCCTTAACTGTCGTTAAAAATAGCTATTACAAGGGGTCATTTGAAAAGTTCTTAGCCTAACATAAGTCGTGAGTCGGTTGCGTTTTTGTTCCACTGAAAGCAGTCGCGGTACCCACCGCGCAGACACCTTAGAGAATCCAAGTTCAGTAGTAATTATATGATGTGTTCGCTCAGATGAGATGCCTACAGTCTTAGCTATCTCCTCGACAGTCAATCTTCGATCAGATAAAATTAAATCACAGAATTTTTCTTTGTTTTGATCAGTGGAAGCAGTCGAAGGCCGGCCACTATGGGGCCATCTTGAATGGTCTCACGACCACGTTTAAACTCTGACACCTAGTTTTTAACAGTCGCATACGAAGGAGCGGACTCACCCAAAGTAGTAGACATGTCTTCATGTATAGCTTTTGGAGTTAAACCTTTCAAATTCAGGTATTTTATCACTGCACGATTTTCAATTTTATCCATTTTCAAAAATAGCTCTGACTTGATTTACGGTATCACGTGTAAACGAACACTGAGTTACTATGAATAAACTAAACTGTGCGTACTTGTTGGTAAATAATGTAACTACAAAATGGGGGTAGTTATAAAAAAAACCAATGACTTTAACCATGTTAGGTTAAGAACTTTTCAAATGACCCTCGTGATAAAATTAAACAATATGTAACAGTACCGTTACAACAAACTTACATTGTACTTAAAAAACAAGTTCAGTCTGAAAACATGGATTTCCTTCTATCTTGTTATGATTTAATTCATAATTAATCATAAATGCAGTATTTTTTTAAGTTTAAAATATATTTTCATGTAACAACATTATGTCCTATGTAAGTATGTATTATTCCTTGAGAAATGTTTACATATATTTATTTACTTCGTTTTAACTTCGCATATGCTAAACATATGATATGAATGAATTATGATTACTTAATAAATAACAGAGGGAGACTTTGTACAAAAGTCGATTGCTTGGGTACCTCTCTCCCATTCGTGTTTCAACAATGAAACAGTTGTGTTTGCATGGCTGTGTTTCGGTTTGAAGGGTGGGATATGGCGTGAATTTACTGGGTACAGAGGAATAACACCTGAGTCCTCGGGAATGGTAACGCATGGGGGGTATCATGGGCGAAACAGTATACTCTGTTATGTCCATGTTACTGCTCATGTCTATAGGCGACGGTTACCACTTTCCATCAGGTGGGCCGTCAGCTTGTTTGCCATTCTAAGTTGTATAAAAAAAAAAAAAAACTTAAAATGTGTGTAAGGCTTTATTAACACGACAAGAAATAACATGTATCCATCGAATGTACAATAATTATTATTTTATCTATACATAATACTTACTTGTAGAGAGTTTAACAATGATGTTGTGATGTGAATGAACAATAATCTTGGCATTATTGTGCTACTTGACACAAAGAATATTTTCACTTATGTAGATGTCATATAATAATTGACTAAATAACTTATTTCTTCTGTCATAGTTGGCATAGTAAATCCTGTATCCTCAACTATATCTGAGAACAGACCGCCACCAACTTCCATCACATCTGTGCTTCCAAGACCGTCCATACTGAGGAAACGAGATATAGATGGGTATATATTTATTGTCTTATTTATATACATATTTATTAGTAAGTTTCCGCAACTTCATCTGTGATCAGGTCTATTTGAGATCACCTCTATCTCAAATACTAATTTTGAAGAAAATTTATTGATTTGTTAATACACTAAAAGGTAACAAACTTGCTTTCACATCTACAATATTTAAATACAAAAATTTATTTTTATATATATAAAAATCAATTCCTAATCCTTAGTCTCGTTAAAACTCAAAAATAGTTTGACTAATATTTGAATATTTTTGGTTTTATTTCTAATAAAAAAAACTTTCTATAAAACACCCCTAGGTGTTTTAAAAGAGAAAAAAAACTCGGATATCCCTAAAGTTCACCTGAAAAACCGAAAAATGAAAAATAGTTAATTTTATATGGTTATCACTACTTTGAATAACTTTTAATTAGTGTCCTACCGAAACAGGTTTTACAAACGAAACCGAATCTGAACTTTCGGCCTTGGTTTCAGTTTCAGCCGAAACCAAAACTTATTGAAACATTAAAATTTCTCTTCTATACTAAAATCTAGTGTATTTTTTACACAATTATTTACACAAACACACAGATAGTTAAAGAGTAATAATAAACACTAATGTATGTAACAAATATGTTATATATATTTATATGTAGAAACATGTTAAAATTATGACTTACTCTTGGAAGTAAACTTAAAAAAAAACAAGTTTCAGTTAGATACACACACAAAGTTTCGACGCGGCCGAAAGTTTCGGCCAATTTTTGGCCGATTCCGAAACTAAGGCCGAAAGTAGAATTTCTAGCCGAAACCGAAACCAAAAGTTCGTTCGAACACTACTTTTAATAGATAGCGTTGAAAGTGATATAGAATTCTTCAGGCTATCTAGTAAGATAATGAAGATATTGTATTTGGTAGCATAAATTTTATCATTCTTGAATTTATAATTACAGTTCACCGACCAAGACAGGAAGTGGTCATTTGCTTGCGTACGGCCGAGAAGGTACAGGCTGGGAGGACGTTCCAACAGGCATGAGTAGCAGTGGAGCCATTGCCGGTGTGGGAGCGGAAGCGGAAACGGGCGCGGGAGTGATGGACGGCAACGGTTCGGGTGGTTCCACCACCATCTCAGCATCCTCGTCTCCTGCGCCCGACGACGAACCCGATCCGCCACGTATTGACAATGACGTCTCTCCAAGAAAGAAGCCGAGGAAACAAATGTCAGTTTCTTGATTGGTTTACCTTCATGTCAAAGCCATACCAAACAATTTCGGTTGTTAAAAAGCCACTCAACATTCATGCCAGCTCAAGTCTGATTATTGTTCTCAAGACACAAATGCATTGTTCACATTGTCTTCTACTTTAAAATTGTTATTAAGATTTAACAATCGAAATTCACCAATAGATATTGCTATGTAGAGACTGCTGACACAATTTGCTATTAATTAATTTAATTATTAATTATTTATTAATTTATGGGCTGAACAGGAAAAACAGAGTGTACTTAACTCTCTAAGTTAACATGTTCATGACTTGTCTGGTGCATACAAGACTGCTCTAGTCTATTGTCTCTTTCCTCAGATTGTATAAGATCAATCTGATCGTGATAAATATGAATATAAAATCCACGTATTATATATTATAAAATCCATATATTAATTTTGCCTCATCCTATAAATTTGTCATTTAGTGTTAATATAATTTAACTGTAGTATAAAACATGGATAGATAGATCTGGCGAGAATTTATTTTTATTCTACCGTAATATAAATGCCAATAAAATTAACAGGTTAAGCAGTGAAGTGAGACAGTGCGAATTTCCGGCAGAAGAAACACCGCCCCCACCATCTCCATCCCCAGTGACCGTCAATCCTCCGCCTAAACGTAAGGATTTTTATTATAATTCATTAAAACAAGTACAAATAGCATATAGGAGGGAAAGAGATTGTTAGTAATGAATAGACTCTAATAAACTTATTGCTAGCAATATACCCTAACAGAGCAACCTGCATGCAGTTCCCCTTTGAAATCATCACGGTCAATATTGTCACAATGGACTGACTGACCTGATTTTATCTTCATCAATCGTCTCTCACTTGTGCCCAGCCAAGATATGCCGATAGCGCAGGCGGGGTTACTTGCATATATTTGAATAAAGATGACACGAAGATAGAATGGTGCACCAGCCTATGCTAATGGTATATAATGGCAGAGCACCAGTGAAAGATGAAGTCTGATTAGTTGATCGTAACAAATTTACTAAAATTAATCACAGGTGTTCTCAAACAGTATCTATGTGGAAATAAAACTGACAGCGTATATTACTAGTAACGGGGAGTAACTCCCTCCCTCCTCTTGCTGAATACTCCAAGATATTTGTATGGGTGATGGCAGGGCCGCTGCTAAGCTCGAGCTATGTGTGTGGCTGGCGCGGCACGGCGCTACACTTCGTGCGGCCGGCCGACGTGCGGCGCCGAGAGCCGCGCGCTTCCGACATACTCGCCATCGCCAGTCAGAAGCACGTTCTCACCAGCGCCGACGGCTGGAAGATTCACCATCTCACCGCGCAAATGGACGACTTGGTAAATTATATTTGTTTTTATACAACTTAAAATGAGATACTAACTAACCTCATAAATGATACTTGTTTCCTATAAATATTTCTATTGAAAAAAACAAGGAAATAAATAGATAAAAAAATTACATCTGGTGATGATTTTTTTTAGAAACGCTACTAAAGTGTGCTAATATGATGAAATATGAGATAATTAGGCACTTATTTTTGTTATTAAAATCGGTACAAACTCTCAATTTTCCTGTATTTTTTTAGTATGTTATGCAAAATGCATAGAAATAAGGTCGTTAAGTTTGGTTAAATGATCATGAAAATTTGATTGTTTATTTTCTATATTACTAACTGCCATTATGTTATTTTAACGTAAATATTCCCACAATTATAATAATCAAGCTATAAAAAATAAAATGAAAAACGAATATGGTACATTAAACTTGAGTTGAACTAATCTATCTATTGCATATAGGTTTCATTGGAAGCTGACGTAGGTGAACAATTAGCAGGCGTGTTACGAGCAGTGGAGACTGCTTCTGGACGGGCACTTACCGTGCTACGACCACATTCACACACATTATTAGAATTATTGAAGGTAATTTATAACTTTCCTAGTAATTTTCTCACGGGCATAAAATCATTACCATCTGTTTCTATCGAAATTTTCAATATTTATAACTTTTAAAACATGAACCAATACAAAATTTCATAATTTTTCACTATATACTTGAACCAAGCAATTTATTGCAAAAATCACAAAATAAGTTTTTATTTATGAGTTTTTACTCATTACTAAAATATACCTATTACAGTCTGTATTATCATACTTTATATAATGAATGATATGAATGTATTAAAACTGTAGTCTATGCACCGCACTATCCAGTCTCTATTCCAAATACTAACCCTAGCATCTTATAAACCTATTTTAATTATTGTTTTGGTTTTTTATTATGCACTACTTTCTATTTAAAAAAAAAAGTAAAACACTCTAGAAGTTGAAATAGATTTGTAAGAGATTTTAGTTTTTATAAATAATAGAGAAAGTATGTATATACTAAACATTTCATTGGTTGAATCATGGAGACACTAATAAATAACAAATAATTATTAATATTAACAATTTGTATTACACATAGCCTACGTGTATCGGCAATTTAAAGTGGTTTTGCTGTAATTTAAGATAGACAATGACAATGGGTGACAAATCCGGTTTGAAATGTTAAATAGAGGGATTTTAGTAAAATTTTAGCTTTCATCACCTATTTCATCTCACACTAAGGTGACTAAATCTTTCTAGAACCGTGGTCCAGGGCTCCCGAAAGGTCCATTGTCAGTGCCTACTCTTCGTCGTTTATGTATACATATATAAAAAATAGATAAAATAATAAATTATCCCTAGAATCACCCCAAATAAACCGATGACTTGCGAATATTTGCGCCTGTTTACAAAAATGTAGTGTAAACCGGCGTGTTGGATCTCCCGCGCAAAAATTATATTTAAGTTGTGCGGCGTCTGTACGTGTAACCGGAGTCTACATACATTCCCGTAGTTATGTAATGTGCGAGTGTAGAGCCGCTACAGTATTAGAAAATGTTGCAGATAATTTTTAATATAAAATATAAAATATTTTGTAATACTTTCGCGGCGTTTGTTTTGCGTGTTTATTTAAACACAATAATTACGACGAATAATTATTTAAATAGAACTAATAAACATAAAATTGTTTATTCCAGGGTAATATACAAAGAAGTAAAATAGTTTGCGAAGGCATACAAGAAGCTCGTGATGACATCCTTAGAGTATTTACACATAGAAATTTCGTGTCAGACATTTTGACACGACAAGCCGACAAACGGTGCTTCAGAAAACACCGATCGCAATCGTAGCAAAATGTTGAGATAAATAAATTCTATATTGTGCTTGTAAATAATTTATGTAAATGTTAAAATAAAATAACATTTAAGTTAAAGATTGCCTTGAATGACTTGCGTTTTGGTAACTTAGAGTAATTATTTTACTATAATAAATGTTTTGTAATATTTATCTGTTCAAATTATTTTGGAGAATGTGTACCTTTCTGTTTAATCGACGATAATAGAATGATAACCCTAATGCTAACGGTATATATATTCTTTATTGCACTAAAATATGCTGACAGGACACCAGTGATAGATTATAGGTAAGAATGAAAGAGCAAACCAGTTAGCCCATCGTGATGAATATACCTAGAATCCAGCACAATGTTTTCCAGGTGGGATCACATAGAGGTCGATCTACCAGGGTATATTGTTTTTTTTTAATGGATAATAATGGAATGGTAACCCCGCCAGCGTATACCGTTAGCGCAGGCGGGATTACCAGTGATAGATGATAGGTGAGGATGAAAGGGCAGGTCAGTTAGCCCATCGTGATGAATACACTTGGAATTCAGCACGATAGTTTCCAGGGGAGACCACGGGGAGGTCGACTTGTTAGGGTATATTATTAGCAATGGAACTGATAAGGGTATATTGTTAGCAATGGGACTAGTAGCCCGCATTACTAACAATCCCTTCCCCCCGTACCCTTCTGGTTTAACATGCCTTAGTAGTACTAATACTATTATATACTACTTTACTATGACTACCATAAATTTCGAACTCGCCAAAAATTATGACTTCCTATGAAGATTACGCGAAAGTATCGTATATATGGAAAAACATCTACCGTTTACTTGCTCTGTTTTCGGAATAGTTTAAGTATGGCCGTATCTAGTTCTTAGGTAAATGGTCTACTAAACGTGCCTATCGTCATCTGTCAAAGTCAATTTATTTCACAACAGTCAACATACTCTCTCTTGGTGTACAGGACTAATTTCTTTAGACGTAGTCTAATTTGTGGAATATTTTCTAACTTCGTTTTGATTTTTTTTTTAAATTAATCTATTCGTATAGTAAAATTTGATAATTTAGAATATAAATTATGTATATGTCATTAGAAGAGAGGTCATTAGAAAAATGAATTAGGATAATTTCTAGCTGTTGCTTTTTCTTTTATAAAAAAAAAACTGAATAGGCCACCCCTTCCTTTCCCGTAGATGTTATAAGAAGCGACTAAGAAGTACAAGGTATGGGCAGTAGCGTCCCTCTTAAAATATCTCTACGCTTGCCAATTCGCCTGCCAAGCATGACAGCTACTGGCAAAACCCCCCAATGGGAAACACTAAAAAGAAGGCCCCCAATCCCCAGATGTTATCATCATAACAGCTGATAATAATGATAAATATGACAATTCTAGTTAATATTTCTAATTCTAATTTTTTTTTAATGAATGAATGGTAACTCCGCCTGCGCTATCGTATCGCTATATAACATAACTATATAGTAACGTTCTATTAAGTTGGTAAAAGCAGTTTTGATAATCCTAAATGACAATCTGTTCACTCCATAAGCATATTTATTTATAACTCAGACTTTTCTATTCGCCCCATTAAAGTTTTATCACCCCTTTAGCAATTCGAATTGCTTCATTTTTTTACAAATTTTATATGATATATAAATTATGGGACTATAAATTAATTTACTTATTTTAAACAAATTTACCTTTTATATATTCAAATTACAAATATATTACATACACTCTTCGAAATGTATATACTACGAAAAACAAACTACGGCTGTTATATAAAGAATGTTCTTAATTTGAAAATTTTTGTACTAATTATAACCTTAAAACATAAAAATGTTTATTTTACTTTAAATATTGTTTATATCTTATAGAAAGACTGGTAGAAATTAAGTCTTTATCTTTTTTCCGTTCTTTTCTATTCACCCCGTGATTCCTATTGACGTTTACGATAGTTATTCTAACCTAATTTTTTTAATATAAATTAATATTATATAAAAGTAGTATTAATAAGCAAATTTTAGTCACTAGATAATAACTACTTCTAGAAATTTGTTTAATCTTGAGAAAAAAGCAGAAATGGCAAGTAGCAGACTCGAAAGAATTGGGACAATATTTACAAGGTTTGTATTATTACAGTATAATTTTGAATAATAATAAGTTAAATATTTATTCATTTATTATTAAACACCGCCTTGGATAATATTATGTTTTGAATCCTGTAAGCTTTAATTCGTTTCGGCTTTATTTTGTTACTTTTTTCCTTACTTATAAGAATTAAAATTTACGTACAAAAAAAAATTACGGCGCCGCTCATCAAAAAAAAAAGGATTCTTTATTTAAAAATTTTCAGCGGGAATTTAGTAATTTGGCGGTAGTATTTACTAGGTAGTGAGAAAATTTCATCCAAAAATTAGAAATTTCAAATTTTTTTATATCTCGAGCGATTACATTCGTTATTTAGTTTAAATAATGTCAAATAAGAAAGTCAAGGAATCAAAATTGGATGCTGAAGAGGATGACTTTCTAGAAACTCAGTTTTTAAAAGATTCTTCTAAACCTAAAGAAAAAAGAATTCAAAAAAGAAATGGGTCTGAAATAGTTGAGGAAGAAGATAATTTTATCAGTCAATATCAAGCCAGTGCTAAAAAAAGGAAACCAAAACTTCAAAGTACTGAAGGTCCTGAAGAATCACGGCAAAAGTTGCTACATGTAATGAGTCATCAATTAAAAACAAGGTTTGTGTATTATATTTATTATTGCTTATTACAAATTAAATATTCCACATAGTGTCAGATTATCTATATTTAAGTAATGTAGACAACTACTTAAGGCTAAAAATATATTATAAATCACTTAGAAGCCCCTCTAAAAAGTTCTACTTTTAAACTTATAAATCTGTTACTCTAATTGTTTCATATTATTTAATAAAGCTTTCATTTTAAAAATCAAACCTATGTTATATTTTCAGAAAAGACAGTCATGCTAATTTACTTAACAATCTATTGGATGTAATAAATCAGCTACAGGTTGACTATAATGCTATGAAAGAGAATGAGCAGAAACTGGAACATCTAACTGGTGCATTAATGAAATGTATCCAGCAAGCGGGTATTGCATATAAGCAAAAACTTAAAACATTAAAAGAAATTCATGCTGCCTTTAAAAAAGAGTAAGACATAGACTATTATAATTTTTAATGAATTAAGTTGCTAATAATTTGATTCGAATTAATATTATTGGTTCTTTTCCAGGTCAGAAGTAATGGACTGTGATCACAAGTCTGAAACAGACAAGCTTGCTAATGAGTTAAAAGAAGATATAAAAAAAATACAACGTAAAGTTATAGCAGAAACAAAACGGAATGGACTTGAAGCTTTACGTCGATCTATTTTTCAAACTGTTGAAAATAACTTTTAATTTATTGTTTTTTTTTATAAATTTAATTTAATGACATGTAAACAAAGGTACACTATATAATAATAAATTTCTGTGTAATTTTCTTTTAAAATAACACATGGTTTTAATTCTATTTAACTAACATCGATTGACATGAATTTCTTTGTATGTTATGTGATAACTCTAATTCTGGACCTATTTAGATGATATTTTTTGCAATCAAATAATTTCCTTCTATGAGAAGTGAATTTTGTTGTGGAATAAAATTTTTAATTGTTTATTTTATCAATCTAAATTCCTGGTTACACTTGTCTGAAGCATATATAAGTTATTGAAGCAAAGAAAGGAGTAACTATAAACAGTGGAATGTGGGCAAGGATAGACAGAGGTTTATGACTATTAGCAACTTTAAGATTATTTTACTGGGATGGCAAACATCTTTGAAAACCTTTATTGTGGAGTGAAAACTGGTAACCAAGCTTACTCTATCGGTTTATGCTGGGAATCCTGAGGTAAGGGGTGGTGGGCATGGCCGTCTTATGACCCAAACCTCTGCCTGTCCTGAAAGGCTTACTTAGGTTAAGAAAAATAATACAAACTGTGTGAATTTAAAAATTATTTATTAAAATAATTATAATACCAAAGACACAAGTCTAATATGGACAACTTTGCCTATCCACAGTGTTTATGTGATCGAAAGCTATAACATTAGACTTGGGTTGAATAGGATATTTGTTATGCCCTTGTTAATACAGTTGAACTAATTTTACAATTACAAAAGTTCATTCATACTTCCATATTCAACTCGACCAATTATCATTCCCAATTAAATGTAACGAAATATCATTATTGATTTTAAAATTTCTTACTCAACAGGGTAGAAGGACTCTTGACACGAGGTGCAATGAAACCTGACGACAGACCTCTTTGGTTCGATGTGTATAAAGCATTCCCACCTATAACTGAACCTAAATTTGCTAAACCTAAACCCGAAATTAAATCCATAAGACCGATTTTATACAAGGAAGACATACTACGAGCGTAAGTATTTTTACCTATTTATTTATTCTTGTCAAGCTATAAAATACTTATACGAAGCCGCGGGTTAAAACTAGTGATATTTTAAATTTTGCGAGTAGTTTTTTTCATTTTGCCGCTTTAATGGTTTAACTAATCGTCATAAAATGTATTTTTATTTACACTTAAGAAGCACGATCGTGAATTTAAGAATGGTATAATAGAAATAGCTTATGATGTGGACACAGCTATTTCGTTCATGAATTTCCTTTATGTGTGTGCAGTTAACGGTTGAAATAATAATAATAAAATATATGTAACAGTTTTCGTGACATTGAATGTGCTTTCTGAGCGACAGTCGTAAATGCCTCCTATTTTGCAGCCCCATTTTTCATAAAGTATCACTAGCCAGTGTTATTTATTTTTTTCTACTCATTTATTTACAGAAAATTTCACTCCAATGGCCATGGTTTAGGCGTAGTAAATATGTTACATCCTACCAGTGAAACACATACGAAAAAGCTTTTACAACAATATAAAAAATTAAAAGCTGAAGGAGTTCCTGAACATGAGCTTATCGAAAAATCTGCAGCAGTTGTAGAGAACGAGAGGACTGTTGAACGACAAGAAGCATCTAAAGCCAAAATTACCGGCAGAAATCAAGAGTCATCAGCTCAAACTCTTGCAGAAGCAGATCTAAAAAATATTTTCAAGGAAAATTAGTTTCTGAGCACAGTTTTTATAGTTAATTAGATAGAATTTAGAATAAAGTTATATTTATTAACTGTATAATTTTTTTTTTATTTGTCGTACTATTGACACAATCTACAGGTGTATGAAATCGAAATCTTTAGCTATACATAAAAATTATAAATCTACTGATAAAATATATTAAAATTAAAAGTTACATGAATGAATTTTCAAAAACCTCAACGAATTTTATGATATTATTTTCTTGATTTAATATGGGACGCTCAAATTTTTCCTGTCGTTTTAACGTCCATATTTCTTTAGTGAAAATGTTTATTTTTACTGAGAAACAGCTAAAGATGTTAGTTTAACCAAATATATGTACTTAGTATCTTGAGTAAGCGTGTATCTCGACAGAAATTTTCATCGATTACGTATATCAACTTTTGTGTACATTTTTTTTAACTAAAATTAAATATGGTGGGAAAATATGGACTAAATAAATATCACACAATACGAGGAATCAGGCAACGACTTTCTGGGAGCACATTCTACCCAGACCCTAGACATTTAGAAAAGTTAGTTTTGAAATTGGTCCGACCGGGAATCAAACTTGGGACCTTATTTATGCAAAGTAACGCGCCTGCCTCTGAGCTACTGATAAAAAAAAAAGTAAATTTAATACTGAAAGTAACTTATTTCCCTAAATTAGATTACTTTGCATTTTTAATAATTGTTTATAAAAACGGGAAAATCATTACAGAATTAATTTTTACTCCAGATCAATAAATGCATAATACGAGTATTTCTTCTTAAAACATCCCGCATCTAAAAACATCTCTCTCTAAAAACTCAACTGCGGTTGCCAACCCGCTTGCCAAGTATGGCAACTATTGGCAAAACTCCCCTTATAGGGAAGGCTTATGTTCAGCAATGGATAGTTAACGCCTGAAATGGTGATGTACTCTTATTTTTAATTATTAGGCGAAATTGTGGGCAAAAGTTTATGTGAGTAAACATTGAGTCATATCCTTTGTATGTGCTACATTTGAGCAATTACTTTAGGGCGAATCGTATTATATCTGCGTATTAGTAATCATGTTATCTTATCTGTATAAAGATAAGCGTTCGGTTGAAGAACACGCCTGATTGCGTTAGTGTACCTGAAATTGCCTTTATTCAAAGTGTTTTATTCAAAACAGAATAAAGAAGTGATCAAATTATTCAAAATGGCTCAAAAGAAATCGATTTGGTTTTACCTTGCTGTTATTTTGGGTAAGTTATATTTGATATATGTAATTAGTTTTATATACACATATTATTAAATAAATAGTAATTTGCCTAACATTTACGCATATTCTCAAGATGTTAAAATTGCCTATCCTTAATATTTAATAAGAGGAATATATGAATGTCTATATTATCGTCATTTCTAATTGCAAAATTTGGAAGATGGTGCATATGTATCTTGCCTACATATATTTACGTATTTATTATTTTGCTACCTGCTTCCATAAATTGATAAACTTGTACCTACTTAACTGTGACTAATCAATAAAAGAATTTTGTACATACGTACTATTATTTAATATTGTCAATTTTCGATAATTTTTTTATACATGATGCCGAAGGGTTAAACATTTATTTTAATATATACTAGCTTTTGCCGCAACTTTGTGTGTGTGGACTTTAGGTAGGTAACCACTTTTAAATGATTAATTAAGATAAGAGAGTGGATTTTAAGTTAGTCGTTCAGGAACATTATATATATATATATATATATATAGTTTTTAAAAACCCCTCTAAACAGTCTTTAGGGTATAAAAAATCATACTAGTATAATATTGCATTAAGTCCACCTTTAAAACCATATTTTCAATTATCAATAAAGTTATTTAAATAAATAAAAACAGGATCCTGTTGTAAAAAGCATGACAATAAAAGAATATATTCTTCTTTTAGTTTTTTTTTTTTAAGTTTAATTAATATTATTATTATATATTTTCAGTTGTTTTAAGTACCCTGACACAAGAAACAGAAGCTAGGAGAAAAATTCTGAGGGGAAGAAGAGTTATGACGCGCACTTATTATCGTAAGTTTCTTAGATTTAACAAAATGTTTAAATATAAGAAGTTTTAATACCGAAAAAAGGAGGGCAACATTTTTCGGGTATATCCGTACGCTGTAGTAATATGTAGTTGAAACGGCTAATTGATTTTCATAAATTAACATGACAACTATCAGAAACTGCAGATACTGGTATATTTGTATTGAAGATTAATTTTCGTAAAGGGGAGGGGGTCGATTACTACAATCTGACTTGTGCTTTTGTTTCTTAATTCTTGTGTTTGTTCAAAGTTCTGTGGTATTTTGTTAAATAACAATTATACGATTTTCAGATGGCAATGCAGTACCTGCTTGGGCTATAAGCTTGATGTCTGGTATAGGAATGTTGATCGTCGGCGGTATTGTATATGTAGTAATGAGAAAAGTTATTATATCCCCAGAAATAGTGGACATACAAAGTTTAGAGCATGGATATCAACGAACAGCGACAAGCGATCCAACACGATAAATCTTATAATGGCTATCCATTTTTTAGCAGAACAGTTATATTTAGAAATAACTAAATTCTGTAATGCCTATTATTTTCAACTAAACATTTAGCATAAGTATAAATTTTGTTACAAAATATTGCGAGGTAGGTACATGTTACATGTACGTGGTGCAACCACCGAAAAAACTATTGCTGTTATCAATTGTAATTATATACATGTTGTTTGTCCTATACATTTAATAGTGTTTTTATTTTATTTTTCTAACAAATAATTTTATTCATGTTTTACTTATAATATGTAATAAAAAAATATTATATAATTCACTTTCTTTATTTTTACTTATTAAATACAAATAAGATGGATAGATGAAGAAATTATAATTATCATGTCACATGAGATTTTAGTAATGCATTATGACGTAGTGGCTTTCGGTTATAACCAAATGGTATAATTGATTATCACTTAGAATTCCCTGCGATGGTATTTGTCAGGATCGAAATATGATGTGACGACTACACGGTTACTGAACTTGCGGCCTGTGAGAGTTTGTTGTGCCTTTTGACAATCTGCAATACTGTTGAACTCTACGAATACCTGTAAAAATAATAAATAAAATATTCATTAAGCTATAGTAGCTTAAAATAGAAAGATATTGTATAAAGTTGATTAATAAACAATTTAGGTTATAAACCACTTAAATTTTGCATTAAACTGTGTATGTAATAAAAAAATATTTATTATATAATAAATTAAACATGAAATAGGGAATATTAAACTACTCTTCCAGAATTGTGACAGAAGTTGAAATTTATTTTCCGCATACATTTTGTATTTTATTTCTGTACATTAACTTGATGGTAAATAGTCACTGTAGCTCATAAACGCAACATTTGAATAGGGATGGGAAATAAAGGAACAATAGATAAAATACCCTATCATTGTTTTTGAATTCATTCTATTAAATGTTATTGAAACAAACTCACTACATTACTTTCCCAATAAAAGGCCTCTAACTACTACATTATAGTTATGAGCATATTAATATATAACTGAAACTTGTTCAAAGCTTACCTTTCCACAGCCTGGTACCTCCACACCTTCAATAGGTCTTGGTATCTCTATACTGCGTACACAACCGTACTTATTACATTCCTCCCTGTAACAACAATTAATTGACATTTATAAGATTTCATTTTAATCCAAAAATGTAAGCTCGGCAAATAGCTAATTACAATATAATTTTAGTCATTTATATTTAATTTTTGATCATAGCCAATTTAATAGAAATCGGATTCGCAATCGGATGATTGCAATGAAGTTTGTACAATACGTCAATGTGAACTTGCGATTCCGAAAAGTAATTTGATAAATCAAATTGTGAATACTTATCTAAGTCCATAGCTTCAGTCTTAGTTGCAACTTAATTTCTAGAAAGTACTTGAGTGCATGTACTATTAGTAATATTATTCTCATAATACTACATCTAACAAGAGGACATTGAATAAAACATGCCAAGATTGCTTATACAAGTATATACATTTCAATATGAAAAGGGGAAAGTTTATATAAGTATAATAATAAAATATAAGTATAAACATAAGTGTTTAGTGGAAAATTATACGCACTTGATGTCCTCGAGAATATCCTCATACTCCTCTTCGTCGCGGAGCTCGTCGGGTGTGACCATGTTGAGGAGACACAGAACCTCGGTGGCGGGACCCGCGCCCGCCAATGTCAGACCCGCCACTTGAAGCTGTACTGGCGCTGCGCCTGTCATCGCTGTGCACATAAAAATCACGTATTTGGATTGTACGTAGACAATTTAAAATTCACTTTTTTTGTTGTTGTGTTCTATGTATGAACTAATGTTCATAGTCATACAACAGATGTATTTTTGTTTTGGAAAAATTAACAAGTTTCAACAAAATCATTATCAGACCATCATGGAACAAAATAGTTTCAGAAATTGGTTTACAGTTAATGATGTTATCATATAAGGAATACAAATAACATACATTACTTTTTCATATTATGAGATTATGATTTTTCAACAGTATTTATTGTATTTCTTACCTAATGTAGAATTCTTTGCACCGATACTGGCTCTCTGTACGATTAATTTCTTGTCACCCAACTGCATACCATTCAGTCCAGCAATAGCCTGATGACAATAAGACATTTAAAATGTTATAAAAAAAATTATGATATAAAATTGGATTATGAAAAAATATATTAATATATGTACCTGGTCTGTCATTGATATATCCACATATTCAGCAAAAGCGTAACCTTTGCTAAGTCCTGTTGAGGAATCTTTCACCAAATTGAAAGCTCGAAGTTGGCCAAATGACATCAGCAATTCTTTTACCTGTTTATATTGCACGCAATTAGTACGAGATAATTAAGTTGTAACAATTTGTTGTACAAATAGATACACAAGTTCTATATTATGTAGATGTACATTCAGCATACGTAACTTTTAGTGTTCCCATTGAGATTTGCTTAGCAAAATGCAGCAAATATATAAATGAATGTTATCTGACCTGTATCTAGCCGCATGTTAGATTCAGATGTGAATGGAGGAGACTTGCCTTGGAGTGCCGACGTCTCATTCAAGTACAAGACGTATAGGTGAGAATGAGAGACAACAGTGACACGCGGGCCGCGAATGTGCCAAATCTAAGCTAGGGAGGGGCAAAAAGCAAACTATATCAGTGAGTTGTATGAATAAGTATTGAGCGTGAATCGTGCACGCTCATCCCTCCAAGGGGTACCTGAAAATACCTGAAATGGACCAAATTATAACGCGGCTCACTGCTGGCTTCACCGTTGCCCTGTCAACTGTTGAATCTCGGCCTGAAATAGTTGCGGCTCCTAGTGCTACTTAATGGGAACTAGCTAGTAGTCAGTATAGTGATGTATGAGCATGCAGGCTCAGTGTACTATCCTGTATATAACTTTTATTGTTATACTTCATGTGAACTATCTATATATATTCTTACAACCCAGTGTAATAAGATGCCCACATGGTATTGGGTGTTATGAAAAGATCTCCTGTCCTAACTTTTAATATAATGACAACTTTTATATAAAATGATTGATGAATAATGATACTCATGTTTTATAACTAGGTAAATGTGGAGTCTGGGTACTGACCTGCAAAATATAATTTAGTTTAATCATATCCAGATTTACAAAATAATGAAAAAATATTGATTGGTATTGAAGTTAGGAAAGCAAACAAATATAATTTATACTGTTTTTATATAATTATGTGGAAAATGCTTTTGTAATTAATAATAATTTTAATATAGACATGATGCTTTTAAACTGTGAAACATTAATTTTTAAGGAGGTTTATCATAATAAATAATAATATATTCTACTAGAGTAAGATAATAAACCAGAAATAATTATTGCTTCACAGAATTATAGAATCAAGTATTATAGAAAACAACTTACTTGGTCTTCATTAAGATAATTAGGGAGTCCACCTATAAATATTTTGTGTGGTGAATCAGGCACAACAGTACTTATAACACCAGCTGAAAAAGTATAATAGTAATATTAAGAAATGAAAATTATAAAATAATTAAAATAATATTGATGCTACACCATGGTCATACAATATATTATACTGGATCAATTATTTCTACAGTTAATTATTAACAAAATATACCTGGTACATTTATAGCAGGGTTTTCTGTGCCCGGCATAGGTTGATAATCATGGGGCCGTCGAATCTTCAAGCTCTGTCCTTTGAAATTGATACCATCAAAAGCCATTGCTTGTGTAGTTTCATCAATAGATCTAAATTCAAGGAATGCAAAGTTTTTATCTAAGTTGATCTGGCACGCAAGGACTGGATTACCAGCAGCTTGCGCTAAGCCAGAAAGATGCATCTGTTGGTTGAAAAATTCCATAGTTTCTTCTTCAGTTACACCAAATGGTATGTTGCCAACATACAATCTCCTCGCTTGTCTTGTTATAGTAGAGCCAACAACAGGCACTGCCGCCTGTGGCGTATCAGCGACAATATTTGCCGGTATTTGGCCAGCCGCTTGCATAGCCTTATATTGTAATGGCGTTATATGTTCGAATCCTGGTGGAGGGACATCCCAATACAGAGAAGGCTTGCGTCTACGGGACCTCTTGGATGGCGACCTCGATCTGCTCTTCCTCTTTTCTCTCCTTTCTCTGGAACGAGATCTAGAACGGCGTCTTTCCCTTGATCGTGACCTGCGACGGCGATCTAAAATACCGCACAGTTTAATGCGTATAAAATTAAATATTTTTGTTAAACGTATAAACATTCTAAAATATATTTACCTTTATCTTCTCCCATAGTTTACAGGTTTTTTTCTATTTCAGAAAATCACAAATTACTTAAAATACAATACACAAAGAAAAATAAAATGCAACTTTCAATAATCAAAATGGCGGAGCAATCCACAAACAACCATAAACACTTAAATAGTTTTTTTTTAATTTTATTTCGTAGCATAGACGAGGAGCCTACCGTAGATATTATCTTTAGAGGAATAAGAGCAATTCATAATAATTATTTTAGTTTCAAAATAGCTATACAAAAGTAAAACAAATAAAGGATTAATAATTTGATATATTATTAATAATAATAATAATATTGATTACTAGCTGACCCCGTAAAAGTTGTTTTACCACTTATTGCGAAATATAAAAATCGCAATTAAAATACAGGGGTTGATCGTAAAACGATGAAAATTTAAAGTTGTATGTATTTTTCAATGCTAAATTATAATAAAATAAAAATAAAAAAAATTGTCAAAAAAATAAAAAAAATATTTTGGGGTGAGTCACCCATATTATTGATGGGTATGAAAAATAGATGTTGGCCGATTCTCAGACCTATCCAGTATGCACACAAAATTTCATGAAAATCGGTAAAGCCGTTTCGGAGGAGTTTGGTCACAAACACCGTGACACGAGAATTTTATATATTAGAGATATAATTGGTACTATAGATTATATTAAATACAATATTATCGATCAATATAGTCATTATACTTGGGGAAAGGGATTGTTAGTAATGGAGACTGAGAATCCCATTGCTAGCAATATATCCAACCAGGTCGACCTCCTCGTGGTTCCCCCTGGAAACTATCATGGTTAATTCCTGATGAATTCATCATGATGGGCCAACTGGCCTGTTTTCATTCTCATTTATCACCCTTCATTGGTGCTCCGCCAGCGTATCCCGTTAGCGCAGGCGGGGTTACCATACCATTTTCACCCATCAAAAAAATACGTAGAAAGAAGATGTCAATTACTATTTTTAGTCTATTTTATTATCATTAATATATAGTGGTACCTTGATACACGAGTGTCCTAATATACGAGTTTTGAGGTACGAACCGTCGAGCGGTTGCAATTAAATGAATGTTTGTCTTTTTCTTTTACGTGTACTAATGCTCCATCGAATTATGACGTACGCCAGTTCGCCATATTGATAAGCTGTATAAGCTACATACTCAAATTGTATTAAAATTTTATAATTCTCACTACAATTACACTTTTACTAATTATATTTGCATAAGAAAAGAAGCAACTATAGGATTTATAGTTTTTATTTTATCATTCCTTCTACGTAATCTTCTGAGAATTACATAGAAGGAATAATAAAATAGTAAAAAGAGGACAAAAGATACACCATCAGTTCTCATTTTTCTTAATTCATACAGGCTAGTGTATAGAAAATGTTTGTCAGAGACAAATTTTACATTATTAGATTATATATTTGATACAGTTTATGTAGAAAGTATGCAAGCAGGTTATATCTGAATATGGTAGAGTTATATAACATTTTCTATACACTAGTCTGTTATGAATTAACAATTTTATCACTCCTTCTATGTAATTCTTTGCTCTTAGGTAAGGAATTTAACGAGTATTTGGCAACACTAGTTCATTCATATTTTTACTCTTTGGTTACTTTCGTTTTCGTTGATATTTCATTTGATTTCAATTCAAGAAGCTAAAGGGAAGGGGTTAATATTTTCTAAGCGGTCCCCTTCTTTAGTTCCATGATTTCCATGGATTTTATTAATATCAGTTTGACATTAAAACTTTTCGGTAGAATACATTACAAAAGTTAAATTATAATAATGGTAAGTTTTAGTGGAAAAAAATATTCGCAAATTATAAACTTTTAAGTGATAAAAGTTTAAATTTATTTCAGAATCAACAAGTCAATGGTGTTGTTAAAAAGAGAAAGGATAATTTTTTGCAAGAAGCTGGTGAAATCCAAAAGAAAAATGTATCAAATACTACATGTTCTAAAGCAAAATTAAGCCCAAAAACCATTGGTTTGGTTTTTATATCATTATTATTGGATTTATTGGCATTCACTATGATCCTGCCACTTTTACCTTCGTTATTAGATTATTACAATAAAGAAGAAGGCAAAGGAAATAGTTTATATGCAAGTTTACTTCAAGCTGTCCAAAGTTTTCAAAAGTTTACAGGGGCACCAGATCGGTTTTCTTCAGTTTTATTTGGTGGAATTCTGGGCTCCATGTACAGCTTTCTCCAATTTCTAACGAGTCCAATAGTTGGAAGTCTTTCTGATGCATATGGAAGAAAGCCTATGCTCTTAATTTGTTTGGTAAGTAAAAATAAATTTAATATTTTGAGGTAAATATGGATAAAATATCTACAGTATACCATTTGCTGGTGTTTAAGACATCCTGAGTTATAAGTAACTAGACATTGGACATCTAAGGGTAAACAACAACTATTTAAGTGGCTTTTGTAAAGCACAGTGTTTTAAAAAAAATTGTTTTATTATTTTTAGTGTGTAATATAGAGTTATTAAAGTATGAGTCATTATTATAGAAAATAAAACTAGGGCAATTTTTAATATTACTATCAATGTTCTGGCAGGTAATAATATACTGTATTCTGTACTATATAATTTTCTAATCATCACTTGAAATTTAGGATCAAGATAAGTAGACAATACAATTTCAAAGATAATAATATAATGATAAGAAAAAAATATTTCTTCTATTGCTTTATTGAATTGTGAACATCTAGTTTGCCATTGGTTTTCTCAGATAATAAAAAAGTTTTTAATTATTAACAAGCAAGAGAGAATAATAATAATGACTTATTAATATTTTTATTAAATTCCTAAGAGATTAATTTATTATAAAGGCTATAAAACTTTATTTCTCTAATTTAATTTGGGGGGAGGTATCTGATAAAATCTATCCAAATATCATCTATATAATTAGAGAATAGATTTAAATCTTGTCAATTTATTATCTTGTTATTTAAAAAAATAGTACTTAGAAGATACCTTAGATAGATCATGTACTTTTTTAACATATTTTGTAGTGCAATGGTGGGCATGTTGCTTTCTATAAATGAGGTCCTGTGTTTGATTTTTAGCTAGATCAATTTTGAAAATTTTTTTTTCTGAATACACTTTATTTTGAGTTGTGATCTCAGTCCTCAGGAACTAGATAATGAACCTAGTTCCTAATATTACAGGGTATCCTAGCTTCCTCAAACACTCTACATTGCAATGGTCCTCACCAGGAGAGTGGTATCTTTCTATGTCACTGATTAGTATAATAAAGCAAAATACATCAATTTTATTATTTAAAATGTCACATAAGTGAGGAATAAGTAACTTATCACCAGTCACCAAATCTCACCAAGGAAAATTATTGTCTAAGGAAAGAAAACATGATTATTTTAGATTATTTGTGTCAGCCTTTAATTTTTTACAGGATTAAAATTCTTATTATTTTTACATAGTGTTATAAATAATATAAATTGATTAGCTATTCTAGAAAAGAAAAGTGATATTTTGTTTATTTCACAGATAGGCATAGCAGTATCACATGGTCTGTGGGGTTGTGCAAGAAGTTTTAGTGTGTTTGTATTGGCACGATTCATTGGTGGATTGAGCAAAGCCAATGTAAGTCTTAGTATGGCCATTGTTACAGATGCGTCAAATGAGAAAACTAGAGCAAGAGGAATGGTAAGAAGTTACATTAATCTTTTGACAGTTTGGTTTTGTAGCAATTGCTGTGCACATAATACTTTATTTATATTATACTAGAATTTTTAATATTATAATATTATAGATTGGTTCAGTTTATATTTGGAGAGGATGCATGAAAGAAGAATTACAAAAAGAGCATGAATCTTATTAATTTATTAGATGCACAAGATAGTTTTAAAACGAAATATTTAACAATATCAATACAGATTATATGTATCATGTCAAGTTGCAAGGACAAATTCAAGTGCATACAGCCTGATAGGCAACATTAATAAGAAATCTTATATTTAAACATTAGTACAATATTATTAAATGTATCATTAGGGGCTACCCTAGATGGATGTATGTCAACCAAATAGACGACATACTGAAGAAGAGACAGACAGACTGTGTGTATGAATAGATTGATGAATGTGGAGAAAGCGAAAAAGGTCAGTTTGGATCAAAGGGTTTGGTGTTCCACTGTTTCTATCTACCCTAATGGGAGGCATCATGGTGGATATGTATGTACATATGTATATTTAATATTTCTATCTATGACAAGTATTTTTAAAAGAATGTAAACATTTGATGTAAATTCTGTCTATTTGATTTATTAATGTAGGTAGTATCAGCTGAATAAACAAAATATAAAAGATGTTCTGTGGAACAAATTAATAGAGGATGAAAAATGGTAAAAAGGATGAGGTACCAGTGAGACCTATTTATTTGAGGCCACTAAAGGTTTTTTCAGCAGAAACTTGTGTAATACTTTCATAATTCTTAAGGAACCAATAAATTACTACATATTTATAATAACTTTAGTCAGAAAAATGCTTTACATCTGTCTTATGATCAACTGAAAGAAAAGAGCTTATTGATGTATTTCTGAGTATATGGAATAAAAGACTTTACAGTTACAAGATACTGGAACCTCTCTACTTCTCTTAATAAAGGCCTCTTCCTTCTTTAAAGTTGGTTAACTATAAATACCGGCACTGGATGCTATTATAGATTTCATTTTAATTTGTTGTTCCTCAAATAATAATAAGACAAATTAATTCCTTCCTATAGTTAAAGTAGGTAGGAAGGAATTCATAATAATCAATATTTCTAACTAATCAACTAAACAAGCAGTTTCCTTTGTATAGGCATGTAATCCAAAATGATAATTCACATAAATGCCAATTACGCTGTAAACCTACATTAACATACCACAGGTATGTTGTTTATATCACTGATAGCTATGTTAATTACTTTGTCACGCAGTTGTGACAAGATATAAAAATATTTATATAGGTAGTAATGTATTCTAACAATGTCTGTGTAATATATAGGTATCTAGGTGAATAATATAAAAAAAAATGTATAAAAGATGCTGCTGTGGTCTGCTTGATGCTAAGCTGCTAATTATGATATTTGAAACAAAAAGTTGATAATAAATACATATTGTATATACTTTTCAAAATTATTACTTTTCAGGCATTAATAGGTCTAGCGTTTTCTGTTGGGTTCATAATTGGACCTTTAGCAGGCGCTTGGTTCGCCGCTAACAATACCCTCACGTCTGGGCCATGGGGCGAGCGACCTGCTTTTTACGCACTGTTACTATCTCTTGCTAATGTAGCACTTGTAATATTCTTCATACCAGAAACATTACCCAAGGTTTGTTGTAAAATACAATTTATCTCTCTTTTTGAGTTGAATATGGGAAATTTATGGAATACTGTTGTTGTGTTTGTATGGCTGTGCTTTGGTTTGAGGGGTGGGATATTGCAGTGAATTTACAGTGTACAGGGTAAAAATATTTAATAAATTATTAATATATATATATATATATATATATATATATATATATATATATATATATATATATATATATATATATATATATATATATATATATATATATATATATATATATATATATATATATATATATATATATATAAAATTTTTGGTCACTAAAAAATCTATGATAAATTATTGATTTTGCAGTGACGAAATAATTATTTTGTCTAATATACAATCATCTAAAATTCCACATATATAAAGTTTTAATCATTATGAATACAAATATAGTACAGGATTGGGATATTTACTACTAGATAATTATTGTATATAGGTATTTATGTTAAATATTTCTCTACATTAATACACTATCATTTTTCAGGAGAAACGAGCACCACTATTGTTTACGCTGTCTAAGACACTGGATTTCGTATCCCCTTGGCATTTATTGAAATTTAGCGCTGTGAAAAATTTATCACAGCATCAGAATAAAGTACTTACAAAATTGGGACTGATCTACTTTTTATATTTATTTATATACTCTGGTCTCGAGTTTACTCTAACATTCCTCACTCATCATACCTTCCAATACACGGCTATGCAACAAGGAAAAATGTTCTTAGTCATAGGTAAGTCATACATGTGTGAAACATATTGTTTTTCCGTAATTTTCGTATTTCGTATTAATTCTTAAATGTGCGAGACGGTCCGATCAAAAGGAGCGTAAGCCGAATTAATATTCTTTATAACGACAGGCTAACGTTATAAAGGACGGTAAATATATTTTTTTACTCCTACGGCTCATAAACTCGATTATACAAAGGGTTTACTACTATATCCGATCAAATCGAGAGAGCCGCTTCACGGCGGAAATACGGTAGGATAGAGATACCTATTTATACGTTATTTTTTACAATACCTGTTTCCGTTTCCGACAGGCGTCATAATGGCGGTGCTGCAGGGCGGCGCGGCGCGGCGGCTGGGCGCGAAGGGCGCGGAGAGGGCCGCGCGGGCGGCGCTGGCGCTGACGCCGCTGTCGTTCGTGTGTGTGGCTGCCGCCGCCGCGCCGCGTCCGCCGCTGCTACCGCCCGTCGCCTGGCTCTGGCTCGGACTTGTCCTCTTTGCTGTTTGTTAGTATCGCTATTATTACTGTCACCGTAAAAAATATTATACAGGTCACACTAAAATATGTTTATATGAGTGATAATTGAATGGTGACCCCACCCGCGCTATCGGTATACACCTTCGGGACACCAGTGAAGGATAGGTGAGGATGAAGCAGGTCAGTTAACAATTCTTGTTGAACTTGTCACGATGGTTTCCAGGAGGAACCACGTGGAGGTCGACCTAATAGGGCATATTGTTAGTAATGGGGCTGTCAAACTCCATTGCTAATAATCTCTTTCCCCCCCAAAATATTGGTATTGGAATAAACATGCCGTGGCCAGAACTCCAGATGTCAAAATAGTGCCTACGGAATCAAAATTTAATTTAATTTTTCCACTAATATTCTTTGGGAAAATGTTCAGTTTCTCTGATAGAACATCTTTTAAATGTATGTTAATAATTTTGATTTCGTCTATGGTTATTGCTTTCCATTTTGAAAGTTATTAGGTTTGTAATTGGTTAGTAAAAAAAATAATAATGAAACGTATAAGTAAACTAACTGACTGGGTGATTTTTTTTTCTATCGGTATAAAAGCTACTTATTAATAAAAGTAAATAGTACATTTACAAAGTTTGATACAAATGATCAAAGATATTATTATGACTGAAGATCGTGACAAGGGATTTTAATGTACCTGTTAAGAGGAGATGTTTGATTGGTTGTGTGGTTGCAGCGACTGCGTTCGCGGTGTCGTGCCTGTCGTCGCTGGCGGCGGGGCAGGCGCCGGCGGCGGCTCGCGGCGCGGCGCTGGGTGCGCTGCGCTCGCTCGGTGCACTCGCGCGAGCTGCTGGCCCGCTGCTCGCCTCCTCCGGTATGGGTTTATTATTCAACTTCTCCATTGGCGTATTTACATAGATTTAGTATAACGTACTTACACTTTGTAATCTTAGTTAATTTATGATTACTTTCCATTCTGGCATCTTACAAAAGACACATATGCACTTTCAGATTTATCTTTGCCTATAGCTCAGAGCTCTATTTCTTATTCTGGGATAGGCATTAAGTCTGAACTAGGAATGGTCCACTCGGTTTCTCCTCTATGTACGCCTATGATGTTATTTTTATAAAAGTGTGGCAACTCCGCAAAGAACAATTACATACTAGTATTATTAATTTAAATGTTAATTATAGAACAAATACATAAGTACTACTTTTTTACGATTCGATGATAGGTTAAGTTAGGTAAGTATCCTACCATGTACTTAACGTTTTCATTTGTTATCAAAATAATTTTGTACAATATGTTATTATCTTTCTTCCAGTGTACTGGATTTCGGGCGCAACTACTACCTACACTATAGGAGCCGCAATTCTAATCATTCCAGCTGTGATGATGTTTAGACTGAAGATATGAACTCTATATCTTTTGCAGATTTTACACTGCCTCAAGAAGCACATAAGCAATAAAAGATTTTATATGCCTATTATGTACCTAACAGTAGGTAATAAGATTTGAGAATAACTTATTTATTGTAACATTACCAGATTTTATAACTTATTTATTTTATTGATAATACTTTATAAGTACAGGAGATTTATCTCGAATAAACAGTATTATATTACATGTGTTTGATTTATTAATAAAATTAAATATTGGATTCTGACAATATTTGTATATTTTTTTTTAATATAAAAAGAATTGGCGCATTTAAGATTATTTTATATGAAGGCCTGGCTCCTTGAAAAAGGTGCATGTGTTCGACAGGTTTTTTGAAATTGCTTATATTCTGGGGTAGGTATTGTATAATTCTGGTGTGCGCACGCTCCCACTGTGTTTTTGTACTTAGGAGGGGGAGGGGTTATAAAAATAAAATAAATGTTTCTTCGGTGGATAGAAAATACTCGTCAATCTCTACGATAAGAAATCGAGAAATAAACTAATAACAATTTGAACCTTTCGTGCCTATATAAATCGTAGATTAGTACAGGGGTTTCTACAATTTTAAAATAATGGAACATCCACCAAATACTTTTTATTTTATGCAACCTTACTTATTGAATGATTACAAATCGATACGACACGGCGATAGGCAATTTGTAAAGAGGAGAACAACTTGTCCAATTTGTTATATAGACATAGAACTATATAATAATTTAATCTCTGCTTCCTGTTGTTTTGATAAATTCAGATCGATCAGCGCCAGTTATCGAGCAATGACCTGTAAATGGCGGAGGTATGTTGCCATGGTAACACTTGTAATTTATGTTACGCAGGTCCGTTACCATGGTAGTTTATATTTGAATAAATGATGCGATATATCGACATTTATTAAAGTCACATTTTAATTACTTTTAAAATTTAAAGCAAATTCAAATAAATAAAATGCCACTGTTTAGCAGTAAATTCTCCACTAAGTCTATTCCTGTAAGACGCCAAGATACATCTGTACTAAAAAGCGAGTTCGGCAATGACTATGCAGCAAAAGAATTATCTCTTGATATTGCTCCATTAAAATTGAAGTTAAGCGACTTCGAAATGTCTTTCGTAGATGGACAGTGGATCCCAGGTCAGTGTCTAACTCTTCTGCCCTTTCTGATTATACATAATTACATAAAACTTCCAATTTTTAATTTGGCTAAACATTCAAAAAAGGTATTTATTAATTGTAGCTTCTGGAAAAGCGGGAGCGGCACATAAAGAAAATCTACGGCTCAAAAAAGAATTGGAACAACTCGAAGAAGAAAACAATATGTTACGTTTGAAATTTGAAATATTACTAGACATGATGACTGACAAGACTGTAGAGGCTGAGCAAGTTGAACTTCAAAGGGCACAGAGTTTAAGTAATTTAAGTAAAAAGAATAAAAAGCAACGGTGGTAGTGTTTTAAGTATTTATAGGTATTGTATAATTGCATTTTTATACTATTTTGTATATGATTATCAATGTTTTATCAATGTAAGTTATGAAACTTGATTAAATCTAATGTGCGTGTATAGTGGGTTATACGAAATTAATTGTACATGCATAAATATCTGTCACGCCGTACAAATTAATTGTGCACCGAATTAATTCCGTAATTATTGGGTCGATTCTGTGGCACTATTTCTCTCTTTACCTAATATTTTTATTTGATAATTTCGCCAAATTACTGTTTTATACGCCACCATATACCAAATTTATAACAATTTTGATTTAAAACTATTAGAAATTTTGTTCACATTGAATAAAGATTTAAGTGATTTAAAATTGAAATTTTAGATTTATTATTGAATTTAATTTTTAATTAATTTATAGATATGGTACTTCAAAATTGACTCCATTATAATACAATATCTGGTATAGTTTAATTTTATGAGATCTCTTGTTATTTATCATTGGAATGTTATTTCCAGTGATATATATGTATATTTATGATTATAAGATACAAATATTGAGTGTAATAAACTTAATTTTATATTTGTGTAATGGTTTATAAATTATCTACAGTTTCAATATAAAAAGACCATATATTTAGTAAATATACATTTATAACTTTAAAAACATAAAATTTCAAGTTTCTAAATTGTATATACATAACGAGACGTATGCTTAAAACTATCAGTCGACGAGAGCCGGGCAGCGATTTCTAGTATGTCCCTCCTGCTTACAGTGACCACATTTCCTGGCACGGGGCGCATCTCCTCCTCCCCTTCCTCCGTTGCCTCCCCGACCTCCTCTACCGCCCCTCCCTCCGCCACGTCCTCGACTACCACTGGCGCTCCAATCTGTTAAATAAATTCATTTATTTATTGGTGTTATTGTTTGGTGTGTATGTTTATTATATAAATAACTATAATATTGAGTTTTGACGGCATTTATTTGTAATATAGCATTAATAATTGCTTAACTACTTGTTACGAATTTAAAATATGATTAATATGTAAGTCTAGTGTGGTATACTAGGTATTGTATAAAAAACATAGTAAAATTCCCATCAGGGAATTATAGCATATAGCTAAGAATTATTAAACTTTTTTTATACCACTGAGGTGGCAAACAAGCAAACGGCCCACCTGATGGTAGGCGGTTACCGTAGCCTATGAACGCTTGCAATACCAGGGGTATTACGCGCGCGTTGCCGACCCTGAAGAAATCTCTTTACCCCCTTTTGAAGAACCCCATGCAGTAGTCTCTTAGGAAAAATCTCGGCAGGGGGCTTATTCCATAACCTAAGTGTTCGTGGGAGAAGATATCTCTGAAACTGCGTTGTACGCGACCATTTAGGCTGTACGGTATGAGGGTGAACTCCCTGTCGATGGCGAGCCGTACGATGGTAGAAAGTAAGTAATTAAATTAATAAACTTTTGTACCTTTTATGATACTGACAGATACTTACCATTACTAACACCTTCGTCGCCCCATTGAAAAAAGTTGCAACGGCGATTGTATTCTTTAGAGCAGGCATAGAACGTGCGGCCTTTATTCGGTCCTTCTTTGTGAACTGTTAACCTGGAAATGTATTTATTCATAATTATTCAAAACTAACGTGAATAAAAATTATCCTACATATTAATCTATTTGTATACCAAAATCGATTCAAATCTATTCAGTTGTATAAATGAGCAATAACAAGTTTTTTTTTTTATGCAAGTTAGAATGGCAAACAAGCTGACAGTTCACCTGATGGAAATTGGTAACTGTCGCCTATAGATATTAGCAGTACCATAGACAACAGAGTATACTGTTTCGCCCATGATACCCCCCATGAGTTGTCATTCCTGAGGACTCTGGTGTAATTCCTCTGTACCCTGTAAATTCACTGCCACATCCCACCCTTCAAACAGGGGGGGAAAGGGATTTTTAGTAATGGAGACTGAGAATCCCATTGCTAGCAACATACATAACCAGGTTGACCTCTACGCGGTTTCCCCTGGAAACTATAATGGTTAACTCCTGATGAATTCATCATTATAGGCTAACTGGCCTGTTTTCATTTTCATCGATCACCCTTTACTGGTACTTCGCCGGCGTATACTGTTAGCGCAGGCGGGGTTACCATTCCATTTTCACCTATCAAAAAACCCTTCAAACCGAAACACAGCCATACAAACAACTGCTTCACGGTAGAAACACGAATGGAACAGAGGTGCCCAAGCAAACGACTTTTATACAAAGTCTCCCTCTGGTAAAATATCTGGTAGAATAGAAGAGGAAATAAACATATTATACCAATTCAAAAAAATAATTGGAATAAGATTGGAAAAATAATGTGCCAAATGACTTTGCACATTAGTGATATCACAAATTTCGCCTAGAGATTGATTCGTAAATGTGTATTAAACTATGTTATTTCAATAGCTACTAACTTTTTAGCAGGGAGGCTACAATTGCACATCACCCCTTCATCATTTTCTGGGAAACTGTCCCTGGAGACATTTGGCACTGTACCCCAACCCCTTGTACTCGTGTTGTTTGCAGATGTCGTAGGTTCCTGTCCCCAGGAATCGTTTGACGGCGGGGTAATGAAGGGATGCTGTTCGTTTTCAGACTCTGGCGCCCACAGAAAGAAGTCGCAACCTCCATTTTCTCTCCCAACTGGGCATTTATAGTACTTTTTACCTAAAATTTTAGTTTTTGAGTTGATGAAAGAGCAATTGTACTAAACATTATAATTTAATTACAATTAATCATCTGTATTTATGGTAAATCTCACTATGGATTAACGTCTTCTTCATGTTCTTTATCTTCAACAGCGCAGATGGAGTGACCATTCTATTATCTTACTGGTATATTTTAGAAAAATTAGTATAAGAGCAATAGATCCACAATAATAATTTTTAGACTCGTGTGTCTGTGTGTTGATTCGGTATCACACAAAAACTACTGCACTATTTTTGGACGCTGTTTTCACAGTTGTGTTCCTGAAGGTCTAACTTAAAATCTGGTATGTTCAAACACCATATATTTCAATGGTTTTCTTATTTCTGAAGTCTACGCCTACGAAATAGCCGACGAAAAGCTAGTTGTTTAATAAAAGTAGTTTATATTTTCGAATAAACGTATGCATATATTCCAAAATATAGCGCTTTACAAATTTAATTATGCCGTAATAAGCCATATACGTATATACATCAAGCCGTAATAATAAAATAACTCGTTTTCGTTCGAATTTATATAAAAAATAAATTACTAGGTACTACTGCGTAAACAATTTTCTTAGTAATTCTTATTTAGTTTAGTCCCTAGCAGTGTAGGCAGAGAGTATATAGCTCTAAAATCTTACCTCAAAATTAAATAGATAATTTGTTTCACTTACCAAAATTATGATTTTGTTTTCGAACAGTCAGCAATAATGCCGTTTTATTGCACCTGCAGATAACATTATTATCATCAGAATCATTGGCAGGCATATTTCTTGATGTTGGCATCATATTATTATTAGTAATTTGATTTCTATATGTCGTAGATGAAGCATTATTTGGCCTCGACTGTGCAGTAGAATTCGTCCTATTTTGGTTATGTACTCTTCCCATACTATTCACTGATGATGTAATTGTTTCTCTGGCGCTATTATTATTAGATCGACTGACATTACCAGCAGACTGTGCCGTAGTGTGTTGACCAACTGTTCTGACACTAGATAAATTAATTTTAAGTAATTCTAGGAATGTGGTGTCGCATCCCCCTATACAAGCCGTGTATGGGGGTGGGTACAGATGGTTTATAGAATTGTTCTTCCATTCAAATTTGATTTTTTTATAATTAGGTCCACACTAAAATATAAAACAGAATATTGAATATCATTAACATTTAATTTTATTAAAATCATCATTTCATGTTTTATTTATTTAACTCTTTATTGCACCATAAATAAAAATATACAATGACAAGTGAATAATTCAAGTGAAATACAGTAACTTCAATACAGATTGAAATATACACATAAAAGTACAAAAGACGATCTTATCACTAGGACAATCTCTTCCAGACAACCTTTGGTTAAAGGAGAACAGATAGAAGTGGGTAGGTGGCGCAAGAGTAAATTAATAATTTTTCGTGCATAAAATATAAAAACCTATAATGTCAAATAAATATAATTAAATCATATATCAAAAATATCAAATAAATATAATTAAATCATATATCAAAAATATCAAATAAATATAATTTATTAAACTTATATATATATATATATATATATATATATATATATATATATATACATACATATACACATACACATGTATGAACAAAATGGCAAACAAGCTGACGGCCCACCTGTTAGAAAGTGGTAAGCATCGCCTATAGACATGAGCAGTACCATGGACATAATAGAAGAATTAGAACTTATATAACTATTATATATTTGAATATAGAATTATTTGAATCTTGGAAATTACACAAAAAGTACAAGTCAATAAAGTATGTGAAAACATTTATTTTGATCTAGTAATTCCAAATAATATTGTGTGGACGTCTTGCAGTGCATTCTTTCTGTAGATAGAGAAATATCATTCAAAACTAAAGACGATTAGTGAAGAAGTGTTAAATGGAGAAAGCATAGAACTGCACAAGGAGAATGACATTGGGAAAAGCATATGTCCAGCTGAGAAAATATACACATAATGGTGAAATAAATAAGAATTAGTATCATTGTTACTACAATATTTTCTTAATAGAAGAGGTTGATACTCACCAATGAACAAGTTTCAGATAATACTTGCAAACTTTTAACGATAGTTGGCAGCCAAACAGCATTTTTGCATTGTGGAAATGACATGCAGCCTATGTAATATTCATCAGCATTGTTCTTCTTTTGTCTTACGACCATGTCAGTGCCGCACTTGGGGCATTTCAAAACTAAATATAATAATAAACAACAGTTATTACCTATATATATGTTAGTATACCTAAAATGTAAAAGTTAGTAAAAACATTCATTATTCACATTTACATTTAAGGTAATAAATAGTCTTTAAAATAAAAAGGATTTGAAAGAAATTTCCTTTACAGATGGATCATAACATAGATTTACGTATAAGTTTTTAAATACGGTCCAAGATGCTGATATTTCCGTAATACAATATTTTATGTCATCTTTGATAAAAAATATTGTAATATCAATATTTTTTTGGCACCTTAATGTCAAAATTTGGTACAGACGTCTATTTGTCGATTATCATTCACATCGGTCAATAGACTTATTCCGGTCACGCATACAAAGTCACGGGAACAAGCTAGTAAAAAAAATATGCTGTATTCTAGTTGTTGCTAATACAGAACCAGACAGATAAATATATCTGCTAATCGGCTGGAGTTAATTTATTCTGATAAACAGCGCTCTATATAAAATACTGATAAACAAATGATTGATAAAAAAACAATACCTGCAGGCGATGAAACGGAATGTGTAGAGGTGGGCGTGTACTCGTTGGGCCGTTCGTTAAACCTTTCAGCGAGGGCACTGTCAATTTTGTTGGCCTCCGCCGCTACTGTAAGATACACTTCTTTATATTTGGCTATCTGAAACACATGTGTTATAGAACTATGAAGACATGCGTGAGGCACATCTTGTTAGATATTATCTTTAAATTTGTATCTGGCTAGATAGAAATTTACAATTATGAATGATGAGGAAATGGTTTATAAATTTGAATTATGTACAAAAGTACCAATTAACGACTCGTTACTTCATTAAAAAAAACTTGTGGTACAGGTAATTTTCATCACATTTATTTCCAAATATTGTATCTGTTATTTTATATCCAACAGATTGCACACAAAGATTTGTTTATCTATTTGGTGTTTATATATAAAAAATGAAAATGATTAATATTAGAATCAAGTTTTTGTTATGTCTTGCATGAAATTGTCATGTAATGTATAAGTATAGGACGAAAGAAATTTGATAATGCAAAATATTACAGGATAAAGGCAATTATACTAGATTATATTTAGCTTAAGAGAATAAAATTTGTAGTTAAAATTATTATATAAAAAGGAATCAAACCTGTTCTGCTAAAACTTGTTGTGGTTGTTTTCTTCCTTCGCTTATAGCTTTTAGGTCTGCCTCCAGCTGCGCCCTTAGGTGTGGTTTAGATATGTTCAAACCCATCGAATCGTAACCCTCCACCAAACCCATACCCAGTAGTCCCGGCACAAAATGTATAGCATCTGCCAGGGCCACATATGAACGATTCTTAATTGTTTCTATGTGTTCAGCGTGAGTTGCGTCTGTACCTGTTAAAAGATAAACAATTTTAAAAACAATGTCGAAAAAAAGGATGTTCTCAATCCCACTTTAATAAACTAAAAAGGTTCACTTCGATGTTTGTCACATACTGTCAAAACTCAGGTTGATTTTAAGGAAATGTTTTTTTTTTCTAACATTCTTTATGATATTTTAGATTTTAGTGAAAATGATAAATGTTTTAGTCAATAATCGATCCCCTTGGAATTATTGCTTTGCCATTTGCGTTATGAATAAGTTACAATCGAATCTACCTACTAAAAACGTTTACGCTACCGAATACTGCTTCATCTTCACCTGTCATCCATCACTGGTGCTCTGCCAGCGTATACTGATAGAGCAGGCGGGCTTATCATTCCATTATCAACCATAAAAAAAGTAAAGGCGTTTTAAGCCTGAGCAGACGAGATATTTGGATTGGAAATCGCTTTTTGTTACTAAAAATAGGATGATATTGATGATAGCAATTTGTCTACTACTATGACAGGGTAATAATTTAAATAAAAGTCCTATCATATCGATATTGTAATTATTCTCTTACCAATTCCATGCTTCTCCATAAGGGCTATGAGATCAGCTTCTGTGAGCAAATTTGGTGGAGCTGTGCTGCCATCTACCATGTCAATACTTGTTGGATTAAAAGTTTGACCTATCTACACAAAAAAAAAATGCTTACTTAAGTATTACATCACATTAAAGGTAATATTATATTATGTTTGTATGAGACGATCGACTGCAGGCATTTTTTGTAGTACTTACTATTTGATATTCTGTGGCTGATAAAATAAATAAAACTGATAGGTGTGTGATATGCACTTACTTGATATAGATGTATTTCTTTTGACGACCACTTGTCATATGGATAGACATCAAGATAATTTCTCGCTGTGATCATCAGTCCACTTGCGTTGAACTTTTCATTAGCAATGTCTATAGTGGTGGTTGTCTCCTGCCCTTGAGCGTCTTTCGAGCAGCATGCAAGGAAAGAGCGCACTATGAACTCGTAGAGACGCTGCTCATTGCCTGTTAAGGCTGAAACGAAAGGGAAGATTGTAAATAAAAGGATAGTTAATAGGGCTATGTAGTACATTGAGTCAGAAACTACTTTTATGTCAATTAATTAATCAATAAGTCTCAGTCTTACGTCAGACTTTTACTTAATCTTATTATAAAAAACACACTAACATTGTATGACAACATAAATAATTATGTATTTAACTATTTTTTTTTTATTTCAAAATTACAAAGAAAAAATTAATCCATACTGCTTGATCCATGAATACATACCATTAGTATATTTAGTAGGATGTATGGGTGGATGGGCTTTGTCACTTTTATTTCCTTGCCTAGGTGTCGGCCCTCCACTATCTAGGATGCCTTGCGCGAACGCCCCCCAGTTGGGATCACTTGTTTGTAGCCCAACAAGTTGTCCTAAGTTCATTTCTTTAGGGAATTCATTAGTTTCTGTACGTGGGTAGCTAATAAAACCCTGTGTGTATAGTTTTTCTGCCAATCGCATCGTTTCTTTTGCGTTTATTTTTAATTTTCTGGATGCTAGTTTTTCTAATTCCTGTAAATATGTAAAATATTTATTTTTAAGTTTACGACATCAATGAATATGTTTTATTACGCACATCTCTTAAAGTATAAATATTTAGTGTTATAATACATTCTCAAAGTCTTATAAATATATAATGTACATACCACAGTGTCCAATGGTAGAGGTCGCCATTTAGATTTTGGTTTTGTTTTGACCTCACACACTTTCGCTTGTGGGTTTCCGATGCAAATGTCATGTAATACTTGGCATGCTTCACGATCAAATAGTCTGTGTCTCTCCCACGAGAAATCTACGCTGAGATCGTTCATAGTGTGATTCACTGCAATTTTTTTAAGTATATTAATTTTGTATTGGAGTAAAACTAAAATGGCAACCTCCATCTGTCATGTTGGTTATCATCTCTTACTAATTTCCTCTCTACTGTAGAAGAGGAATGAATAAGAAATGATAGATGAGGATAAAGTTAGGTCAAATCACCCAACATGATCAATTTACTAAGAATTATGTACATTTACCTTTTATCTTCCAAAATGGTTCCGCTACAAAATTTTCAACTGCCCTATATCTTTCCACAACAAAACCCAGTGTTGGAAACTGACATGAACCATAACTAACTAGACTTTCAGCTAATTTGCTGGGAAAAACCTTTTGCAGTCTTAATGTTTGAAATCGAGTAAATGCTGCACCTGAAAAAGTATAATTTACATTTTATATAGGTATAAATTTGTATTATGGGTTAAAAAACAGGAATAAAACATACTAAAGTACCTAATCCACATCATAAGGTCTTAATGGATGCAACAAATAATGCTTTAAGCGTTACATAGTTTATTATTTAGATTTCTTAAAACCACTTGTATTTTAAAATTTGTAATTATATGATTGTTAGTAGTGGATAAACTCAAATACTACTCAACAAATTTTAAAAATCCTTTCATCTATAGAAAGCTACATAATCAACAATTAACAAAGACTATATATTATTTTATAAATCTATCTACTCTTGCAAAGTAGGGCTAGATGGTAAGTAAATAATATAGTCCAATATTTCAATATAAAACTGCTACTTCTTTACTAAGCAGGAAGAACTAAGGTCGTAATGTAATATAATGTAATGTACTCTATTTTCCGCATTTAGCCTTTCATTTGGGCCGTTGTGCGTATGAGTTGTGGTTAGTACAGCCAACCTAGCTCCGCTCAGAAGCACAGAAGCTTCCTGGGATCTTCACCGGCCTCACGGAGCGACCTCACCGTTCCGAGGATTTCTAAACATTGATAGGCCACAGCTTCACATTCCACGATTACGTGAGCAGCCTTTTCTTCGGGTCGAAACAGCCTCGACATAGAGGGCTGTCTGTGGCTCCTATTGTGTATGTTTGTTTAATGGACAATGGCCCGTTATTGTCTCTATCATTATTTTAAGGTTTTTCCTATCTAGATGTAATAAACGTTTTGATAGTCATTGATTCAACGTAAACACGGCCAATTTTGATTGTCTGCAATCAGTAGCCTGTATTCATCTTTGATTTTGTATGTCAGCAGATCTTTAGACGAATCCATATTCGAAATTGCGAGAACGGAAGAGGAAGAAGTGGATACGGGCCTACCAGCCTCGTTCTCTGAACCTCTTCTAGCTAGTTCGTCTGTGGCATTGTTACCATAAGGTCCAGTGTACCTTCTTATCCATTGGAGGATAACTCGGTTATTAGAAGATATCTTATCCAGTAAATGATGGTATTCAATTATTAATTTGTTGTTTGTCTTGTTGTTTCGTAATGCTTTTAGTACTGCTGCGCTGTCAGATAAGAATCAAATGCCAATACCATTTATTCCTAGCTTATTTACAGCTGCAGCAGCCTTGGTTATTGCAACACATTCACATTGGAATATTGAGCTATGAACTAAGGTTATTTATTATATATATTTAAGAATGTTATCATTATAATAGAAAAACAGTTTTAAAGTCAATACATGTGGTAGATACTCAATGTGACCAATGTAATCTAAAGATGATACCTGTAAAGTCGTTATGAATAGTTAGTGACATTAAAAGTCTAAAACAACTGTACAATAATTTCTTACCAATTCTCAAATCAAGCTCTTGTCTAACATCCACAGCATCACTGACATTTTTATTAGGTTGTTCCAGGTTTTGCAGTGCCCTCTTTACAGATACACCTGTTATTTCTGAGAACTTTGCTCTAAACACATTGAGGTTATTTTTTATTGCCTTGCACACCTCAATTATTTCAAATCCTATATTCTCTCCTTCTCTATCACAATCTGTCCATATTATAAGCCCATGACAACTCCTCACTTCCCTTTCTAGTGTTTTCTAAAATATCACAAAGAAATTGAGACAGCAGCTAGTATTTTAATATTAATTTAGCTGTAACCTGCATGAATAACCATCTCAGGGAATAGGAAAACACGTATTTTAGAAGTTAATCTATTTAAGTAATATTTACTATTAAAGTTTATTACGCTATAGTTATTTAAGAGTGTTTGTGTAACATTTTTATGAACTTTTACATTTCTAATATTAAAACTTTCCTTACCTTTATTTTGTCATAATTTTCAGGACAGTATTTGAAAACTGGTGCATCAAAGAGTAACAGCGGATCACATGACTGCCAATTCTTATAAGATCCCACAAATTCTAATGCTAATAAATGCCCTGATACAGATGTCATCACCATTTGACTTTTTTGTCCCATTACTTCAATTTCAAATTCATATATTTTATTAAACTGAGATAATCCTTCACACTGCAAAAAAAAAAAAAAAAAAAAACAATAGATTCAATTGGCAAAAACATTTATAATTTTAACTGGTTGGAATGAAAAGAAGAAAACAAAGAATTCAGACGCCTTCAACCTTACGTACTGTATTCCTACATTTGCTAGTTTTATAAGTAAATATCGTAAGTCTGCATGTAGTGACAGAGTAAGAATAAGATGTATTGCAAAGTTCATCACACCAAAACTTTAGGTATCGACATATAATTCTGTTAATAACCTGCTTTTAGGTACCCTTAGGACCTATTTCTAGACGTAAATAAAGTATTATTGAAAGACTAAATCTTTGATATGTTATAACATATTAAATAAAGTACAAAAATATTTACCCTCCTGGATGTTCCTCGGGACAAGTGAAGAGCGATATTTTTAGCAGCATCATTTTTTTCAGCCACGTTTAAATATTTCATAATATCAGCTTTTCTTCTCTTTAATATTAAAGATACAGCGGTATCGTTGGATTGGGTATAAAAACAGAAAAATTTTTGTTTTAGGTTATACCGATAACGAAGAAAAAACATAGTGAAAGAACGAAAACATAGCTGTATTTCTCAAAAAATTTAAACAATGCTGATACGAAAATTAAATAAATATGTACTATTATTGTTTTATATAGAAACAAAATAATTATTAGAATTATTTACGTACTAAATAGGTAAATAAAAGAAACGACCAATAAACAGGCGGGAATAGCTGGCGCAGCCTCTTTTTTATCTGTGCATTTAACAGCTGATTGACAAATTCAAAATGACAGTGATAGCTTTAATGCGTCATTCAATTGTCAACTATTAGCAGTCAACAGTTCAACACAACAACAAAATAAAAATTTATTTTATTTATCTATATTTAGGCATAAATGATAGTATTAATTATTAAAATAGAAAATTTTATGACAGTAATTAGTGCAATTTAAAAACGAATACATCTTAATACGCTATATATGCTAAATATACAAATAGCTGTTTAAAAATAGCATTGTACTTATAATATCAAGTAAGTGCGTACATAATTCTCATAATATTATGGTTTTTCTAAATTTTGTTATTCTCTTTCCTCTTACATTTTCCTTCTTTGAACATTTGAATTGACCTCTACAAATCCCCTGTAATGTTACTTTTTAGTCATATTTTGAATCAATATCTCGACTGATGAATTTACCATCTAATTTTAATTTTTACTTGTATGGTCATATGAATACTATTAATATGTTGTTTATTTTCATGTCTCATCAATATATTTATAGTTACTAGGTAGTAAACGATGTTATCTCCGCGCTTGTCGCGAGCAGAACCCCTGAACTATACAAGAATGTGTTTTCTGGTTAATTGTCTTAAAAGATTAAAAAGTTCGCAACAATGGTTAAGTCGTCAGAAAGCAGATCCTTATGTGGAAAAAGCAAAAATATACAATTACAGGTCAGTTTTATATTTATTTCTTTGTAATTTTTTTATATATATATTTTTTAATATCATATAATTTGTATATAATTTTTGTATATAATCTGTATAAATTTTATACTCAGCATTTAATGAGGTATTTAACTGCATCTCATTAGATGCCAATTATTTAGCTGGTTATTAAGTATTTATTTTTTCTTTTTAATGACTTTGTATTATATTTTTTAGATGTCGCAGTGCATTCAAATTGTTAGAAATGAATGAAAAAACCAATATATTAACTCCTGGCTTGTCTGTAATTGATCTTGGAGCATCACCTGGCTCATGGACACAAGTTGCTGTTCAAAAAACAAATGCAGATGGGTCTGACAAAACTAAGCCAAAAGGAATGGTTCTTTCTATTGACAAACTGCAGATATTTCCCATTGAGGTTATTAATACTTATTTCTATTTTCTTAATATGTATTAAGAAAGGTTAATAACAACAAGTGTAAGAATGAACCTGTGTTGTCACAGCATAAAATAGGCCACTCTTTCCTTTCCTGTGGGTGTTATAAGAGGCAACTAAGGGAGGATGAAGGATGGGCAGCAGCATCCCTCTTAAAACATCTCCAAAATGTAACTGCAGTTGCCAAGTGTGGTAATTACTGCCAAAACTCCCCTTATGCTTATGTTCAGCAGTGGACAGTTAAAGGCTGATATGATAATGATGATGATAATGAATAACAAGTCATGATCAATACTGTTATGCACAGTACAAAAAATTTGATAGCTCTTTCATATGAGTATATTGCGTTTGAATTGTCTAAATACACTATTATCATTAAAAGATTTTAGTGATATATAGAGTATAGTTGTGATAGTGTAATCTTACAGTGTAAATCTTAATAATTAAGTAATATATTTACAGGGTGCAACTATAATGAGCAACATGGATTTTTCAACTATTGAAGCTCATGATAAAGTGATTGCTGTTCTTGGTGACAAGAAAGTAGATTTAGTTTTATCTGACATGGCACCAAGTGCCACTGGAGTGAAAGAATTAGACAAAGATAGAATAATTGGCCTTTGCTATATGGCCATAAGATTTGCTGCACTTGTAACAAAAATTAATGGCAACCTTCTGTTTAAAGTATGGGATGGGAAAGAAGTGCCTATATTAGAAATGGACTTAGAAAGATTTTATAGAAATATCAAAATATTAAAACCAAAAGCAAGCAGGTCTGATTCTTCAGAAAAGTACATACTTGCTAGAGGTTTCAAAGGGATCCAGAGGCCATTAGAGAGTGGACGGTGGGGATAAGTGTTAGCAAGTGTTGTAAATAATTAAATAATAGTTTTATTATGACATGTCTTCCGATTCTAATGCAATATATAATTTATTATGAATTGTATGTATACTGTGCTGTCAGTGTCAATAATATCATCAAAGGTTATTATAAAATAAGTAAAAATAAAAATCAGGCATAATACATTTTTATATTTTTAATATAGCACTTTCCTAAGCAATAAAATTAATACTTTGCAGAATGTAATAAATTCATATTAAGAATGTTTTCACATCCACAACACTGCTTCATTTTTATTTCAACTTGAATAGTTATTGTGTTTATATTTTTTTCATATAGGAATAACAATATCTTGCAGACAATATAAAGATATCTAATTTGAAAAACTTTTTTTCTATCTGTTTCATTTAATGTTAAATCATCTTCATTTGTTATCTAACTAATCAAGTTTATAATTAATGTTATTATGTATTTATTATTATAAGATAAATAGTAGTAGAATTAATTTCTGTCTTCTGTTATTTATTTTATTTATGTTAAAGTTTATTCAGCTTTCAATTCAAAGTATATTTACCCATTTGTAAATATGCATTTCTTACACATTCAGGGATAGCAAATCGATTGACATGTACATTCTGTATGATCACTATTCACTCATCTATTAGGCGGTCACTTTTTTTGTCTGTGAGATTAATTTAAATAATATATGTATATACTTATGAAGTGAACTTAGATAATTTTTAAAATTATAATTAATCAACTGGTAAAATTACATTAAATACAAGCAATAACAGCATACTTAAGTATTTTATTATTTACATAATTTTAATTCCTTTGTACTATAAACGAAAGATCATTATTACAATTAATATTTAAATAGACCCTCAATTGAAAATATCACAATAAGTACACCATCTTAGCTAAGCATTGATTTATTAAAGCGCTAAACGTTTGGACATTTGTCATAAAATTATGTACATATTTAAAAATCATTTTATCTTACAAAATTATCAGAATCGGAATATACAAAATAACTGATGAGACACACGTAATTTTCTCGAGATAATATTATTGAAACTCATTGGACAGTAAATGAAAATATAACTGTGCGCTCTCTAGCCTTTAATGCGTGCAAGCGGCAAGTTAAGACGAGCGTCTTACCTTGCCGCGAGTTATGGACAATTTGAAGTGGTGAAGAAAGAGCGTTTCACGGGTGTGTTCCCACGTTGCCATATACATAATGGGAATGGCTATCTATACGTATGTCCCTTCAAAGAGGTGCTGCTCACGAAGTTTATACTTGTACTTATTGATACAATTTTAACAGACTTACCTGCATTATTAAAATTTTTAATTATATAACTTTAGTTACTTTTTAATAATAATAATAAGCATTTAGCCTGTGCTTAAGCACCGACATAATCACACAACCAACGAATATAAAGTAGATAATTTGCAAATTATCAACATTACATTTTTATAATTAAGTACATAATTTTTTACAATTAAAATACGTGAATCAAAATAAATAACACTAAAAGGGATATATTTATTATTCTCGTATGATGCAAAAGGGTGTTTCTATTATGTTATTGACTTAATAATTGACTCTATAAATCAAAGATTCTTTTAGATTTATAATACAAGCTTTTTAGCTAAAATGATAGTCTTGTTCTAAATGCGTAGCACTATTTATGAATAACCTGATTAGCACTAGTCACTTACTTATCAACAGTATATCTACAGCTTATTTTGAAACCAGAACTGTGATGTGCTGGAACACTTTATTCTTTTTTATATCACTACAGAGTTAGGTCAGAAAGGGTTTATATCATAGTTTTTATATTATTCAAGAAACTAAAAAAAGAGATCTAAGGGAACATAGCGAAAATATTAATTTTGAAACCATTTAAATTAGATTGATCACATACGAAATGTTCTGAAACTATTGCATATTTTGATTATCACAAAATTTTACTTTGCTAGACCCTTTACTTAGTAATTGTGTTTTGTGTAACTCGATTTTGATGTCGATACTTGTATCTATGTTAGATATTATATATGTATATTTTAAATCTGTTGCGTTAATTAATGTAGTACCTATTGATGTGTTTGTAAATATCGTTCGCCGGACGGAAGGCTAATGTATTAGGCATTTGTAATTAATCCTTTTCACATTCTTTATTGTACTTTTGACAGCTCAAATTATTTTTTAAATATATTTAGTAAAAAATAATTTCTGGTATTGTTATCGTTAATTCTACTAACATAATAAATATATTTGTATGTTCGTTACTGCAATACACTTAAACGGTTGAACGGATTTGAATGAATTTTGGTAAACAGATAGATCATATTCTACCTTAGGACATTTTCATCTTAGAAAATTGCGTATTATGTGCTATCCAGTGCTTAAAAGATTTTAAATTTGATTGTTACGAAATGTGGAATAGTTACGTTTTCAAGTAAATCCCTAGCTGTCAAAAGTGAAATAAAAAGTCGAAAAGGTTTTAAGATATTCGATTTAAACGAATTGTGATCGCGTTCCCTGGGAGAGTTTATTCAGCTGGGCGGCAGATAGGAGGCTGGAGTGTGCTGCGTGGTCCAACAGTAGCAGTCTTTCTCCTCTCTCATCGCTGGTAGCACGCGTGGCTCGACAGCGGCCACCGGTCTCTAGGGCGAAACTACTGACGGCGCAGATTGCGTAAATGAACGTTAAAACGAAAAGCGCGCATCCGAAATCTGAAAGGAATTACAGTAAAATATGAGTACATATTACACGACTGCTAAAGAAAGGTAGGTACTGTATTTCAGGTACTTTTATCGCATGGAATGTCTGCGTAAGGTGTAGTTTAAATGTTTTTTTTTTAAATAGGGTGTCGTTAGTTTTGAGGGTTTTCACATCTGATCAATGGATGATTATGGAATAGTTACCCCACCTGCGCTATCGGTATACGCTGGCAGGGTACTAATGAAAGATGAGATGAGATGAGGATGAAACAAGTCAGTTGGCCCATAATGACGAATTCATAAATAATTAATCAAGATGGTTTCTAGGGAGAGCCGCGTGGAGGTCAACCTGATAGGGTATATTGCTAGCATTAGGGCTATAAGATTACCATTACTGATAATCCCTTTCTCTCTGATCTAGCTATTTTAGCCGCCCCTTGTTTGTCGCTCTTTCGCATTAAATGTCGCTCTGGGTTTCTTTTTGCCCGGCTAGCACCCCCCTAGGTCGAGCCCTGGTTTAGTTCTTAATAGAAAAAAAATACTAACGATAAAGGTTATGGCCTCCAAACAGGTTGACGACACAGGGGTATCCGTCACCGATGACTATCGCGACAATGAGCAGTCCGACGCCCACGCACGCAGCCATTATCCACGGCAGCACATACTCTCGTTTGTACTTGACGGCGCCGTGAAGCAGCGAAATGCAGCACATCAGGTATATGGATGTTAGTATCGTACTAGTGTAGAGGAATATTACCGTCACTAGAATAATGAAATTACATAAATGTAGGTTTTACTATTATTGTTTTTTTTTTTAAATAGCTTGGAATGGCAAACATTACCTAACGGCCCACCTGCAAGAAAGTAGTACCTAATTGACGCCTCTAATATTGAACAGTGCTACAGAAATTACAGAACTGCGACCCCCATCTTAAAATGTGAATATGTCTAAACTGAGCTAGAGATCAGATAGAATATATGCTCTAATGGTGTCTTAAATAAGACGAGTTATAAAAATGAATGAAGAAAAAGATATAAGGATAGAGGTCTTTGGCACTCGGTTTTCTCTGGGACAAACACATTTTTTCGTTTGAAAAATGTTACACATACACGTTATACAGCGTTAGTCGTGTTTACGAAATATATCCTACACATGTACATGACGTTATAAAATAATCTAATTATATTTATAAATTAATTTAGTTTATTATGCTGCTAAATATGTGGGCAAAGTTATTAAATATCATTATATATAATACGTATGTAAAAAAAATGTGTTAAATACCTGATGCAAGATGTTGTGCCTTAGCAAACCTACGTTGGTTGTTAGTACTTATTACGTCCCCTTCATGGAAGGTCAACTGCTGTCCGTAGACCACCTCGTAGAACCCTCTTCTCTCTGCGTCATCTTCCATGTCATTATGAAGCATTGATAGCATCTCACCGACGTGAGATATACCAACAAGCAATATTATCAACACGAACGATGATAATGCCTGAGGAAATCAAAATATAGTTTACATTAATATTTAAACATTTTGAAGGTTGAAATTGGAAAAGCTATATTTTTCACCGATTTTTAAAAGAGGATATTTTCAATTCAACTGGAACTGGACTGAATGAATATATTTTTTGTCTTACGCCACATCTTCGCAAACTTATTTTTAAGACTATTATTTAAACGAAAATATTTACTCCCATATGGGTCTCGTTTTTCTTAAGATTGAAGTCGGTTCTTTGTAAAATATCTTTAATTATTTACTTACAATTTGATGGACGGCTATAAGAATTGTGCCTTGACGTAAATTAAAAACGTACAAAAAATTGTTTAGGCGAATCATCATTTTATGCGAAAGTTTACATTGCTTTGTTCTATCAAACATTTGCGATTATTATACTACTAGACAATCACCACTAAGAATTAAAAACATTGTTTAGATATTAAATACCAATGAGACGTACTGTAGCTCGAGATCAGACCCGCGCATGTTATTTGCTATTGATTATTTTTTGTTATACGTGAGTTACAGACCAGCGCGTGGCGCATGAATTTGAGAAAGCACAGTACAAATTCACAAATGCGGTCCCATATGCTTTTTTATTTTACTTATAAATCCATGTGCTTTATATCATCGTAATTCTTAGATAAAAATGAGTGAATTGTGATTACAATTATGTATATTTCTGACCCCAACTTCAATATAAATTTTCGTAGGGACTCGATCATTTTTGGTGCATAACATCTAGTTTAATATTACTAGTATAGTATTATATTGTCTGTGATATTACTAATAAATGAAAATTGTACTTGAAAATTTTCAAAGTGGACGGGCTATTGCCCCTTTTCAATATTACCAAATTGCTAAGTATCTATTGAATCATATATATTTATTATAAATAGTAGTTTGATAAACGACTTGTAGTAGATAATACATGTTTAAATATAAATAATTGTAGGTAAATGGTGGTAAAGGACAAAGATACAAAATAAATAGTTACTTAACAATGCACCTTGTGTAAGGAAATTAAAAACGTTAATATTTAATTATAAATTAGTTTTATTTCACAACTTACAATAATAGCAGAAATAACATTATGACTGTATATCTAACCCAAACTTTTAGCTTGCATTAGTGTATTTGGATTTATATAAACTAAAACTATCACAAAATATGAAAATAAGTAAATAATAAAAACAATATATATACAATAACTGCGGTTGGTGTAACGTGCACTTGTTAAACTTTAACGATTTGAATTTAGAATAGTATACAAAAAAAAAAACATTCATTTTTGGTATAATACTACATTAAAATATCAGAATATTGAAAATATTTTTACATATGTTTTTACATTATTAAAAAAGAATAAAAAATATAAGTCCATTTCCGTACTCTATATTGGTTCAGATAAAGTGGTTCTAAATTTTAAAAAAGTAACGTGCATGTGATCTAAAATTGCAATTAATACCAAAATACCATAATATAAAATATAATCAAATTAATGCATTAATTTTTATCTAACGCGTATTTAGAAAAGAAAAATTTTTATGTATTTGTTCAATGTATTGAAATTTTGTTCTAGATTTCTACCAAGTAAACAATATTTTTGTTTTTAATAATACAAAACTACACATTACTTTTTAAAAATATTGATTTCATTTCATAACAAAGATCAACGAATATGCCGAGATGATTAGTCATTATAAAACAAAATAAGAACAAAAAGTAAATACGTCGATAAGGGCCATTACACACATATAATACTTTTAGCATCAGCGATTTTCCGATTGCAAAGATGTCACGTTTCAACGTTCGGCTGCTGTATCAAAATAGGTCATTTTAGCATTTGTTTTCATGCTACATCGCATTTAGTGACCTGAATTTCCAGATCGTATATTCGCTGTATGTACCAACCATCCAAAAGATAATTTATTTACCATACATTACGTGTACTGCCAATGCTAAAAGTAAGTTTAGTTCTGCTAGTCGTAGGGACGGATTGTACGAATCTGTACCGTTTGAAATATTGATCTATTGCGTAAAAGTATTACTTATTATTTTCAAGATAACGACAATGTCCTAAATGTCCCAATGTCAATGTATGTATAAACGGCAATTTATCTAATTACATGCAAGTTGTTTTTGCCATTACTATACAATCATATAAAAAGTATATTTATCATACAAAACGCCAAAATAATTTTTGCATTTGATATAATTAATGTGTCATTCGTGGCATCCTCATTACTTTTCATTTGGCGTGGAAAATTTTTCGATTTAGTCATAAATGTTGGTCCAGTAAATTATAGTGATGTAAACACTTCATAAAAAATTAGGAGAAACAAATTACATTATTAATACTGAACTGCTTTTTAGCCTTTTTACAGACTAACAGCACATTTCCACCAGCATGAGTCCTCAATTAATTGTTGAATAGTAGCAGTCTGTAAGTTTTTACAGTGCACATTATTGATGAAAAACATTGTAATTAATTTTACCCATTTTAAGGGATATAGCATTACCAAAATAAATATTTTAAAATGTCAAAAATATTTTGACACCTTTATTACAAAAAATAATACGCAGATTAGGAATAAACATACTAAAGTGGATAAATAACCGGTAACATACCAAATTATTATTATCTAGTAAATAATGTTTCAGAAAATAGCCGCCTTATTACATTGACGTTCATATTTGTAGTACTTCAAACTTTTAGTATGCAATGAACTCTTCACAATATTTATAAATTTAGCCAAAATATGTACAATTTTTATTGATACAATGTGAAAAATTACATACTTATAATAGTGGACAATAGGTGAATTCGCACAACTCACATGCTAAATTTACAAGAACTCCGATATATGTTAATTGGCTTAATTATACTTATTAATGTATGTAGATACGAATGGTGGAGATATAGATATTAATTTTGCCTTTCATTTTATAACTAGCAAAACAAAAATGTATAAAAGGATGTACAGAAAATAATTTGCATATATTGGTTGCGTGGACTCAGATTGTAAAACCTAATTTACATTGCAAAACTAGTTTTATTAAAACGAAACGTCATGATAAATCAATCATATAAACTCGAAATTAATGTCGCGAAAATATCTGCATATTGAGTGCACTATTGAAACTAGTTTCGTGGGGTTAATATCATAATTACATTCATGCGTAATAAATGAAATTAGTTGCATTATGTAATCTAAGCTTGAAATATGCCACAGGGAAACATAGGTTGAAGTATCTGTATAGTAATGTAAAAAATAATTTAAGGTATAGTTCATCTAAATGCCAAACTAAATTCAGATCTATTCCGCCGTTTTTTAGATGTCACTACAAACTCACATATAGGTACAATATAAGTGGGATTATGTGGTTAGATGCGTTAAGATAGGTATGTAGTTTGTATTATACGTGTTGTAAAAGCATAAATATTACAACGATTTAGTGCACCAGAAAAATCATGGCACTTATAACCTGTTGTTTTTATCACCAGATCACTATATTCATATCGCTAGGCACGTAACAATAATATTAGTACAGTTTTAAAGTATTTTCGTACAATAGATGGACAAATGAATGGCCTTATTGCCACACTACAAAATATTCACATTATTATAATTAAATAACACTTATATTCACATATTTGTTAAGTAACAATATCTAATCTAGTGTCCCTATTACCTAGTCACAAATCCGTTGTTAGTTACAGCCTGCTTTTGTGTTAGGAAAATTCCAACTTATTTGGACATTTTAATTAGAATTTCATAATTTTCTGGTTAAGTATTATTATTATAGAATATTTATTTATATATAATGTGTTGAGTAACGTATAGCATTTCTGATAATCTCGAATGTTCAGGAAGTTGAATTGAGTTTTTTAAACAAATTGTATCTCTAAAAATTAAGATGCAGTATTATAGACGATATTGGCCTTTTTCAATATTTACATGCATACTTACAATTTAAATATATATTGCTTAAGTAAAACTTTTTTAACAAAAAATATTGGAATGAATGAATCATGCTGTATACACACGGACTGTCGGAAACAACTGTAATAATAGCACTCGCTTAAATAACTGTTATGGTGAGTGTATGGTTGATTATCTAGTTCTTGGATCCATTAACGAACTACCCACCGATGTACAGGATAATATTACTATTGTATCAATAACATCAAATGTAAATTAAAATAATACTTCATGTATAATATTAATACACGTTGAAATAAACTCAATGTATTTAGCATATCAATTTACGTGGTTGGTTGAATTTTGTAATAATAATTAAAAATTAATTTATGATAATCTAAAATCATAACCACTAATAAAGATATGTTTGTTTAATTATTTTTTTACTTAAAAAATATTATAAATACTTTATAAATATGATAAATAAATGATTAGTGCATAAATAATCTGATTTCTTTCCGCAAGTAGTGAGGTTATTCCGTCAGAAGTAATCAGAAACGCCATTCGTTAATTAACACGCGGGATATAATGTGTGTGTAGGAATTTACTACTGGCAGTCGGAAAGTTTGTGAATATTATATATAGTGTTAACTGAAAAAATATTTTGTACAAAATTGTCAAACAACGTTTCGAGATATGCACAGATATCTAGTTCATTACTCAAATTTCACATCATCCCAGGTTCGAAACGGTCCTCAGATTGTAATCGATTTATTGACATTACGAATCCACATCCTTCACAGATACGAACCATATCAATGTTCAGTCGTCACACGTAAAAGTGGAATTAGACCAAGAGAACAAAACATATTGAAAGCTTTATGAGCATTCTAAGTACAGTCTCACTTTACTCCTACTGTTTTATGAACAATTTTGTTCTTTCAGGCTAAACATACTTTGTTTTGATTATATTTAATTTTAGCTTTTTGTTCCTTTAGTTTATGGTCCACCTTTAGATCACTCAACGTTTTCAAGCGATTGTGCACGAATTGCGGCCAGTGCAATTGAGGCGTGTGTGGTGCGGATGTTTTGTAGTCCGCGCACGGTGCCGGCTCGGCGCTGCGGAGATCGCATACGACTTCAGGTGACACTTCAGCGTGGTCGGCAGCGGTAGCCGCTCCAATCCGTACACAGATGTGCGAGCTACGATCGCGCGACAGCATAGCTCTTGGAGGCTTAGTACTGTAATTACAAGAAACAGAACAACATATTAGTCACTTTCAACTTAATACTTTTATGTTACCTATTAATATAGCCTCCAAGCAGATTGCTTGATTGCTGTGTTGCAGGTGAAAAATGAAAATAAAATTATTGGTTAGTGCAAGACTTTATGACGAAAGGGCAGGTAACACATGAATACAGAGCATGTGCATACAGAGGATCTGATAAGACCTGTTTTCTAAAATATATATTGAAATGCAAGCACACAACACACGCGCGCGCACGCACGCACGCACGTTTTGTAATCCACTGTTTGAAATAAAGATTATTATTATTAATAATGCGTTTGTTTTTTTGTTGCAGTGGCCAGTTACTGTATATTAACTTTCTGTATGACAGATTCTCAAACTTGTATGAAAAAAAATGTGTTTGGGCTTAAGATACCATTGGGCGTCCTCAAAATAATATGAATTGTAAAGAATCTAAACTTACCTTTATTGCTCCTCCATAATCTTTCCATGCCATTTCTATGCAATGCCATCCTTGAAAGCTCACAAAAACTTTCTCTAATATTAAAATCACACAAGGGGCTGACTTCAAAAAATGCCATATGATTTTTGGCTGCATACAATTCAGCGTCACGCTCTTGTACTTGTCGTTTGAAGGCTAGATGTAATCGGTTCCCAACTAATACTTTTGGAACCCCTGGTGCATGCTTGAACACAAAAAATATTTAAAATTAATATTTTGAACCAATTCAAAATATAAGGGTTTATATTTCGTACTAGCTGTATTCCGCGGTTGCAATCGTGTGAATCATTATATAAAGCATACTATACACTTTTTATAGCATTTTATATGTAATTCTTTAGATGTAACTTTTTTATTTATGATCCGATTGAAATAAAACAAACTCTAAATGTTACATGCAGCAAACTGCAACGCATTAGTGAAAACCGCATTCAAGTCTGTTAAGCCGTTTTTGAGATTAGCGTGCACAAACGTACAGACAAACACAAAAATTCTAAAAGTCAATGTTTTGGGTTCTATTGTGTTCACAAAGCCCTACTATAATAGTTTTTCTTATATAATTTCCATGTACAGACAGCGATCAGTTACGATTTTGTTATATGTATTGATTTAGTATTATGTAGTATGATTTGTCATTTTATATTAAAATAAAAGGCTATTCAAGAACACAATTGGTCTGTAGATAAACAATATTTTGATAGTAAAAAATTTAACACTTCATAATATAAGTGCCTAGTAGTGGTGTACTGGGAGGAAAGGTTGTTAGCAATGGAGTTTGACAGCCCCATTGCTAGCAATATGCCTTATCAGGTCGACCTCCACGTGGTTCCCCCTGGAAACCATCGTGAACAATTCTTGTTGAATTCGTCACGATGGGTTAACTGGCCTGCTTCATCCTCACCTATCATCTTTCACTGGTGCCCCGCCGGTGTATACCGGATAGCGCGGATGGAGTTACCATTTCATTATCACTCATAAAAAAAGTAGTGGTGTACTTTTACCTATCAAGTATATATTTAATCATATATATTGAGATTAATACAATATTTTTATTATGATTATCACAGTAGGTAAATAAAGATATCTAAAATGAGTAGGTATTGTGGACTGGAATAACTCACCAAACCTATAAAAGAATACCAGTTGTTTTAGTCTAAATAATGCATTTTATTATCCAATACAATAAGATACATGTCTGGGATTGGACCCTAAGAATGGATGGTGGTTGGTTGTTGGAAGTGCTGTCCAACACCAAACATGTATTAACAAAAAATTTAAGCTAAAGCAATATTACCTTTTCAACTTCTTCTAGCCACCTGTCAATACTATCAAAAGACCATTTATTGGTAATGTCATAAACTAATAAAATGCCTTGCGCTCCTCTCGAATATGAACGAATGATTGTGCAGAACCTGCCTTGCCCTGACGTGTCCCATAACTGTAGCTTCACTCTTTTGCCATCTAACAAAATTGTTGTTGTTTTGTAGGCTAAAAATAGAATTATCTCATTATGAACAGCATAACAGTAAAATGAATATATGTATCTGTTACTGTAAAAGCTAGTAAATTGGTTAATATTAGGTTTTACCAACATGAGCTGATAAATGTAAGGATTTTATAAAAAAAAAAATCATCTTTGGGGTAGGTATTCACTAAATCAAACTCAACCTATCTCTCTGACCACAAATATGAACACTATGCACTAAACATGTATAAATATTATGTTTTTTATTGTAAAAACCCAAATTATGGTAAATAAAAAATTATCTAGTTTTACAACAGAGGCATGGTAAATGCCAATGGTAAAATATTTTTTTTAGGAATAACATAATACTAGTTTTAAGAAATTGGATCATGTCAATTAACAAGCTGTATCTGTTTATATATAAATATACATACAATTATTTTCAAGTACATAAAGTAAAAAATTAGAGTACATTCATACAAATAAGTGTCTAGCTGTTTTCATCAAATTCATATTTAGATTACATATAAGAAATTTTGAAATCTGTAAGCCTATCTCTTCTTTTATAACTTTCATTATAAGATATTCGTTTAAGAAATATTATTTTATATATATAATTACCACTGCCACTGCAAAATGGGGAGTCTGCAGAGCCATCTTCTAAGTCTTGGAGTATCTCTTGTTTGCCAACATCTGAGTCTCCAACAAGGAGTACTTTAAGTAAGTAGTCGTAGGACTTTGGAGCTGCTGGTGGTCTCCCTGTTGGTAAATTGTAATATTAGTTTACATTTTTTTGGATTTATGGTGTGGTGTAGAATTTTCTTCAACCAACTTCAGATAAAAGGAAGTTCACAATTTAGCTATATTGTATATGTTTGTTACCTCATAATTTCATCAGTTATAAACAGATTTGGAAAATTCTTTTTTTATCTGAAAGGATATTTTTACAGATTGGTCAAAATTGGTGCAGTAGTTCAGTTTTTAAATCAAAATAACTGGTTTTACCTCAACTGAAGTCAGTTTATTTTGTGGAATCAAGTCTTAAATTATATACAAGATTAATTGTCAAATAGGAAGATGTTTCACTTTGTGGAGTGTTAAACATTGCCTATAGACATGGACAGCATAATAGCCTTTGTTCAGCGACTGAACATTAATATTTTATGCGTATTCAGTATTCTGCATTCCACACTTCAAACTGAGACAGCAAAGCCAGCGCAGCTGCTTTGTAGCAGAAACATAAATCAGAAGCAGGAACAGAGGCACTTATGTAGATACAAAGTCTTCTATTAGCAAATAGAATCCAACCAACCTTTTTAAGAATAATATTTTTAAAAAATTATTGACCTGAAAAACTATTATTAATTATCCTGAAAATTGCCTATGGCATATTAATATTAATAAATACTTTTTTATAAATTATAGTATTACTTGTTTACTAAACTCTTTTTGAAATTATCAATTATAATTATTTTATCAAAAACTTACTTTGTTATTCTAAATTAAATTGTTATTAACTTATTATTGTTACTGTATGTTTTAGTGCAATAAAGAATATATATAATATAAATTAGACTGGCAATCCAGTAGGCTTTTCTGAATACTCAAAAAGTACAGGATGTAAAAGGAGATGCAGTTGTTAATGTATATCTCAGATTGTTATTAATACCTATTTAATGTATATTAGGATACATTCCTTGATGAACATTTACTATAGAAAAATATATTCTTTATAAGAAAATTATCTCTTTCAAATAAATATAAGTACTACTACTTTATCAATTAAATTTACAAATGCAATGAAGAAATTTTTCTACAAAATATATAAAACATTATAACGTCATTAAATTATTGTAATATTTTCTTCAAATCAAATTTGCAAAGCTGGTTTGTTTAAAGATTAAATATTTAATTAAGAAATGCTGTAAATTAATTATAAATACTGTAATCTACTGACATGGCACATACTTATTAGATTTAATACCAATTGTTGAAACTAATGATGACAGTCTAAAGTAGCAACAAACAAAAATATATTAAAGGAGTCAAAAACAAATATTGGTGTATGAAAGTATAGTTTTGTTTCTTTCATAGTTAACATACATTTGGTCTATAATAAAATCTACATAAAATTCTTAATTCCTTCATATTAGAACACTTTAATGTATTATTAGAAATATTTTAGACATAGCTATTTGTCTTATTTACCTGTTCTTTGGTGATGTGACCGAGGCAAAGTAGTACTACCGTTTTGGGCAACCTCGTTAGTTGCCTGCTGTGGAGCTGCTACCATTCCAGACATAGGGTACATAGTCATGGTGAGTTCACACGCCTGAGCTCCAGGTGGTGTTTACCACACGCATCTGTATGCATACTCTTGCTCTGATCTTATCTTTTTGTATTATCCATTTAGTTGTACATTATTCCTGAGCTATACTTTATATGTACAATATATCCAGACACACTATTTAAATGAGATAAATAATTCACTTTTTCTTCAATGTGTCAAACAAAATACACTGGGTTCTTTTTCACAAGGTCGGTGTAGAAATGGAATTTTTAAACAGTTATTTCAAAATATTCCGTTTAATTTTGTGTAAAAAATATACACAACAGTTAATTTTAAGATTTACAACTATAAATGTGCGTTTCAAAATTATTAGCAACACAAAAACAAGTCAAATTCGCAAGAGAAACAGTGAGTGAGATGAACGAACGATTGAATGATGCGAATATGAATTGAATGATAATATTTTGAATGAAATAAAAAATAAACGATTGACTCGGGGGCAAAGGGATGTAATTATACAGCCTACTTCAGTTAACGAGATTTTTAATTCTATGGTTTACAGCACAGCTTAGTAGCACAAAAATGAATGGTCCATTTTTTTACTTTTAATTATGCTTTAAGATATAAATAAAGATATTAAATTTTCCAACTCAGCGCATTTCAACGCATCAATAACGGTTAAATTCATTACATACTCTGTTAGTACTCTACCGTCATTCGAGGGGGTTTTGGAACTATCATTTACAGTTTACAATACGACGCTTCTCTTACTGTTCTCTTTACGTCTACTCTCCTCAGTTTAAATATTTTGAAAGGACATAACTTGCACAAAGATCTAGGTGTCATAACACCTAATATGAAGTTTCACCTCTTTTTAAATTTAATGAATTATAGAATATTTTTTGGTGTTGCCTGCAGAAACTTATTTAGTTACTAAAATTAGGTAAAATAAAACATTGTATTAAAATTAATGGTGCTTATTTAATCAAAATAATAAAACTTACAATGAAGTGGAGATTTCAATTGTAAATTAATACAAAACTTATACATTTATTTGTAATATCAAAATAACATGACAAAACAATTATAATAATACAATTATAATGTTTCCAAGCCAGGCAAAGGAAATGATTGGCTGTATTTTTCAATTTCTGCTTTCAGAGTAGTGATTCTATTTTTAATATCGGAGTTGTCCTGTACAACTTTGTTGAATTCCACCAATTTGGTCCCTGATATTTTTATAGCATCTTGGGCAATTTGTAGTGCTTTATCAATGTAATCAACCACTTTATCAATATCGGACTCTTTCAATCCTCTTGTAGTTAAAGCAGGAGTACCTATAACACAAATTATTTTTATATAAAAAAGTAGTTAAGTATCAGTCACCTGCATCAGGTTAAGTTTTTTTAAATGCAACTTTGAATGGAAAACAAGTTAATTTCCGTTAAATGTAATTGTATTTAGTTAATTTATTAATTTAAATATAGATAGCTGAACTTCATAACTTTAATATATATTACATAAATAATATGTATCAAGGACACAAATATACTGTATAGACAAATGTTTTAAAAATATTGCAGCATCCTTATTGACATACATACATACATTCAATAACAAATAAATGTAATTGTTTTATTTAATAACAGTAAAATAAACCCACCTAGTCTAATACCACTGGGATTCAATGCGCTCTTATCTCCGGGTACTGTATTCTTATTACAGGCAATGCTACACAACTCCAAAATACGCTCGGCCGTTGCCCCCGTGAGGCCGGCGCTACGCACGTCTACTAAAGCGAGGTGCACATCGGTCCCTCCTGTAGCTATGTTATATCCACGAGATTTCATCCCTTCACATAATCTTTGTGCATTTTTAATTATCTGTAAGAATATAACATTTTTAAAATATTGTTTACACAAAAATATTCCTTTCCATTTTCTCGCAGTTTTGAATCCAATCGTAGAATCTAATATTTGGGTTATATATACTATCATTCACCACATAGATCTGTGGCTTGCGCCTTTACTGATAATTTGTTTTTCACTTTGTAAACTCTTATCGTATGTAGTTAATGGTGTATATTTCTTCTTGCTTTTCTATGATTGAAATAGATTCAGGGCGGAATAATTTCTGATATTAGGGAACAAAAATGTATTTGTATGCTATGTTTAAAAATATTACCTGTTTTTGGTATTCTACAAACTGTGGTGTTGTGGCTTGCTTCATGGTAGTTGCTATAGCTGCTATAGCGTGGTTGTGAGGACCGCCTTGTAGACCCGGGAATACCGCTTGGTTGATTTTACTTTCAAGGTCGTACATTACTTTGGTGCCATTTGGCTTGACTGAACGAACACCTTTGCGGTAGAATATGACACCGGCTCGAGGCCCTCTTAGTGTCTTGTGTGTAGTAGTAGAAACTACGTCACTGTATTCGAAAGGACTTGGGACAACGCCTGAAATACAAAAAAAGAAGTTTAGATTTATATCTTTCTCAAAAACTGGATACTGAGAGAAATATAATACGTCTCCAACAGTCAAAGAAAAGGAAAATAATGAAGAGAGATGGTCCAATGAAGATCAATATTATTAATTAATTATTATATATTATTTAATTTGTACTTTTTAGGGCCCGTCCATACAAATATCTTTATTTAAATATTTTTTTTACTTGAATTTTTATGTTAACTACAAAAATACGAACCAGCAGCGACCAAGCCCGATATATGTGCCATGTCAGAATGTAAATATGCTCCATTTTCGTCAGCAATTTGTCTGAACCTTTTGTAGTCGAGGCAGCGTGAGTAGCAGCTTATTCCGGCAATTATGAGACGTGGCTTAAATAATTTTGCGGTTTCAGCGAGTTTATCGTAGTCTATCAGACCTGTTACAGGATCTACCTAAAAAAATGTAAATACAGTAGGTATGTAATTAAGTATAAAAAATTGGCCGTGTGGTCCCGGCATAGAATAGGCCATCCCTTCCTTTTCAGTGGGTGTTGTAAGAGGAGGGTGAGGGATGGGCAGCAGAGACCTTCTTAAAACATCTCTAAAGCCTAACTGCGGTTGCCAATCTGCCTGCCAAGCGTGGCAACTACTGCCAAAACTAGAACTCTCCCTAGGGGGAGGTTTATATTCAACAGCGAACAATTAAAGGCTGATATGATGTTGATAAAAAATGAGGATGATAATTTATTGATGTAAAAATTTTTGGATTTTTTTTTAATTAATTTAAAACATTTATGTATTTTACACTGATACATTTATTTCGCATTTATTTTCAACATTTATTTTGTCATTATTAATACTATATTATATGCATTGCGTCAGGGTTGCATATCAAAGTACTGCGGTCAACGTTACTTATCAGTAAACAACTAGATAAGGTCAAATATTAATAATAAAAAGTTATAGTAACTATACTATTCATTAAGTAATAAATAAAGGTCCGATAAGACTGTTACATATCGTTGACAGTTTTCTAAATGTTTTTAATATAGATAAGTAACTAAAAGTCCTTGTATGTAAAAAGTAATATTAGTGAACTACTCAGTCACTGAGCAACTTGCTTAGATGCTGTGTTTCAATTTAAAAGGAAATATAACTATGAAATTACTAAGTACTCACTCGAAAACATACATATGCTACAAGTAGTATGTTTTATCAAAACTTAACTATGTATACTCCTATTAAATTACTTATATACAAAAGCTACTTATTAATAGTAAACTTCCCTTCGTACTAAATCTTTTGAGTACTCTGTTTTTATGTATACTTTTTTCAAGCGATATCATAGTTGTGTATGTATTTATTGATTTCAAAGCCTATTATTGTTATTTCATTACGATTATTGTTATTATTGATTTTATTAAAGAGGTTTACATCCATGTAGGCTTCGAAGTATTGTACTTTTTTAAAGACTGAGTTTTTTTTTAAATTAAATTATTTTACTTAAAAATTTTTTTTTTTGATAATTGTTAAAAATAGCAACATTTATCTTAAAATCAGTTAATCCTGGAGCAGGCAATATATTATTTTCAACAAATTAATTATATATATAATTATAATATAATAATAAAGTTTTGTTGTGATAAAGACTGATGTACATTCTTAAAGTCGAAATATATCTAGATTTTTTAAATTTCTAAACATAGTTGTTTACATAAGTCGCTCAATAAGATCAGTGCTGAAATAGACTGTACTTAAGAAATTTATTATAAATGTACAAAATGTACTTATTTACTTAATCAAGTAATCAATCAGTATGAATAAATAAATCAAATCTAGTTTCATGTCTCAGTTCTAATCAATTGTAAATAAGTTATATATATAAATTATATCCGACTTATTATCTATTGAATAAATATATTTCTGATAACGTATGAGTTAATTCTATGACAACATAACAATATTGTATTGCTTACAGACATGAAATAATGATAAACTTATATTTGACAATATAGATAAAAAGTACAGACGCAATAAAATATTAAAAACAATAAACAGAACGTGAATTAAAATGGAATGTTGACTCCGCGTGTGTTATTGGTTTACATCTAACGGTGTGATATTGATGAATATGTATATATGTTTTTTTTAATGGGTGATAATAGAATGGTAAGCCCGCATGCGCTGTCGGTATATGCTGGCGGGGCACCAGTGAGGGATGATAGGTGACGATGAAAGCAGGTCAGTTAGCCCATCGTAATGAATTCCACTAGAATTAACTATGATGTTTAGGGAGAACCAAGTGGAGGTCAACCTGATAGGATGTATTAATAGCAATGAGTTGTCAGTTAGACCCCATTACTAACAATCCTTTTCCCCCTGATGAATATATTAGGATCATGATACCACGATGGCTTCTAGAAATCGCGTGAAGATTAAAGTGATGCCCATATTGCCAGCAATATACCCTATATTGCTGGCAATATGGGCATCACTTATCATTACTAACCTTATTTTTCCCTGCCAAAAGCCTATTTACACAGATTTCTATACAGGAGTTCCTTAACCAGATATGTGTCAAAAATCAACATAATATTATGTCAAAGCTACATAAGTAATATCCGATACGTTTTGGAAATGCAAATATTTGACTTACAGTGCTAACTTTACATCTAAACTTGCAAACAAGCTAAAGGCCCTTTTGATTGAAAATGGTAAATGTTGAGTGTAGACACAAACACTATTACAAACAGAATATACTGTGCGGTATAATATACAAGAAGGTAAATACTATGTTCAATTCATACTCCTTTGTAGGGAAAAATCATTATAGTTTTTCCAGGTACAAGGTACTTGCTGTAAATATTTTACAATAATTGTTATTCTCTGATGCATAGTAACATACCCCACTCTATAAACTAACATTGAATGATGTGTTTAATTTCTTTTTAATTTAAAATATAAATAGTGTATTAGAATTTTTTTTTAACTTAGAATGACAAACATGCTGACGGTCCACCTGATGGAAAGTGGTAGCCGTTACCTATAGACATGAGCAGTACCATTGATATAACAGAATATACTGTTTTGCTCATGATACCCCCCATGCATTGCCATTCTTGAGAACTCAGGTGTTATTCCTCTGTACCCTGTAAAAATAGTTATTATAACAACAACAAATAATTAATTGTAATTCTTTTAGTTACCTTATATGGCATGCTTTCAAAGAAAATTGATGTAGCTGATATTTTTTGGTAGGAGTGAAGAAGCCATGAGTGAGATGGCCACCATCTGGTAAATCTAGACCCATAATTCTACCATGTGGCTCCACAATACCAGTGTAGACTGCAAAGTTTGCTGGGGAACCTAAGAAGCAATCACAACTTAATAATTGAATAAAAAAAATATTTACTACAATAAAATAACATCCTAGTGGTGGGTATGGGTGTTTTGCTAACAGAAGGAAAATAGCCTCCAATTAGTATAGGGATTTATTGCAAGTTTTCCTTGTCTATTATGCTTAATCACTTCTCTAGTTAGCTCTCACATTGTGATAGTGACTTTTTAATTAAAATCTTATCTGATGTTAAGTGATGATGTTATCTAAGATTTTTATTATTCTGTTACCAAATGGATTTGATTTAATCAAGATTAATCTGTAAGTCATATCACCTTGTACTGGTTAAGAGTGTTCATACCTGTTGCTTTCTGATATGAAGCAACATTACAATTATCTGTTAATTTTCAAGAACAATTTAACATTTTTCAATGTTTTTAACTAATTATTTAAAAACTGATTTACTAGATACTTTGTTATGAACACTCGTTAATTATTTTATTTCACTGTATTTATAGTTTTTTTTATACCATGAAGGTAGCAAATAAGTATACAGCCCATCTGATGATAAACAGTTACTTTCTTGGATTAATTATTTAAAAAAATAATTGAACATTTCAATAACAATTTGATAATGGTAAATATATTTTGCACTTGACATAAAATTCTTATTATATTTAAAGTTATGAATATATGATAATGACACACAAGTAAAAATACCTGAATAAGGTTGGACATTGACTCCCCATTCTTCTGGATTGAGTCTGTAAGCTTCCAGACAGCGTTTCTGTGCTAAGATTTCTATTTCATCAATATATTCATTGCCACCATAATACCTGCAAGAAAAAGAGAAAATACAGTTGTAACAAATGTTAATAATTACATTTTTTATGGTACGGTATTTATGTTGAAATCTATTTAATATGTAATTTAAAATATTAATTGAACAGTAGACAATCAACGGAATTCTCTTTAATAATTGATAATAGTACCCACACTTAATTTATACTGGTCAGATACTAGTGAGGGATTATAGGTGAAGATGAAATCAGGTCTGCTAGCACATTGTGATGAAATGATCAAGAATTAACCAGGATGGTTTCCAAGTGGTACCACATGGAAGTTGACCTGATAGGGTATTAGCAGTAATGGGACTGATAATTTTCAATATTAACAACTTCTACATCATTCTCATATCAGCTGTTAATTGTAAATACTGAACATAAGCCACAGCCATAAGGAGGATTTTGCCAGTATTTGCCATGCTTAGCAGACAAAAACAACTTACCTTTATGAAATAGGAAGTTACTTATGATACACAAGGAAATTCATCAACAGCATCTCACCTCTGATTAGGCATTCCTTCAGAATATTTATTGTGGAGGCAGGAACTCAGACATTGGAGGACAGCAACTGAAGTGAAGTTCTCCGAAGCTATCATCTCAAGACCAGACTGTTGCCGGTGTTTTTCCTTTTTAATGAGCTCAAAAAGTTCAGGATCATTGTCCCATACATTGCTATTTAGGAGCTGATTACTCATTGTTGAAGTTCTAAAATTTCTTAAAGTAATTTTCTCCTGGAATGTGTAAATAAAAGTTATATTATATTTTCCACAACTTAATTCTTTGGTTCAAGAACACATACTGAACTGTAATATGCTAATCGTATTCAGTTCACACAAGTTCTGACCTAACGATGATACAATAACAAGAGATAACATAATCATATATAAAAACAGATTCTTACAATTATATTTTATTGACAACAAACAATACCACTTTATCACATTTATTACATCAGTCAATCTAAATAAGTACGTAAGTAATAATAGCAATAATCACATTTTTTTACACATTGATTATAAGGAATTATTTATTTATTTACAATTTGATATACAGAGTAATGTTAACAAGTTTATTAGTTAGCTGAAATAAAAGTATTTATAACTAACATTATGTCAGTTATTACAAAATACGCGCATGTGCATGCGCATGTAAGAAAATTGAAGATGCTGTGCATTTGCGTTTTTACTTCCCTACTTTGATTTTGCGATTCGGTAAATGTGAATAATTTAATGTTAAACAGTTAAATTTAGATTTTATTTTGTATTTACCTGTTTATTCACTATTACTAAAAGTTTTAGCTCAAAACATCAACTTTAGAAATACCTTGATAACCAAACTTGTACAAAACATGACACTTTTATTATTTAAATTTATGTTGGTACCTACCTGAAGGTTTATTTTTGACAGTGGGTTTCTTGCCGGTTTCTTTATTAACTGTGATGAAAATTCACTAAATCTGCGAGTTCCGGTAAAAATATATGTATTTACTAATTTAACACGCATTTTATTTGTTAAAACTTATATATTTTAGACACTATTCTCTCTGTTGTTCATTAAATTATGCTTTTATTCGTGAAAACAATAGTTGTATTTATCATTTATCGATAACCTAATATGAACTCTATGGCAATAGCATAATTCGATGAGTGACATTAACTGACGGATAACAATCAGCCGGTGACGTTTCGCTGTTCCTATTACAGGCTTAGTAAAGAGTGAATGACTATCTCGGTTATGATTATTTTTACTGGGTAGGGGAATAATGTAGGTAGTTTCTTATCGCGTACCATTTTAGTAGGGTAATAACGACAATTCTTGACTATGTTGAGATATAAAATGCCACCGTTTTCGGAATTTTGTATAAAACGTAATGCATTCTTTCATGTTAATTTTGAAAATTATTGCGCTAAATTAATTTAAACAGACTAAGTACAAAGTAAATAGTTTGACATGCTCCTTGTAAATAAATACTAAGTGCGAGTCGACTCTTACATCCAAATAAAGCAGGATTTTCTAAAAAAATCAAATGGTTGCCACTTGCTATTTCATTATACCTAATATGTATATTTTAGGTTTTGTATTTTAATTTTTTTTTAATTGGTGGAAATGGAATGGTAATCTCACCTGCGCTATCGGTATACGCTGGCGGGGCACCAGTGATAGATGATAGGTGAAAATGAAAGCAGGCCAGTTAGCCCATCGTGAAGAATTCATAAAGGATTAACCACAATGGTTTTCAGGAGGAACCGCGTGGAGGTCGACCTGATAGGGTGTATTGTTAGCAATGGGCTGTTAGAACCCATTTCAATCCCTTTCCCTCTTTTTAAAAGTATTATATTGTCGATAATTACTGTATATTAACTCACAATGACTTAAACTATTGGTGGAAAGAGATTGTTAGTAATGGGGTCTAACTGACCCATTGTTAGTAATACATCCTATCAGGTCGACCTCCACGCAGTTCCTCCTAGAAACCATCGTGGTTTATTCTAGTGAAATTTACCACGATGGATTATATCTAAAATATATATTTTCTTATAAGTATAATCTATAGATTATGTTTATAAGTAATAACATCGTCACTCTCTCTCTATTTTTTTAATGCCAAACCCTACTTACGCTATCAGTACTGGCAGAGCCAGTGAGGGATAATAGATGAGGATGAACGATAGATGAGGATTGATGCAGATCAGGTGGCCAATAATGACGAATTCAAAAAAAAAACCACGACGGTTTTCATGGGCAAATGCGAAGATGTCGATCTGATAGGGTATATTGCTAACAATGGAGCTGTTAGACCCCTTCCCCTCAATACTAGTAATAGTGTAATTAGATGAAAATGGAATGGTAACTAAAAAACTGGCGGGGCTCCAATTAAAAATAGAAAGAAGATAAAGTCAGCCTATTGTGATTAATTCACCAGGAAATAACCACGATTGTTTCCAGGAGGAACCACGTGAAGATCGACTTGATAGGATATATTGCTAGCAACGGGATCATTTCTTTCCATTATGATTCCATTTCTTCCCAATGGGAATGGAAACCGGGAGGTGAGTCCTTATTACAGTATTATCAGGTCGCTTACCACACGGTCTCCCCTGAAAACTATTGAGATAATTTGCCACGACGGGCCATCCGGTCGGAATTCCTCTTCATCAGTCATCACTCACTGATACCCGTCAGTGTACATAGTATGTATGATATACTTCTATGGTGTAGGTTCACCGACAACACAGATGGAGTTACTCATTAAAAAAAAACTATTTTCACCCATTAAAACAATGAGGTGGGTAGATAGAAGTATTTGTATGAACGTTACAGTTATTTTGCGCTTTCTCTGAATACATCTATTAATATACGAATTTGAATCCAGACAGGATTCAAAATGGCACGAGCGAACCATTTTATCTAAACAATTTTAAAATAAGTACTTACCTATTTTAAAATTGTTACATGTTACAATTTAAAATGTAAGAGACACTGATTTCGATTAAAAATAAAATTAATTCTTGTGTCGTCTTTACAAATTTATATCGGTCCGGTTGTTGTTTGAATACTCACTGAAATATCAATAGCAAATGTGTACATATCACTTGCAGTGGCTAACGAAGGCTGATAACACATTAGGCAGCATACAATTAAGGTATAATAAGTACCTAGTTTTAGTTCTTTATAATTGAATTGCTACGAATATAATTTATAAACAAAGTCTGATTTCCTTCATGTTGGACACACGGAACAATAGCATCTGACTTCCTGCGTCTGGTTTTTCTCTTCTATCATTTTGCAGCATGAAATCTTATCTTATAATTACTTATTTTAATAATATAATAAAATTGTAACTGGACGATATTTGTTCATAGGAGATATTTTATAAAAAATGATATGAGGTGTCTTAATGAGAACAATAGAAGATAAAACGATAGTTTTTAGAATTTATGTCTGTCTGTATATTTGTTCCGGCATCATGTATTAAACAACTACTACACAAAATAAATTCTCTACTGTGTTTTTTATAAGCTTAATACCATAGGACATATTACCCAGTGTCGTCAGTTCCAAACTAAGAAGAGCTTACTTTATTAAAAAAATCTTCAAGGCACCTTGATATTTTTTTAGGTATCGTATATTATGCGAGTTGGCTTATTTAGCAGTTTGTTGTTTTGTTTGAAAATAGCCGGTCTGAAACTGAATTCGTTTTATAATTCCCTTTGTTTGGTTCTGAGTTTTGACGGCTGTTTACGAATAAATATTTATATGATCTTTTAATTCCTATAATAGTAGGAAATTGGTAAGTATATACTATTCCATATAATAGTAGGAAAATAATATGAGATTGTAAAAATTTACGTCCCGAGCTGACAGCTCCAGCAATAGAATTGAACCCGCGTCTCACATGGCAATATAAATAGAGTAGAAAGAATTTTTATAATATGCTAAATGATGCACGCAATTTTGGGACACAGCCGACTTATTTGCCTTCTAGGAATGATTCACTACGTATAACGATAAATAAACTTGATATTACTACTGAATGATTGCATAGTTTTATGAATTTTTCCTTTTTTGCATAATAATCGCTAGATGAATAAATTTTTCTCTGGCGCTAATCCTTAGATCTTTAAAGTAAAACAAAACATGTCAATAAAGATTGACAGCAAATTTATCTATTGTACAGTTTTCAGTTATCGCAATCTTTTGCCAGTTATGAGGAACTGCCCCCTACTTGGCTTTTTTGGTTCTTACGTATTATGTTAGTTTGCTTCTCTGAGTCAAAGGAAGTAAAATGTAAAAGGTGGATTATTTAAATAGATGGCGCTAGTATTTTCATAAATGTAGATGGCGCAAATACCTCAATTTTTGATAATTTGCTGATTTGCTTTTGTCTATTTACTGAATAGGTATCTACAATGCAAAGTGAAACAGTGATGCATACATTTTCGTGTTTCGATTTAAAGGGTAAACAGGTCGTTAAACTAAAATAACTTTCTTACTCAGACATAGTAAACATCGGAAAATTTATAATATTAAATACAAGTAGAAGCAAGATTGGAAATAAGTAAATAAACCAGATGCCCTATACGAATTAGTCAATTGCTCGCGATAATAACAACTGTTAGTCTTATTTTCAACCGACTTCATTAAAGGGGATTTTTAGTTGTATTTGTGTGTATTCATTTCTGCATCGATTTTGATGATTTCTTTTGTAAACGACTGTATGGGTCGATTTTGAGACGTCATTCTCTAAATCTATCTCTAAAATTTTTATTACGTGTCAGAACGAACTCTTTATTCTGAGAACAAATATAAATTAAAATATATATAAGTTATAATCATTATAAATTTACCCCTTTATTCAGAAAAACTAAAATGCCCTTCAAATTTATTTTAGCTATTGAAGTGTTTTGTCACTACTTTTTAAGTTAAGAAATTAGCCCAAAAAAAGAAAAAGAAAAACAAAATACCTCAATAGCTAAAAAATATAAGAGGTTTGATGTTTTTATGAATAACAAGGTTAGTTCCTATTGATCCTTAAAATAGTGTTTTCGCAAAACTATCTAGTTTAATTTTAGTTTAGAGCCTTAAAATTGACTCCATTGTCTACGCTCCTATTGTACACGTAAAAATTTCCCCAATTGAATCTATTTTTTTTGGAACTAAATTTAAATTATGTAAGTACAAATAGATACTTTAAGATGTACTTGAATCGCTTCGATAATAAAGAGCATTATTTTTGTCACAGAAATTTTTATGATACAAAAGGCGTAGTAGCCCAGTACCAACTTGAAGGAGGAGGAGTCAGTTACTATGTTACTATAATTTATGAAAATGAATTTATTTCTTTCTACGTTATTATTTATCGCCATAAAGGAGATAAACGACTGATTTTTTTTATATGAAAATTAGTATAGAGAATAATCGAGATAGATTGTATTGCAATGCTAGTGGCTTAGTGTAAATGACCTTGTCTAGGAGCTAAGTACCAGTATGTATTATAATATCTATATATTATCTGTAAAGGCTCAGACGCTGAGTAGACTATTATAGCTCCTAGTTACGGTGGTAGATGCGTGGTAAGTTAATAATATAAGTTTTAGGCCTATTGCTGTGTGCTATATTCTCCTCTAGTAGCGGGACTCTAAAGACAGTAAATTTATATACTTAAAGAAAATTCCGAATTTTAAATAAAACAAAACAGTTTAATTGAATTTAGCCAGTTTGTTATTACAAAGTATATGTAAATATGTTATAAAAAGATACAGCGTAAAAATAACAAAGTACCCAGTCAGACTAATCGCTTGGACGGATTTCTTCCAGTGAATCTTGAGTTTGATAGTTAATATGGAGAAATCGTTTTTTATCTAATTTCATTTAATGATAACGATTAGTCATACAGGGAGATAAACGACTAATACTTGTTTCTTATATTTTTCTTCGTAAAATGCACTGAAATGTATTATATTATTGATATAAGTAACAGAAGGTACATAATACATTCCGTAATTTAGGTTGAATCGTCCCAGACATTGTGGCACATCCATCACTAAAACGGAGACACATTTCTATGACATATTCCAGACATATTTTATTTATATACATAGTATATTATTCAAATAGTAAATTGAAATGGATATTGTTTTTCTTTTGGGCTAATCTTTATTGAAACTTCCTATGCCTATATTATCCATACCGTCATAAAATATATGGTCATGTATGCAAATGTATGCATGACCATCTATTTTGGATTCTAATTTTATGCTCGTTTCTTTTATTATTTAGGAATAAAAATAACTAAAGTACAATTTTATCTTTCGTGTTTTGTATAAAACGAATAATATTGTTGTTGAATAGGTCGTAGAGTTTTGATATATTGTTATCATTTTACCTTTTTATAGACCGTACTGAAGATAACTAGTACATTTTTATTTAACTTAAAATGGTAAACAAGCTGACGGTCCACCTGATGGAAAGTGTTATTCGCCTATAGACATGAACAGTACCATGAATATAACAGAGTATACTGTGTCGCTCATCATAGCCTTCTTGTATTGCAATTCTTGAGGTCTAAGCTGTATTCTCTTTAATACAATATACAAGAGGCATAACACATTATCACTTAACCGGACCGGGTTGCACAGTATAGTTTGCGATATTTATAGTACTTCATGTCAACAAACACCGTTAATTACAAATTTATACGCGGTCAGTAGGTACGGTTTTCACGTTACTCAAGTTCTAGGAAAGTTAGGAAGTTAACAAGTTTGCAAGTCCTGTCCGCCGTGACAGGAAAACTAAAACGGTTGCATCGGATTGGTAGTTACATCTTTGTATAGTTAGATAGATAGATACTATTTATTGTGTCCTACAAAAGATTTCATTTGTATACTTATTATAAATATAAATAATTACAAGAAAAGGTTACATAGAAATAAATAAGTGGCCTTATCGCTAAGAGCGATCTCTTCCAGCCGACTTTTGAATGGAGAATTATAAGATTAATTATAAACAGTTTGACCGGAGGAATGTTATAGTTATGGGTTTAATCTTCACTTAATATAAACATTTGTATTAATTCTTAGATTACTTTTAAAATTAAGTGACTGACTATGTAACTGTTTTAGGGGTGCACCCTCTATACATTCAAGGTTATGGTTTAATATTATTTATTACATTTACCTTATTTAGGTTTATCATGTCTACTATATCTTGAACTGATTTCCCAAATGTATTGGAAATATCCGCCTACATTGCCTACCTTCGGGAAGAAATAATCTAGTGGGTGTTAAGGTGAGAATTTTTACCCTTGTAATAACTAAAAGGCTTAATCGATTTTTATAAATGAGGTTTCATTCTGTTAATTTTCAAACTGCAAGTAAAAATTAGGTACACAAAATGTTCATGTTTATAGGATAGGCATAATGATCGCCTATCCTTTCTGTCATTTTTCATTAGGTGAGCCGTTAACTTGTCATTCTAAGTTGTATAAAAAATGTGTTTTAATTTTTAAATTAATGCTATTTAATTATTAGAATATTTTTAAAATGAAATT